GGATACTTGTGTCGTTAAGATATATGCACTATCTCTGTCTATGTCATTGGTTAAGGATACTTGTCCCCCCTTAAGATATCTGGACTATCTCTGTCTATGTCATTTGTTAAGGATCCTTGTGTCGTTTTAAGATATCTGGACTATCTCTGTCTATGTCATTGGTTAAGGATACTTGGGTCGTTAAGATATCTGGACTATCTCTGTCTATGGCATTTGTTAAGGATACTTGTGTCGCGTTAAGATATCTGGACTCTCTCCGTCTATGTTATTGGTTAAGGATACTTGTGTCGCGTTAAGATTTCTGGACTATCTCTGTCGATGTCATTTGTTAAGGATACTTGTGTCGCGTTACGATATCTGGACTATCTCTGTCTATGTTATTGGTTAAGGATCCTTGTGTCGTTAAGATATCTGGACTATCTCTGTCTATGTTATTGGTTAAGGATACTTGTGTCGCGTTAAGATATCTGGACTCTCTCTGTCTATGTCATTTGTTAAGGATACGTGTGTCGTTAAGATATCTGGACTATCTCTGTCTATGTCATTGGTTAAGGATACTTGTGTCGCTTTAAGATATCTGGTCTATCTCTGTCTATGTCATTTGTTAAGGATACGTGTGCCGTTAAGATATCTGGACTATCTCTGTCTATGTCATTTGTTAAGGATACTTGTGTCGTTAAGATATCTGGACTATCTCTGTCTATGTTATTGGTTAAGGATACTTGTGTCGCGTTAAGATTTCTGGACTATCTCTGTCGATGTCATTTGTTAAGGATACTTGTGTCGCGTTAAGATATCTGGACTCTCTCTGTCTATGTCATTTGTTAAGGATACGTGTGTCGTTAAGATATCTGGACTATCTCTGTCTATGTCATTGGTTAAGGATACTTGTGTCGCTTTAAAATATCTGGACTATCTCTGTCTATGTCATTATTTAAGGATGCTTGTGACGCATGAACATTTTGGGACCATCTCCGTCTTTATGTTATTTTGCTGCATGGAGATATCTGAGCCATCTTCAACAATGCCATTCGATATTTAAGGATACTTGCTCCACGTAAAGAGTTCGGGGACATCGCTATCAGTGGCATGTTTTTAAGGATACTTGTGCCGGATAAAGATACAGAAAAAAATGCTATCAATGCCTCTAGATAAATGTAAAAGGCCATCGTTTGGTCCTTGTCTAAAGATGTTTATGCCGTATGAACCCATTGACAGTTACAGAATATATTGTGACTTTTGTGAGAGACGTAACGAATGACATATCGGTACTGCTCCCAGTGATGTACTATCACAATACTTCACTCGTCAATATTCCATAGAGTGATTTCTTTGAGAGCACCTAACTCCTGAATACGCTTTATCGTAGGAGCAATTCCTTGCATGCAATATCGACGTCGATTTAAACTTTTTTAATCAGAGCATGGGTTTAAATAGATACATTCGATTGAAACTACAGTGTACCTATACTCTACCGTCAAAGGAAAACAGCTGTATCATTAAATTAGCATGTACAATAAAACCTCTACATAATGCCTCTCGTTCTATGTCACCTTGCTTACCGCCAACTTATTTTAAGGCCCATTTTTCTTTTTTCCACTTAAAGAATTCCTTTATACATTTCAATTAATTTATTGCCAATCCACTTTACAACGCCAAATGTCTCTTGACAAATGGTGGCAGTATAATGAGGTTTTGACCTAATTCATTTATAGTATGATGAAAATAACTTCGAGCTCAATGCATCTGCAGAAAAACTGCAATTTACCTCTAATGGATTCGCTTGTTTTCTTCTTTACTGTCGACGCGAAAGAGATAGGCAATGAGCATCTACCACCACTGTCACCTTCGGGATTGACAATAGGAGCCTGAAGTTCTGTCAATAATGAATAATAATAGTAATACAAAAAAACACCTATAATATGCTTGTATTACTATTATTATTCATTATTGACAGAACTTCAGGCTCCTACGGATTTACGTAGTTTTCTCTCTCGCTTATCCAATCTTTCCTTGTCGTGATGTTTCCTCTGACATATTTATACTTCAGAGGGACCTGAGAAAGTTACCGAAAGTTGATTTAAACCCCTAAAACGTGTAACATTACTCTGAACACCTCAGTATATGTCCAAATATAGCTGTAACAAACTACCATGTCTCTGTGAACCCAATGTCAGAAAAAATGCCACTTAGAGAGTAATGCTACCGAGTCTCCGTTTTATTACCCTTAAGTAAGAGTTTCGAAGAGGTAAATAAAATAGCTAACAAACATACAAACAACAAACCAGTCTAACAAACACACTCATTTCTTTCGAAGTTCGGTTTGTAGTTTCAATTATCAGGATACGAAATTATTTTTCATGACAACATACGAGCGTCAAGAGAGCGTTAAAGACAGAAGATGTGTTTTGAGACATTTCCTAATATATACACAGTGTATACGTTCGGGGAAGGAGTGTGCCTGCTGTACCAGCAGCATGTTATCGTAAAAGGCGACTAAAGTGGCCCCTTGCAGAATAGGGGTATTTCTTCTGTGTCATTTGTAGGGCTGCAACGATACATCAACATGACGATACGATACGTATCGCGAGACTGTGGTCACGATACGTATCACGATACACTCAGTAACTGTAAAAGCAAAAAGAAAAGTTATGCTACAAATCTTTAATGACAATATTACAAATGGAAACCGACTTTGTCCAAAATGGGCATGACTTTAAATTTTCACATAATTCAAGTTTTTTTTATTGGAACGGATATGAGTAGATTAATTAAGAAATGACAAAATCCGGAAAATATCGTAGGATTCACTAGGGTGTTAAACCTCATACAAACAGCCACCCAAACAAGCTAGGAGTTTTAAGGGTTGATTTTAACACCCGACAAAATGACACTCAAGCGATTAATATATAATACTAGGAGAATGGAACTGTCGGACCAAAGCTATCGTTTCATAGGTCGGTAATAGGAGCATTGAACAAACATCTCTAATACAAGGTCGTTTGATGGGTATTTCTGATATAGACACGGCGACGAATCGCAATGACTGTTGTTCGAGACATTTTTATGCTTTGCCAGCTTAATTTGTTTTTTAACAAATGTCCAAATTTCAGAAAATACCTGTATTTTACTAGTTTTGCAATGTATAACCCTAACACCTGACAGATTGTAAGTAAAATAAAATGAAAATTTGATATTTGTTACAATAATGAGTTATGATAAACATTTAGCTGACAATACTTTGAGAATATAGTCTTAACTCATTAACACGAGAGGATATTTTTCGCAACAATGTATATTACTTTCCTGTGTCGTTAATAGTTCTTTATCGTATTAAAACCCTTTTCGGGATCCTGAAGTTCTATATAGGGTTGGAAAAAGTTTTGAATTTTGAAAGAACTATTTAGATATCATACTGAAAAGTCTTGGTAGATTTTCCAGCAAAAATGGCTAAAAGAGGACACATCTTCGTGTAATCCTTGTAAATTGCCAACGCTACTGGCGGCTTGAGATTATGAATATAAACGAGTTCTGCGGGCGAACTTTCAATTTGATCGGATCTTATGGACAAATTGCTTTGTCAACACACGAAGCACGGAGTTTTACCCTGATACCACCTGACCTAAATGTAACCTTGATACCACCTGACCTAAATGTAACCCTGATACCACCTGACCTAAATGTAACCCTGATTTCACCTGATACCACCTGACCTAAATGTCGGCTTTCACCAAATATGTCACTGTCTCTTTGCTTTAGCGCTGCGTCTGCCATTCTAGACATGGTCCAATTCGAGAACCGGAAGCGGGAACGTCATTTTAGTCTGATGCGGTTTGCAATCGGGAACCGTCGTTACTTTCCGCTTTTTCTCGTTTCTCGTTTACGGAAAGTGCCGACGGTTCCCAATTGATGCGGTTTGCGGACAGCTACGATTCCGCAACAAGAGGAACATAGACAAACAGACAGCATGTTCTAGAGTTAAGCTTAAAGCTTCTTTTGTTTGGCAATTCAGGATTTGTCATAAGACCTGAGATACACTTACGCTTTTAGACAGTTGCATCGTTTCATCCCCCTGCAGGTAGGGCGTAAGAATTGTACCTGCTGCCACCAATTGCATCATCGTAAGAGGCGACTTAATTTGGGACCTTATCTCTTCTCTCCTTTCTAAATAACTTTCTTCTTCCTAATGTCTCCCTTGACAATGCCTCACTTTTGGCCATTTGTTGAGCGTTCGCCCCTGTGAGGAAGGCTTTGGGTTCTGTCCCCTGGCCGAGACATACCAGAGTCTTTAAAATGGTAGTTTCTACTCCTGCTTAACGCTCAGCAAATTAGGAATGGGACGACTGGTTCGCCTGTTGTCAGTATAATGTGACCGGGTGGGGCGTTCTGCTGGGTGTCTTCGGCAGTTTGTTTCAGTGCGGTAGCACTATAAAGTCGGCATAAGTTCCGCACTATCACAAGGAGACAAACACGAACATATCGCAGGCTCCCAAAATACACACATATACACTNTGTAGATGTAAATGAATGATGGACAAATGGTAATGATAAGTTGTAATAACGTGTGCCTAATCCCTTGTTCAAATTTAGTTGGCAATATAATACGTTTAAACAAGGGCAACATGGCTATTAATTGGGCAATATGGTGTTTTGACGATTATTGTATTGCAGTAGATCATGAAAAAGAAGTCGTCGCTTACGTCAAAGGGTTTTGTAATTAGGTGATCATTATTGTCATACTATAAACACTAAGATATCTGTATACAATCGGGAACTGTCGACACTTTCCGTGAATGAGAAACGTTGACGGAAAGTGCCGACCGTTCACGATTGACCTGTATAAAACCATAGATTAACGTTCTTTTGTTTCTTTAAATTTAAAAATCCGGAGGGAAAATTACATACCGGTAGTTTTTGAAATTCGTATTTTACTCAATGACAACAGTGCCAATACAGCAGTGCTATGGTTTGTGAATCCTCTTCTGTTTTGATCATTACAGGCTTGGTTCGTAATGGAACAGAGAAATTGCTGTTCCGGGACCTGTTCCGGACATACGACACGACTCCGCGTCCTATCAACAACATCAGCCTCCCCGTAGTCATTAGGTTCGGCGTGGCGCTTAATCAGATTCTCGATCTTGTGAGTACAGAAATACGAAACGGTGGATACATGTTTCACCTAATGGTTAAAGTAGGTAGAGGTCTACGAAACAGCGGCTGTCCCGCACCTAGTACCATATATTGACTTGCAAATTGCCACTTGTCGTGCTCTGGTACGTGACGATTTCATAGATAGCATTCTCTGTTAAATAATGAAAATTACATCACGTGGTCTTACAAAGTTTAAGTTCCGTGCTCTGTTACAGGATGATAATCACAGGGGCTCGGTTGCTGGATTTTGAGTAATATATGATGTGAATCGTAATACTTTCGGTTAATAAATAATAAACCTATACACACCAGTAAATAATAGCAACACTTTTTATCCGGTGTTAATACACATTCTAAAACCTTATACAAATTGAGGGTACCGAGGTACTTCGTAATTATTACGATTTACGTCATATCTTAATCAAAATAACGAAACCGAGCCCCTGCGACGAGAATCAGAGAGACTGCGCTATCTATCGAGAATTACATTTGGTGCTCCGTACACGACGATTGGTTAAATGTTTATTTATTATGTAACTATGGCGAGCTACTTAACATTTATTCAAGGAGCAATGTCGATCCTGTTTTTCATGTGTAAAATCAAAACAGATATCTTATACAGTATATGAGGTATTTTGTACATGTATATATTATATGAGATATGCTATACAGCTGGAATTGCCTTTGCTTTAAGACAACCTGTGTTTAAAGACCAACTGCCGGTACCTTTCCGTATGAACAACATAAAACTTGTGTTTGTTCTGTTTACAAAGACCATTTGTTTATTAGGATTCTTTGCTTTACAACTTGTAGTGATCTTTGGTTAAATCAAATACTTAAGTTAAGCTAACCAGGAGTTGGAAGGTGAACTCTGATTTTGTTGTTATTTTTTTATGTTATTTTAGGATGAGAAGAGGCAGGTGATGACGACATCTATGTGGATACAAGAGGTCAGTAGGTCATATTGAGAATTATAGGTCATAAAGAGGCCAGTAGGTCATATTGAGATTAATAGGTCATACAGAGGTCAGTAGGTCATGTTCTGGGTGGGACTATGTACACTTGTATGTGTGGCAATATGGAGATTTGCATGCATGCCACATTTGTCAGTACGCCAAGTGATGTAAAAAGGGAGCAGAGCAGCGAAGCAATGATGATAATTGATCGGCCTATTATTTTTGGTTTTGTTGTTGTTGTTGTTGTTGTTGTTGTTGTTACGTTTTTTTTCTTTTTGGGGGGGGGGAGGGGGGTGTACCAATTTCACATACATGATAGCACGTCAGCCGACTTTGTTGTTAGTCATATCGGGATTGAACTTTATGATATAAAACAAAATGCACTATATATGTCGCTTCGAAACCTTATCATTTCCAAGATGATATAATTCAAAAGCAAAAATATAGCGCTTTTTTCGATGAACAGCTTGATGAACCATGACGGTCAATTCTGATTTTCTTTCATTTTTGCTAAACCTTTCATGACGTCATAGAGCTGGGTGGACGAGAATTTGCAATGGGACCCAATGGACTATGCCGGACTAGACACGCTGATGGTGGCATCTACCTACGTGTGGATCCCTGACGTCTTCATCTTCAACACGTACGTATCCTAAGTCATACACAGCATAAATTACCGACGTTCATATTTTTTCACGTAAGTTACCTACGTCATACGTCATAGGTAAGCTACATTGTATCTACGTTATCCAGTTAAATGCATGTGTACGTCATACATCAGGAAAGTGACCGACGCAGTCCATCACGTGTGAGTTATCTACGTCATCGAAACACGTGAGTTGTTAACGCCATCCGTACCGTAGATACATTGTGTACACGTAAGCTACGTCATACGACGGGTGAGTTTTCTATGTCATGTACAATGACAGCGAGCTTACTTCAATCAACACGTAATTACCTACGTCATCAATCATGTTAGTACATTATACCTTACGTCACTTCAACAAGTATGGATATTTTATTCTCCCACACTTCACAGGTACATTCCCGTTTTTGGTAGGGAAAAGATAAACCTGTCTTGATCTAACCCGATTTAGACAGCTGGCACGCGCTATTACGTCACAGACAACGCACTTATTTCAACATGACCTGTGATCCTGTGCACTTTTAGTAAAAATCGATAACATCATCACTTTTACACACATGTATTGGAACAATTAGAGAACAATCAACAATAAACAAAAACACAGGATGTCGTCTCTTCTCTCATTGACCAATCGCTCAAAGGAAACCGTACACTGGGTCTAGTGCACCAATATCACATCGGCCGACGTCAAACGATCGAACTGTCAACAAACATTACACGTGACTACAGCGCACAACAGCATGTCCTTGTGCGAACCTGAAAGCGTTCGTAAATCCAATGAATGTGAAATCCCGAGTATATTTCAAGGCACAACAATCACTGGAGGAACATTTAACATTACCATCAACAATAACACAACGATGTCAGCCCCCAAAACGAAACGACCGAGGGTGTTGTATTCTGACTCCGAGTGAACTTTTCGAAGCGTGAAGTCAGCGAGTGCAAGTAGTTCTGTGTGTTTTCGTTAAAGACACTATATCGATTAATCTTATAACAAAAAAAATGTCAATATACAATATAACGTTGCTAAATACTAATAATGTATTAAATACCTGAATTTAATTTACGTTGCGGATTTTTGTACACACATTTGCAGCACAGCGGCTATGTGTATATTCATGCGCCATTGCTGATAGTACGGTATGAAAATGTGGGAGAAAAATAATCAATTATTCCTGTGTGATGTAGACAGAGATATCTCAACCCTCGGGATGAGTTATTTTTTTAGATTTAGCACTCGGCTTAAACCTAAAAAGATATCTCACCCTCTGGTTGAGATATCTCTGTCTATATCACACAGGATAGATAGATTCTATTATTCCGTCTCCATCATTCATAGCATTTAGTTTCTCAACGTTTGGATTTCTCATTCATTTGTCTACCTTCCTCAACCCCCTGTCTTTCCCACCTTCTGCCTACATTTTCAACTTTCTTCCCTCCGTACACTTATTCTTTTCTTACTTGTTAGCTTCACAAAAAACAATAAAGAAACAAATATGACTGAAGCGTTACAGGTAAAGATCTGGGTAGATATGTGACTTTTGATATAATTTTGGCTATTTCCCCATTGATTGACCTTTTTCATTGTTGTATCGCGTAACCCGAAAAAAATACGGTACGTACCGAAAAAAGCTTTGTGCACTTTTGTGCAATAATCTGCATGGCGGATTTATGCAAAATGCACACATTTTTTTCGTTATATAAGCCAAAAATAATCATGAGTTTTCTTTAAATAATTAACAGGAGATCCACAAGTCAACTGAAACATATAACATGTATTTAAAATTATTGTTTTTCCTGTCGTTCCAGAGCGGGAGGTGAACTAGACGGTTTTGTGAACGTCACCGGAAGTAAGCTCATGATCAAGAGTAATGGCGGGATCAAATGGACGGTACCGTTAATGATCAAGAGCGCATGTTCCATGGATGTCAAGTTTTTCCCGTACGACAGTCAACGGTGCCGGATAAACTTCGGATCGTGGATATATGACGGATCAAAGATAGACCTACAGCCGTACCCAACTAAACCTGACCTTAAGGAATACATGCTCAACAGTGAATTTGACCTTCTGGGCGTGACCCTGGACCGGACAGTAGCCAATGAAACATGTTGTCCAGGACCGGGAAGTCACCCATTTATAAACTTTGGCCTGAGAATCAAGCGGAAGTCCATTTATTATGACTACATCGTCATTGCACCTACCATAATGCTTTGCGTCCTCACACTGGCTACCTTCCTTCTGCCCTGCCACCACGGGGAAAAGATATCCATCGGTTTGACGGTCTTCCTCACGTTATATGTACTGCAGCTGTTGATTGCTGAAAATGTTCCTGATACCAATACAACGCCTATCTTAGGTAAGTCACGAAAAAACCCGTATGCCAAACTATCTTTTTTCTTTAGAAAAAAAGGACAATTTTCTTCATTTTGGGCGCATATAGTCGTCCATCCAAACCTCTGGAATAACTGACTCCCTATGGGTGGGGGGAATGTTTTTCGAATGATAGCTATGGAAACATTAATTCAATATATTTGGGTGAATGTTGTTTTAGGGGCAGGGACAGAAGTCGTTTGCTAGCGGGGTCATTAAGCTAAATGTCAAGGTCACAGTGGCTGTAAGTAGACTTCAGTACTGAGAAAATATTAGGAAAATATTGGTTTCTGGATACTTTCCTTTAAAAGATATATTGCATCTAACACAAACTTGGATAGCTGATACTCTTTGGAAAGCGAAAGATCCCTATTGGGTTTGGTAATACTACGTCAAAGGTTAAGGTCATTGCCGCTATAAAAAGATTTGATTTTTTTTGAAAGGTCAATTTCTGGATGGTATCTTTTGAACAGTATATTAGATCTAAGTCAATCTTGTTGCCCCTTTGAAAGCGGAATATCTTTATTGAATTTTGTATTACTAGGTAATTAGACTTATTTCTGTAATATGTTTGCTTCTTGAATCTGAAAATATGTTTGCTTTTGCACTATTCCGTCTTTGCGTATTGCAGAGTTATCTTCTCTTGGGAGCAGGTATTGATTGTTACGTCATTGTTTTGTGTGAGAAAACTACGTCGTTTTCTCAATAATTTATGACGTTACTCTCACAAACAAGTGACGTAACCATCAATACCTGCTCCTAAGAGAAGATAACTCTGCAATACGCAAAGATGGAATATGTTTGGGCATGTGTCCCCAAAAACCAGAAGCTTCTTCAATAAGCATATGTCGGAACTACCGACATTTTTTGTATCTTTGTTTATATATTACAGGTATCTTTATATTCCTGGTAATGACGATGAACTGCATATCGATGATAATGGCTACGGTCGTACTCATCATCAAGAAACATGGAGGCCTCAAGCCGGTTCCAATGGTGCCAGCCTGGGTTCTTTGGTTCTGCGAAACATGTTTGAGTAAACTTGTATGCACTCAGCTTCGTTCATGGGACTACAAGTTCGATTTGTGTACCGAGCAGCGTGACCAAATTCCTGTATCACGTGACCGAGCCTGCCTCGTGATGACTGACCCCATAGGAATTCACCACCAGAGGACGACCGACTACAGTCCGGACACGGACGACACAATGACCGTCGTGTATGATGGACTGGACATTGGAGATTATGTGCAGAAGAATGTGTGTTACAACGATAGCGAAATCGTTACAAATGGCGGCACAAAAACTCAGGGAAATGGCAGCGTGCCCAAGTGTTCATCTTCTCATTTAGAACCAAATAGGCGGGAATCGGAAATAGAAGCGGACGACGGCCAGTGTTCTTCTGCCTGTGACATGACGTCATATAGACGGATGTTGCGTAACAGGAGATCTTATAGACGAGCATTGCATACTGATGACATGGATGAAGAAACAGTGAGTTTAGACAACGAGTCAGCCAAACAGGCCGAATACATGGAACAAGTTTTTCGAATAAACCGTTCACGAGCCGTGATGGAACGGAAACGTCAATGGTATTTCGTGGCAGAAGTTGTCGACAAGGCATTGTTTCTAGTTTATCTAGTCAGCATGTTTGTTACCATAACAACGGTACTAGTCATAGTCCCCTGTACGGCCCCGTCAACGTAGAGCGACACCTAGTCCTGTTGGTCAACTTTGTTATCAATAACGCACGCCACCTAGCGAGAATCACTTTGTGAACGGCGTATATTTTCTTCTATTGAGCATCATTTCGTTACTTAAAAACGCCACCTAGTGGCAGCACCTAGTCATCAGTATATCAATATACCTACTGACCGTCCATTTATTATGAAAAAAACCGTATTGTATAATCATTTTTGTATCTAAGATTGTTAAAACCTACGTAATTCCTGGATTTCAGTGGGGACGTAATGGATACCACATATGGCACCGGAAATGCTTACCTTCCAAAACATGTGATTTCCTATCAACTTCAAGTCGCTATCTTTCCTTACATTGCAAATTTGACAACTGTCACGAGAGAAAAAAAATACCATCATCTTTTAACTTTTATTATGCAAAGCGTATGGAAATATTGATATCAGTAATACATTTCTTCATTCTTTATTTAAGTATCCTGAAGTAAATTATGTTTCAATCTACACAAAATTTGATTAGCTGAAACTGAATTTTCACAATTTTCCATTCCGTATACTTTCATTTTCCCCGTTCATTGGTTTTTAAGGTGTAATTTTCCAAATATTTTCAGTTGGTTATATTCTGAATATCTCATCAAAACTTGAAAACCAATAAACAAAAACAAAATTGACGATATTGTGGGATAAAAACTCAAAATTATCTTTCATGATGTAAAATTAGGTTCAGGGTCACCACAAATGACTCAAGAAGATTCACGTTAATTTACATCCAAGGTCCTGAACGTTTTATTTACGGTTTTTGATTTTGGAAAGCCGTCATATTCACACCGCAATCCTAGCTAGCACTCCCCGCATGCGCAGTACTAAAATACACCTTACCAAAACGAACAGAGAAGCGGTTAAACCTGAACCGACGCCGTAGTTGGTTAAAACAATATTTTATTTACAAATATGCTGTACATAATATATAATTTTACATAATGTAATATTAGGGATCTGGCAACAAGAGTAGGCTCTTATATTAAGCCATCTCCCAAGCCACTCCGTAGTTTTTTACCGAAATGTTGAAACCATGACATTATTTTTCAAACGTCACTGACGGATATAGGTGATGATTGTACACCGGCAATAATATCTTTGACATGATCAGCGGTACATCCTTGACAGTGGGATCTAGGCTTTTGGGGTTAGATATTTAATATTTGAGAAGCTGACCCTCAGTTTCACGACACTATCCGCTTAATTCAAGGAAAGTCCTTAACTTAAAAAGTTATGGAAAGTTTTCCTTTACTAAAGATATTTTCCTAAACTCCAATAATGCTTTTCTAAGGAAAACTTAAGTAAAGGAATTTAAGGAATTTCCTTTAAATGATTTTCTAGAACTCGAATTTGTAAGATCGTGAAACTGGGTTCTGAAGTTAACATTAGTTATCTCCCTTTGTACATATTATGTTTTTGCTTGTTGATGTGTCAAGCGTGCCTACTACACTTGTACAACATGCATTAGACTGCATTGATCGTTATAAGAAACTTTGCGAAACATTTCCACATATCTAAATATATGTCATATGATTCATTGTGTTGTAAAATCATGTTCGTAAGAAACCAAAACTCGAAATCTGACATTTCAAATTAAATGTCTATTGTTAATACTTTCATTACAGGTTTACTGACGGATCCCAGTCCAACAGCACTAGTTTTTCGTATTAACAGTAAATTCCCGTTAATTCCGTTTTGGCTGTAACAGTAGACCATGAAACTACTACTCCTTTAAAGAAAGAGTGGTCAGCCATTTTAATTCCTTGCCAAATCACGTCGTCACATCACCATCAATAAAGATGATGGATAAGCGCTGGGAACACCAAGAATGTTATTACAAACATGAACTCGACCATGATGAACTTTTTCACTGTCGGGGAGGCTTGCGACACAAAATGATCATGATATACATAGACATTTGCCTGCGTCCAGTAGTACTATCATATTATATTATTATGAAACTTCCGTTTACCAGGTAAGCTCAGTGGGTTAGAGCGGCAGTACAGTTACAGTTCGAATCACTGTCTAGCCCCACTGAATTTTTTTTTTTAATTCAAAACACTGTTGTTGATGACATTTTGTTTATTTTATCTTTATTGTATTTTTTTAGTAAAAGTCCAGCAAGGTATGCCTTTCTTCTCAGAAATGATTTAAACAAAGTAATAATCATGTCGGAATAAACAGTTTCCAATGCCTAGTAACATTTTTTGGCAGTGGTCCGGGGATCCTTAGTTTATTTTACATCTACAAATAATTGATGAAACGTATAGCATTTTTATGTATTTTTAAACTTTGCGTTTCATTGACCTTTTTTAATTTCAAATCTTTTCTTATTCAAAACTTCTTTTTAAAATGTTGAATAAAAACTAGGAGAATAGTACACATAGAGTGACAGAAATTGTTTTCCTATATAATGTAAATGATTTGAGTACGTTAACGGAGGTCATTTTTGTCTTAGTCCTCTAGATCTGCTCAGAGTCGAAATCGAAACTACAGAAAGTTATTTCTGTGCTCTGTAATATTAACTGTATTTATTATACAGCAATTATGCACGTACTTAAATGAACTTAGCTGTTGATAGAACGTCAAACCCAACACAACAAAGCAACCGACCAATAGCAATTACGAAATCCGTGTTATCAACTTATATTAATCACTTGTGTTGGCCCGGATGGAAGCGGGTAAGGGGTCTTAATGTTCTAGATAGTTCAACACTGTGACATATACTCCTCCCATGGTAGAACATTTAATGGTTTTCCCGTTGCATATTGTACATAGTTTTACTCGAATAGAAGAATATACCAATACTTTATTAAAAGATATAGTGACGTGCCATGATTTTTCATGTTACGTCATTTCGACATTAGATCCTATGTTAATTTACTTCATTTAAAAAAGAAATATAGTTTGACATCAAATTTTGATAAAATTTTACGTCCTGCTAGAGAATGATGCAGCGCTTCTTCCGGTACAATGTATTTACGTTATTACACGTGTTATTGAAATATCAATTTTCATCCAATAGACACAATGTAAAATTTTTACAGAATTGTTCTGGTAATTAATGCGTCTTGGTTATAATTTCTACGAAACGGATAATAATAATAATCATATAACAAATGGAAGCGCTAGATAATTTTCCAGTCGTGTGCCAAATTTCATGTCAGGAAAATTTCAAAATTTCAAAATTGAATTAACATAGAATCCGGGGAAATGACGTAATGTGTAAGACGTATGGCACGTCACTGTATATAGCACTGAGTAATTGGCAGGTATGGAATGATAACGGTAAATGGAGTCGCGCCGTTGATATAAACATGATAACAATTGCTATGAACTATATGACTTCATAATGGAAGATGATCAGACGTCGCAAAGCGTTTTTGTTTCTTGACGTCATAACTAGACGATTGACTAATGAAATAACATACAGGCCCCAGTTACTAAAAGGTTGGTTAACTTAAACCAGTGGTTAGCGAAACATTCAGATTGTTGTCAATACAAAACAAGAGCTTTCAAAGCAATATAAGTCCCCGCAACACATCAATATAATCGGTCTGAACAAATCTAGAGCGGTGACATGATTTTAGATGTTCTTGATTCGATGTATATATTGTTAAATTTCCCCTGACCACTAGTTAACTTAAACCAAGTTCTAAGCAACCTGTATGGGCCTAAGATGTTTCCCACTAGCGGGTAACCGAAATCGGTTTACCAACTCCTAGCAGGTTTAACCAATGAGCTGAGAGTGATGAAACCTACAGTATAGTGCGTAGTTTTGGGAGAAAATGATATCTTTCACTCATTGATTAATTCATTAATATATATATATATGTACCAATCGAAACGTTTATTGTTATTTAATGCATTGTAATCAACTGTCAAATCTGGAGTTGTTAAGGTATATAAAAACTAACTACACAATCGATGCATTTTTTGTAAGTGATTATTACCAGACTATGGATTACGTTGAACAGCCCATTCAAAATGGCGAACAGACTTATTGTCATGTGTAACGTCATTACAATATGGCGCCAAATATTACGTAATTCATCACCGCACCTTTAGAAATGATGTGTGTTTGTCGTTTTGCTTTCAAAATAAATAAACAGAAAAAGTTGTTTTCCTGTCGAATATTACGGGTTTTTCACTCATGTCGCTGAATACACCTTTGGTTTTTTTTTCACTACAGCTTTCAACTTGTCAAAAAAATATCAGTAATTTGTAATATGAGTGAAATAGAAATGGTATCCAATAAGAAACGAATAAATATTCTTTTATAATGCACTATGTGTATGGGCATGTCTACCATATTCGTTGTACAAATGCATGAATAAAAAATAAACTCTAGCAAATAAAATCACCATTTAGTTTCTTTGACATTTTACTACGCATGTATTTCATACACTGATTTCAACCAGCCATGTAAATGTCATTATTGGGTAAGACTTGTGTCATAGTTACCATATCAACAAATTCAAATTACATTGTATAAGAAAAATTCTTATTCCAACGTGGTAATAACACCATTCACCATGTGTATATAACAACGAAAGTTAGACACATCACCAATGCAATAGGTTCATATAACAACACACGTTCCTTTTGTAAGTTATATCTATTTGAACAGATCAGAAACTTTTAGGTAGGTTATAACTGTAGAAAAGAGATTTGAGATTTGGTAAATGATTCTGATATATTTTCCTATAGATTATTATTTTCTATTACATATTCTTTTTTTGTAATATTACGTTCCATTAACAAAGGAGAGGTCATTAGGGCGAATACATGGTCGATAAAAACAAATGTGTGTAATGAAAATGACATCAAACAACCAAAAATATATAAAAAAAACAACAAAAACAAAACAAAAAATAATTTTATAGACATTTATTGTTTCGAATAGGGATTTAAGACATGAAAAAGTTGACAATGTAGAGAACAGCACAAACTTAGACACCTGACAATACATCGTGCTTAAGTCTCATTGTGTATTTGATAAAAAAAAATATATGTTTTAAATTGATCAATTTGAAGTATTCAGCAGTATATCATTAGATATCCTGTATCTATTGATTGATAAAGCGATATCCTTCACACAGTGAACAATACCAATTGTTTTTATTGACCAATCCTCGATACCCAGGGGTTTCGCTCACTTTCGCTCTCTGCACCCCTAAAATATGTCATAACAAAATCGGAGGCAGCAGTGTGCAGCACCTTCTGGACGAGACGCGAAGACTAGTTTGATCTTTTGATGAACATCAAAAGAATTTCGCGGCCGCGTAACGGTAAATTCGTAATGGCTTTGAAGTCGGACGTCGCTTCTGTCATCTTCAAAGGACAAGTACTGTATCAGCCTAGTGATTGGTAAGGTTGATTTACCGGACACCAATCAAATAGCTAGCCGCGTGCCTTCAATTTTGTTATGACATATTCCAGGGGTGCAGAGAGAGTAAGTGAGCGTAACCCCTGAGTATCGAGGATGCTATCAATCTGAAAAATCTGAAAAAGGGATATCTTTCACTCAGTGAACTATACAAATTAGTTACATTGACCAATCGCCGTCATAGTACACCGTGAAGATAGCAGATACCATTAAGTAGAACACCACGTGGGTAGCCACAGGTAGAACTATCCTCACCAGCAATGAACGGTTGGTGTGCAAGTTCGGTACGGACAGTTACACCATACACGTAGTTTATTTTTAATCCGTCGATTGTTGACTATATATTTCACGAAGCCCTACAAGGTAGTCTTGAAACAATATTGAATCTAGATATATAGTCTTGAAGCAATATTGAATCACATGGTTCGGAAATTCAAACAGACAAATAAAACGTATTTTATCTAACAAAATGATAGTTTATTGCATGACTTAAAGAGTCTACACATTTAGATGGATTTTATAGAAACTAACAGTTCCAGTTCCGCGACCGATGACGTACATGTAGGGTTCGTTACCAAGGATACCCTGTGTGATGATCCTGTCAACAGAAACGTATCAGATGAGTCAGAGAAACATTCTTTCAAAACATTACTTAAACCAACATGTTGAGATTTTTGAAATAATAAACGGAAATGTCAGACTGAATGGTTTACATTTCAGCAAAAACGATAACGAAGGATCAAAATGTCAACAAAACACATTTAAGGGATAATCTCACAAAAAAAAAACCCATTCAAGGGTCAATCTAACAACAAAACACATTGATTGGACATTGAAGGCATATTCATTCAACTAAAACAGTGAAGGATTAATCTGTAACAAAATAAAGTTAAAAGACAATATGCAAACAAAACGTACCAAAGGAATAATCTGTGAACGAAATGCCTGAAAGGACAATCTATTAAACAATTTGCCAATTTCACCAAAGAGTCAATATGTGAAAAAAATACTGAAAAAACTGAGGAAGTTTAATAAGGAACTGATGACAGATTTTCAGATAAATGAAATGTTAAGGTATTTAACTTTTGAAAAATGTATACTTTTGATACATTTCCATGTCTGTGTGCGGATTTGCACAGGGGCAAAATGTCTGGGGGCGTTTCTGTTTTGGGTCACCGGTTTTGCTTGTAAACTTCCGGTTGTCAACTTCTGGACGCTGTGACACTCTAATATGCCACTAAACCTATCAAAAAAGTCGTTTTGTAACCTTTGCAAGGTATGTATTTATGAATTTAGACAGTTGTCACTGGCGTTGAACTTAAAATATGAAAGTTATTAGCTAAAATGTTTGGTAATAACATATAGTAAATGATTTAGTTGTGTGAGTCCTATCAACGACTTACCCCATGTCTGAAATAAGCCCGTCCCCGGCCGCGGCCGAACCCTGCGCCTGACCCCAGATCGCCGTAGTGTTACCCAGCCTGTAGACGCTGCTGAAGACGGGGGTGTTTAATGCCATGTAGTAGAGGTAGATGAGACCATTACGTGTCCCTGCAGCTATGATTGGGATCGAATTGTAGTGACCGGCAGTCATCACGTGCGGTTCAGGGCCCTGAAATAAGACATTTGGCAGAAGTAAGTACGGGTCATTTCGTTTTTGTTTTTCAAAAGAGGTGAAGCTCTGAAATATATGTGATGGAGCTTGGATTGAATAATTTGGTCACTTGGACAAATTAATCAATTGAATTGTATGTTTGATGTATAGGGAGAGAGGTATTTACCGTATAAGGTTAACGTCACGCTACCACAATTGGTACACTACCCAAATTGGTACACGGTCAGAAAATTGTTCAAATAGTACTTTAAAATTAACTTTGAGCATTTTCCTTTGACAGTATAACTAAAGAGAATAAGAGGTATTCTGCCAAGTAGTTTTGTTGTCAGAAACATTCTAAGAGTACACGATGACTTCAAAGTAAACATATTAGAAAACCAGTAAAAACGACGTACGTCGACGAAATTTTGGAGGATTTTCAAGGGGTTAAATATAAGCATGTTTTAATGTTGATTTCTGGTCCTTATATTAGGATAATATAAAAGTGAATATATACAATTATAGTTCAGTATGGTATCTATAAAAGCGATATATTTTGTTGTAATCGGCACATCATCTTGTAGAAATAAAAACAAATTACATAGCCTGTGATATGGTGTACCAATTTGGGTACTATTTACGGACGAAAAACGGACGAAATCTCACTCCGAGTTTAGCGTTCTATTTTCAAAAACAAATTACTTAGATATAACACTTTTCCTGAAAATGAACCACCATAGGTAGTCTTTGACAAGAATCAAGAAACATTCCAGATACAAGATCTGAATTTTTAAAGATCACTAAAAACCTGTCAAAATTTTACCAATTGTAGTAGCGTGATGTTATGCATTAGATACTGTCTTTAACACTGGCACGACTAAAGCTTTTGTAAATCGATTATTCGTCAAAATATTCCGATCAGCGCTTGTGTAAATACCAACACTTAATGATGGTACAATTTATTCTGGTAAGTTTTAAAAAAACAACTCTCAGTGTAAAAACCTCGACCCCATCTACATGTAACATTCCTGTAACAAATTTCATACTTTAGGTCCGGTGGGTGAATACAAAATATTTGGTATTGTTAGAAAAGTTGATACTTTTACACAAAATGTATTTTCCTTTGTCAGACATGATTTCCGTTTCCTCAAAAAATACACGCTATTTCGAGGTTTTATTTTTTTAATAATTGTGTAACTTTTCGTATTTTAATGAGATTGACGTCATGATCGGGCGAACTCATCTTTTCTCAATTCCTGGTGTCCACAGCAGTATTTAAGGATACTAAATCAACGTTTTATAGTATTCCTTTAATGTCATATACGCAAATTGGAAAGAAAAAAACACCAGAGGGCTTTTTCTTCGTAATACTAGCTCTGAGGTAACACTGTTTTAAACAATTTTCATAATTATTCTTTGGTCGCGGGATGAAAGATTATTTCTAAACCGAGAAAAAATCGCTCTATGCTAAAATCTCAATCAATGATTCTACCATATCATCGGAGCGAGTGTCCCTCTCATCGAAAGGAGACACTGTTTCATCAGAGCAGTCACCGTTGAAGACATCAGGGTAGGCTGAAGAAGCCTTAAGTTCGAGGTCATCGCCGGTGTGGTGGTCCATGGTGAAGGTGTTTGGGTTCCAGAAGCCGAGGTCACGCCCTCCGAACAAGTGAATGTCAGCTATGAGGTCAGAAGCTACAACACCGCGTCCATCAACAGTGCTGATATGGACTCGCCCTGTTATAAAAGTACTATTTAATATATAACATTTAACACATATTTTTGTGTGATCATTAAGGAATGAAATAAAAAGTAAACAAACACAAAAAGAAATAAAAACAAAAACAAAATTAACAAAACAGGGCAAGAACAAAACGAAAAATCAAGACATTGACAAAAATCACTACAATTTAAAAAAAAACTTTTTCCTTTTTTCCCCATTTCATTATAGTTCAAAGGGGTTTTCAAAGGACGGTAAAAAGTCCCTCCTCATTAAAGATATCATTAACTTGGACAATATTTCTATATATTTATTTGACAACAATTATGAAACAAGTTATTTACAATTATATTAATCACTCTTGTTGGCCCGGATGACAGTGTGCGGAGGGTCTTAATGTGGGAGGAAACCGGAGTGCCCGGAGAAACCCACGTTTTAATATTTAAGGAATGACCAAGATTTTTTTCGGTATATACCGTATATACCAAAAACAATATTGGGCATTCTTTATAATTTGATTTTAAAAAAAAGTAGACAAACACGTTGTAAATGCACAGTTTATTTAATGTTTAGGTAAACTAAACAAATGCGCTAAAATAACGCTGCGTTGTAATTTTGCATTCTGAAGTGTAAAAAGTAGTTCCGTCATCAGTTGTTTTTCTTTTTAGGTATATACGATATATACCAAAAAAAATATTATGGGGGAGATAGGCAAAATTAAATTATTTACAAATATCGGTAATATTATACTGACAACGGGCTAACCGGCCTTGACCACCGTAAATTATAAAGTTGAACGTTATGAAGAGAGAACATAGTAACGATTGCTTTAAGGACTTTGGTTAGTTTTGTTGAGGGAAGAGAATCAATAACATTTCTCGCTTGGGCGAACGGAACGCTTTACACCATAGGCAGGTATTGCCAAGTAAGACGTGAGACAAAGACAAAGTAGTAAGACAAGAAAGAAAATAGAAATATCCCTACTGCTGAAGTGGTGCAGCAAGTCTATAGTGATCCCCTTTTCCCCAAAAAGAGGGCACCGTCCCCAACCCCATGGCTGGATACATTGACTGTACAATATGCATAAAGAGAGAAGAACGTAGGACTAGCACATATGATTTGACCTATTGATACAATATGCCAAATTAAATTACACTGTATAATACGGGAGTTTATTCCTTCTAAGACTTATCGGTAATACTAGTGGTCAAATTTTTTGAAATCTAAATCGGTCTGAACTACTGTTGAAATAGGATAAGTGCATAAAACCCTTATTGATAGCAATTTTTAAAAATTAAAGGAGTACTGTTTATCAAATTATTAAGGAGTAAGTGCGCATTTGATAAACCCTTGTTACACTACTTAGAAGAGATCAAGGTTACAGCAAACCACGGGGACTAAACTATCCACCAGCAGAGTCTACCTTCTTGTATCTTGAAAGATGACCATATGACACACTCATGTGTTTGCACTTACAAAATGTGTATTGGATAAAAGCAGGACTACAAATATTAGGAATAAGTTTACCCAGGGGTTCGAGAGAAGCAGTCGGATGAAGACAATGGGCAAATAAATCATGATCTCATTGAGAAATATTCCATGTCCTCACTAAATTTGAATATAAACGTTTACGATAATGTTCATTAATTTAGTCTGGATTTTATTTTGCCATTACACCGTTTTTCTCTTTGAATTTATTGGATTCGAACTTAATTTACATGGCAGGTATCGTCGTTTTATTCTCCTTGCATATTTATACATTTTTAAGTATCCGTGTAAATCATTGCTTTGTTCATTTTTTCATATTGTTTCATTGGTTTGAGTTCGAATATGGGCTTTATTAACACTGAGAATTTTCTTGTGCTCTTATTTTCAAAAATGTATTTCTTACCCTCAACACAATGCTAAAATTTTACCTTTTTTGACGTTACATTTATCCGATTTGACCGATGATTATAGCAAATCGTATATCTGTGTGATTCGTTGTATTTCTGCTATGACCGGTCAAGGATAACAAATAAGAATAACGAATAAACTCGAGCACACAGACATACCACATCATGCATTTCCCATTATGTCATGGACTCCTCTTATTTTGAAATATATATCAGATTTTTTGTTTTTATATTTTTACATTCTCGGACGAGAACATCTGTAAGGGTATCAGAAATGATTTACAACACATATTTTAGTACTTTTCTATGACATTTTCATTACTTCTAGAAATTCTACTTGGACACACAACGTCACGCTACCACAATTGGTACACTATCCAAATTGGTACACTGTCAGAATATGGATCGAATAGTATTTAAAAATTAAATTTGAGCATTTTACTCTTAAATCATCACAAAAGAGCTATCAATTAACATTACCAACGAATAGTTTTGTTTTCAGGAACATTTAAGAGTACATGATAACTTCAAAGCAAAAATATCAGAAAACCTAAAACGACGTATGTCGACGAGATTTTGGAGAATCTCAAAGGGGTTAATTATAACCATGAATAAATGTTGATTTCTGGTCCTTTTAACCGGGTAATATAAAAGTGTATATATAAAATTGTAGTTCAATATGGTATTTTTAGCAATAGAGTTTGTTGCAATCGGCACATCAACTAGTAGAGAGAAACAAAAAGTCTCATAGCCTGTAATATGGTATACCAATTTGGGTACTAATCATGGCCAAAAAACGGACCTAACCTTACTACAAGTTTAGCGTTCTATTTTCAAAAAAACAAATTACTTAGAATCAAAACCTTTTCTGAAAATGAACAACCATGGGAAGACTACTGTATGTCAAGAATTTAGAAACATTCCAGATCCAAGATCTGGATTTTTAAATATCACTGAAAAACTGTCAAAATTGTACCACTTGTGGTAGCGTGCTGATTTGTGGTTATTTACTAAGATCACTGTATATAACTATTTGGTTGCATGATCAATAGGTCCTAATCAAATAAATAGAACTAAGGAAAGAAATAATTTGGATGAAATCTTACCTAAACGTGATGGACTTGAAAGATCAAGGATAATCCCTTCAGGTGCCAATATGTAATCAATGAGGCCATCTAGAGAAACATTGTTCGAAAAGGTGAAATAGTTTATTTCATAACGTATTCGATAGATCGGAATATAGAATTAACATGTTGACACAAATTTTACTGATAAATAAGTTATAAGACTCTTCAGGTTAAGTTCATTGAGCCTGGTAATGTCATGGCTAAGTGTGAATGTTAAATGTAATGTTATTGATTATTTTTTCAGGTGAATTCCAGAAATAACCGAAAATTACCATTTAAGGCAGTTTGTCCTCTCGAATTGTCTGAAAAGTCAACTCCATGCTCATCTATTGTATAAGTCTTCATGGCACCCGTGTTGGCAGTAACAACAAACGGTGTGCTTGTCCCTTGGACGAATACGGCTCCAGTCGGCTGATAGATGCTTTTCACATGATAGTGACCGACCAAGTTAATGCCTTAAAAAGAAATATACTTATATCGTTAAGACATCAACTGATTGTGCATACATCTAAACATAACAAGATAGAATCATTCAATAGAAATGGATAATTTTGATGGTGCTACGACGCTTGATCGGTACCCCAAAAGAACTTATTTACTGGTCAAACAAAATTTATCTGACAGTAGTTTTATGAAGATGATTTAGAACTTACCGCCGTCACGGTCACTGGCATCCAAAACACTGCCCCTCCAGTCTTTGGTTCCCATGGGATAAATATCGACCCAGGTGTCGTTAATCAGATTTATCACAGCTATAGCATTATTTTCCTGTTACACATAAAACAAATTCTAATTTAATTGATATTTTAAACGACATTTGATTGGTCAATCGATATAATAAAATCACGATATACTGTTAACAAATGAATGCAGCAAACTGTTCATTTGCATATGAGGCCTTGATGCCTTAGCTGACCATGAATAGTCTAAAACAACACTAACCTCAGAAAACAAAAATAAACAAAAACAAAAATAAACAACATCATCAACATCATACAAACTAGACCACAGTATCAACACACAAATACAGACCAAAGCATGAACACACAAAACGAGACCCACGCATCAACACAAAAAAATCATAACAGAATCAAACAAATAGATCACAGCATTAACACACAAAACGAGACCCAAGCATCAACACAAAATCATAACAGAATCAAACATTTAAAAGACCACAACGCCAGCAAAAATAGATCACAGCATTTACACACAAAAATAGGCCTCAACAACATAAACAACACTCCATGTCAACAGAAAAGACAACAGCATAAACACATAAACAAAATGTACCATATACCATAGCATCAGTATACACGTATTCTTAACATGGATCAAGTATGGACTTTCGTCTAGGTCAATTTCACTTTCTCAAGTTCATATAACTTTATATTCACCGAAATAAACGCCATTTAATGTTATATTATGTACTGAATAATGTTTTAATCATTAAACAAGTGTAACGTATTGAAATTGTTAAAATAACAACAAGTTCATTTGCATAAAGAGCATTGTGACGATAAATTGAAATGAAGTTTAAAATGAATATTGAGTTGCTGTTTCTAAAAATTGTAACACCGAGTAAATATCATAATAACCGACTTCCACCTGACTCTAATCTAGCCAATGAGGATAGAGTACGTCTTACCGGTAGAGTGATGTAGGCCCGCGTGTTATCATCACTAATGGCGATGTCTTCCGGTTCGATGTCCTGTGAAAGTTCCGTGTTAATACCATTGTTATGGTCTCCACGGTATGCCCAACGTATACCTCTAGTAACGTAATCCAAGGCTCTAACATTTAAAAAATAAATTTAAAAAAATCAGTATTTTTCATTCAAATTTTCCATTTTCATTCTCTGGAATGAAGAATTCTATTAATCGTATAATATCATTTAATTGTTAAGCCTCTTCGCCTTTGTCAGGAACGGTAATAACGTTTCTGTTCATCTGGTCAGTTGATGAAACGTATATCAACTCCCTAAAAGAGCAAAAAGATATTTTGAATAAGGGATTTTAGACCCCACACAAATAGACGAAAATTGAAGCCTGTACGGTAATTAATACAAATAAACATGTCCAAACTCATTGGTCATTTAGGTTTGGCCATCCACTTAAACAGATTAAAAGAAAATGTCCATGAAGAATGTTGAACTGTGCTAAATGATAACTCTTTTATTGCGCAAAAAAATTACACAAACAAATCTGCAAATATAGGTGTTGCTTTTCTGGCAATGGCGGCGGCCTCGGCGTCAACATTAGGTCTCTACGTTTAACTTAGTTTCACTGAAAGCATAAGTGCTACACCAACCAAACTTGTACCATAAATCCATCTTAGGTAGTACATATCAACCCATGCATCAAATGCTGGATGCGGCCAACTTTTCATGGTCCATTGACTTTGTCAGCATCTCCATCAACATGAAGTTTTTGCGTTTAAGGACTTCCCGCCCTTCGTTATACACATGTTTTTCTTGTCGTATTTTCGTGTCGTCATTTCCGTATTGCGTATCGGGCATTCCATTACCGTAGTGTAAATTATAGTAACACCGGGTAAACAATAGTACACGTGCGTGACGATGATATGTCAACACCCGATATCGAGACTTACTAATAACTTGGAAATTATGTGTAATCACACGTACTTCAGAAATAAAGCTTATGATACAAAGATATTAATTCACTCACAGGAAAACACTGACATACGTAAGGCGACTTCGAGAAGGTCGTATATGAGGCGCATTGAATGCAGACTGATGTGTTTTGTTTACCGACCTCACCTGTACGTATCACGTGCTAACAGTAGTTTACAGGCTCTTGGTCGCTACGACTTTTGTTGTCGAGCAGCGAGTTACGCTCTGTCAGATAAATCGGTTCACAAAATGCAATAACAATACTCTGTGAAAATAGTGGTTTGTAAAATATCAAGATCCCTATAAAATGCAAGTGCATGTGCGTGCACGTAATAACGGCGTACCATGCGATAGCCTACGGTTACATATGTGCCTGACATGTTAATATACCATGCGTAAGCGGGATATGGAATGATGTCCAAAGTGTACATGATTGAGAGTAATTTTGTTCCATAAAAAAGCAGTAAATTGACAATTAAATATAGTAATTTAATTTATTTCCGTCGTTTTTGGTATAGCAAAAATGTTCCGATTGTTTTCAAGGAAGACAACTCTCATCAGGATCAAAATTATTGTAAAATGTAAAATAAATGAATTATAAAGACTTTGTCTGTATTTGGTTCAATTTCTCACTCTTTTTGTATGATACTATGAGTCCTGTTTGCTCTTAGATTGTATTTAGTAACTTTTATCCATACGATTACAATAAAAGCGCTTTTTGTAACAGTTTGTAGATATTTTATGATAAATAAAATATTTGTAGGGTTGATTAGCAATGTTTCTTTTCATTATTTTATTGTTGTAATAGTTTTGAATAATGCCACACGCTCAAAAAATATGAAAATGTTGAACAAAACAAATCCCCAGTTTATCGGAATGCTTAGATTTTCATAAAATCATCTCTACATAGTGACATAACCATTATGTGAAACTTTCATTGAATTCTGCTGGCTAATTTCGAAAGGGTGGAGCCTCCTTAAGTAAGTTTCTCTGATATGTGCATTGATGGTTAAAGAGGGGCACGGGCGAGACATATCAATCCGCATGGCTTGTTAAATAAGTACAAGATTGTGTAATTTGGAGAAATATTTATCTTTAATTTCATTACTAACATATGTTTAATGGTTATATATATGTTTAATGGTTATATATATGTTTAATGGTTATATATATGTTTAATGGTTATATATATATTTAATTTTGTATATATTTAAAGATCCCTGTCTCATTGCAGAAGCTTTTCATTATTTATAGCTTCCCCTTAATTTCCTTTTGGGTGTTACTGTAATCAGGTTTTTTGCAAGGGAATAACCACCCAACCAACCATCAAAATAATATACCATATATTGTCTTATTCCTGCTTGATTCCTTCGTGTTTTAACACTATGATTGACTGATCTAAACCGAAATCCCCATTTAAGAATTTCTTAATCACATATTTTATTTCCGCAAAAAAATCTTGTTTATCAGTTATGGCAACTCTTTTTATGTTAGTCTTGACCAACAAGACATCTTACTCGAAAGAACAAATACTTACTGACTGTCAAAGTCTTTGAAAGAAATTGGTCTGACACAGGGGGCGCCTGCTACGGCTAGATTCTTGTTAATTATAGTCACAGTACCGTCATGATCTGTGAATACCCCGTTCATCAACCCAGCGCGACCTTCATTCGTTACGAGTAACTTCTCACAGTCACTTGTGTACTTCATGTTCTTCGGTGAATCGCCCACTGAAACAAAGAAATCACATGTATCAGTTATCGTTATATCGCAGTATCTTTATATAAAAAATATCAGAGCACGCGCTATACTACTATATAGTTAAAAACAACTTGTTATTCTACACAAATAAATACTTTATTTATTGAAAAGGTTGAAGGTAGGTACTTAAACTAAGGATAAGAAGAAGTACCTGCAATTCGGTTGTGTTGTCCACAGTCGAAAGTATCGGTGATTACACTGTAGAGACTACACAAATACACATGGCCCTCGGCTAGTTCAAAAGGGTTTTCCACGAGGACAGCCAGGGTGTTTCCGCATACCTCAATATCTTTCAATTTGCCGTCGTTGCCAGCATTGAAATATTTCGTGGTAAGACGTGTCGGACTCGCTGCATTGCTGACATCCAACACATGCACGCATTTATCACCTGTAGTTGAAAACGTTATGTCAAAAGGGATTATATTTACTTGTTCTTTGTAAAGTCCTTAGATTTATATTGAAAGATTGACCAATGCAGTCATTTCCGGGGTGTTAGCCAACTAGTGGATAACCAAAACTGTTCCCTAAATTCAAGCAGGTTTATCGAATGACACGAAGTGAGAAAGCTGTCTTGAAGAAGCATAGAGTGATCGAGGGAGAAACTTCTGCTCTTTTGCATTGTCCTTTTTTCTTTCTTAAATATCAAACCGTTCATAGTTCTTAAATATCATTTATAACATATATAACTGTAAAATAAGATATTTTTGTGAGGCGAAATTTTCGTGGTTTCCCCATAATTCAATAATTCGTTCGTACATGAATTCGTGAATTGCGCGTACCAACACATACCGAGAATATCTTCACACGTCAAACCTATAATTACTTCGTGGACCTATGAATCCGTGGATTAAGACTACCAACGGAGTCAACGAAATCATTAATCCCACGAAAATAAATGATTTTACTTTTATTGCAGAAATCTTCAAAATCTGATGAATACGCCCTTTTTACACATATCTTGTCATAAAAAGAAAAGAAAAAAATGTACCGAGAGCGGGACCCTTTGGATTTAAAAGATATATGGCAGTATATTGTTATTATAGTATAGGATGCACACAATCTTACAAATAAGTTACCTGCTACATATAGTATCCTGGTGGGCTCATGCATGGCTGCTTTTACTGCAGAATCGCTAAACATTTGAATGTTTGCCACGGAACAGTCCGGTAAATTTAGGTAGCCAACATTCTCCAGAGTGTATGACTGTTGGGCGAGAGCGTTTGCGATGAACAGGCAGAAAATCAGTAGAAGCTTCATCATTGATTCTGTAAATAAATGTTGAAGATGAAGAAGACGATTATAGTTTTCAAAATTTAATTAACATTTGTATTCAAATAGGGATTGAACGGGTCTTTTTAACATTCAAGACTATATATTTACATTTCACTGCAGGTTCATCTACAATCATTACCAGAAGAAATTGCGTTCATATGGCTACATCGGCGTAATTTTGAAGATTCTTCTCCCGCTTCGAATAACGTGAGATAACCAAAAGAAGCAAACATTTTGGTGACGTGAAACTGTTCCTGGAATCTTGTATGCACTGTCGATAGAGCCACTTACATATCGAGTACATAGGTGAGTGAATACTTTTATTTGGATCAATTATAACCGTTAAATTTAAAATTTGAGTATAAGCCTTAACGGGTTTTATGGAATATGCAAGTAACAGATTTTCGTTCATACCGGAATGAACATAGAAAAATTCCGTTCGTTCAAGAAATATACCTAAAGGTAGGGTCAACGCCTGTGCAGATTTAACATTAGCGTCGGCCCCCACTTGGAATTTCAAAACAAGATAAATCCAAAAAGGTATGGGTAAAGGAAGCTTAAATCTGGAACCGTTAGTTTCAGAATTCATTTTAGGATAAATGGGACCTCATTGACTTACAGCTGTGTGGGTGTTAAAGGTGCGGTAATACAATTCCTCCTGGAGCATTTAAATGACAAAATTACTATAAACTTATATCATCATCGTGTGCAACATATTCCATCTGTTATTTTAATACCAAATATTGCACAATTTCAAGAATGAATTGTTCATTTTATTAAAGATTTAAGCAAAAAGTATGTGAAATTTCATTACTAATGAGAAAATTTCCATTTTTGACACGTTAATTTACATAGTTCTAAAACCAGTCTATTTTTTATACTTGTTTAAAAGTTGGCTACCAATAATATCTTTCAACATCAGGATTTTCAAAAACATTGACAACCGGTAAATTTGTCATGTAACACTTTTGATTGAAAATAAGAAAAACATAGCTTTCTTTCCACTTTTCCTTCAACTTGTATTTCTTCATGACCAAGGGTCATTGGGTGTTGATATTTGGCAAGTAGGTTGTTAATGTAAATGGATTTAAGTTTTGTAAACGTTGATGACATTGACCCTCGTTCAAGGTCACAAAAATCAATTTGTTAAAAAAATAGTTTGTATGGGGAGTTAGACAAGGATATCTTTTCTTGCTTTATTTGTTTAGAGTTAACGCTATAAAATAATGTAATATTCCTCCATATTTTGTTTAACGAATAGGCAATAGGCAAAATAAAATAATAACTAGAACTGTACGCCAATGGTTAACTTATACCCCGCTCCTATATAAACCAGAACTGTAAGCTAAAGGTTTACTAAGGCAAAGCATTGCAAAAAAATCCAGTCTCCTATCAGTAATAACTTAAGTATATAGGTCACTGACATACTTCCTGTGCTCCCTCCCCATACACAAATATTCTTGCATACCAAATCTTGTTAGCCCAGATCAACCAGTTTTGCTGAAATCGTCCTAGTAGTAAAGGAAGAGTTGTCAAGACAAAGATTTTTAACAAAGGGCCATAACTCCTTTTAAAGGGTCGGAACGAAAACGTACTACGTATATGCTTGTTTGCACAATGTCTGGGGGCAGTTACCATATCTGTTAACTTCCGTTGAAATTGGCGCCATATTTTTGGAGGAGTTGTCTTGACAAGAGGTTTTCAACAATTAAAGGGCAAATTCTCCATAAAAAGTGTCAGATTGAAAATAAGATATACCTGGATGCACAACAGACAGGTGGAGGTTATTATGTAAGAAAACTTTCGTTGAAATTTACCCCTTAGTTTCGGAGGACATGTCCGGACAATGATTTTTCAACAAAGTGCCATAACTTGGTAAAATAAGGATCAAAATGAAAAATTAATACCTGGATGCACAATTTCATGTGGTAGCTATCATATCTGGAAACTTTCGTTGAAATTGGTCCATTTCTTTAGAAGGAGTCGTCCGGACAAACTTTTCTACGGACGGACAGACAATCTGATTCCAGTATAACCCCCTCAATTCGTTACGGGGGTATAATTAAGTGTATAAGAGTTTTACTATTAAGATTGTTTTATTGTTTTTATATAACTGCATATCTTTGTCCATAACACAACCTCAATCTTAAGAAGTTCTCCAGAGGAAAGATTACTTTGGCAGGATACATATTCATGAGTTAATACTGCTGCACATAACTTTAAACCATGTGTAATATAACAAATTGTTTTGGTATAATACGACAACAGTAAAAGTATCGGTATTTATCATGATAAACATTGAAAATTATATCTCCATGATTATGTGAAATTGGCCTTTGATCATGTTTGGCATGCTAAAAAAGTACTTTACCGGTTTTGATATTACATAAAAATTATTCTGTGGACAGAATATATATATGGAAAGTTTTGAAAGTTAAAAAAAATAAATTTAGTGAAAATTTTGCATGTTTTTCTAAATGAAAGTATCACTACGCTTACTTCATATATACCAATATGACATATTTAGTATCAAAATAACAGTAATTATATACACTGTACACTATCATAATATATTTTCAAAACAACATTCGCCTGTGACACATATCTGTTATTTTGTTAGGATACACCCGTCACTCAACCTGGTGTTAAGCAAGGAGGTCCACTACGGTTATCAGCAGTAATTATGAATAATCATTTATTCAGTTATTGATCATTTTTATGTATCTACATATGGCAAAAGAATAAAAGAAATCAAAGCGGGGGCCAAATGTTGACCCCACCTTTGTACTTTATTGATAAAGTTCAATATTTTATTGGATTTGTTGAAGAAGGCAAAGTTTTATCTCGTTTAAGCAAAATATTAAATTCGTTAAACTAAATAAAGTGATAATTCGTTGAAAAAGAAATAATATACAATCATCCGACTATAAGAGTATACATAAATTCAAACATACCTGTGAGCGGTGGTGCGAGGGACCTTCAGTGAAGTATTGATATGGAAACCCTAGATTAGCAAGGTGAGGACAGGTGTAAAATCTCACGACTCCTTCAGGTGTGTCACGATAAACCTTCCAGAAGCGTCACAATCACTTTATAATCACAATTTAACCCAACGTCTTATACAATGATGGTTTTATAATCTAAATCAATGTTAATAGTTTACACAACGTGTAAAACCATACTCCTTTTCTTATCATTGCTGCAAATTATCATGTACTGGAAGATGATGTTGCTGTTAATACTGCCTTCTAATCAAAATGCTCAGTCTTACAAACTGCGTTTATCAGTTTAACTTTATAATGACATTCTTATAAGTTATTTTATATCAGCATGGCTTTAAAATAAAATTCTTACAAGTTGTCTTTAATCAGTTTGACTTTATACTTAAGATCATGCGTGCTTTCTTTATCAGTATGACAATATTTATCATTTATGGACATTTGCTTTGGTGATTATGAGGATCTTGGTCATTAGAAAGGAATATTGACCGAAACGAAGTCGAAGTGAATATCTCTTTTCAATCGTCGAGGTTAATATCCTTTATCATGTTCATAATGCTTTCTTGGTTCCGAAACGAAGTCGAGGTCAATATCTCTTTTCAGGTCGTCGAGGTCCATATCCTTTATCATGCTCATACTACTTTCTCGGATCCGATGCGCCGTCGAGGTCAATGTCATGTTTCAGCCCGTCGAGGTCCATATCCCTTTTCAGGTCGTTGAGGTTAATATCGCTTTCTCGGGTCAATATTACCTCGTATTCAACTCAGCAAAAGTCCAGAATAACTAAAAAATAATATAATTATAGTCTAGTAAATAATGAGTAAATAAGATTTACAATTGTTAAAATTGACCATTTTGATGAATTTTAACATTATTGGAATACTTCTAACTTACGTACAGACCAACTAAAGATTTAAAATTTTAGAAAATTTCACATCTAAAATGAAAAGAAACCAGCTTTGCAATTACACATACAATTTAATTCTTTCTTCATACCATATACTTTATATAAAGGTTCTTTAGCATCGTCACCTTATATATCTTATATAAATGTATACTGATTGAAAAGGTCGTTGTTCATTTTGTGATAAGTTGTGCCCAATCCATTTGTACTTTTAAATGGCAATCAAATATTTTTAAACTTAACTTTTAAACGAATTGTCAAACACAAAAGCACTGTTTCTTGGCAATCGGCAGACCGATATACCCATCGTAGAGTCACGTGATAATCCATAAATTAACTTCATATTTGATTTTGCAATAATTAAATTCATACATGTACTTCTGTATTTAACGTCGGTTCAAGTGACATTTTTAATAAAGATATAAGTTTTATATACGAAATATAGGAAATAGATGACAGAAATAACATTAAATGTTAAAAAGAAGTGTTTCCACATTAAACACTACGTGCTTAGAATTGATTTTTGATATCGAATGTTTAATGTCCAGGTTACTGTTGTCATATGTAGAAATTGAGCTTGCACAACATATGTTATGTTTCCGCATGTTTTAATAAACTTAGAATTTAATTTTTCTCAAATTTCAATTATATTGCTTCCTTATCAGACAAATGTAAATGAATGTGCTTGGTTGGAATAGTTTTTGCTACCAAAATGTCAAATGTTTTTCATTTCAGAATATTTTATTGTACTGATCCTATGTACAAAAGGAATTGGGCAACAGGCATAGCCTATATAAGCCCTCTCCTTGCAAAACATAACAGTATATACATATCATATAAATGTTACTTTTACATATGTTTCTTTAAGTATTAAAAGAGATTATTTGTACTTTGAATTTGATTTCACAATATATATTTCAAATATCAAAATTGTTGTTAGAGAGATTATTTTACAGAGTTATTTGAGAATCTAATAAAAACGTCTGGTGTCTCTAATGTAATTCTGAACCGTCTCCACAATATCTATATTCATATTTACGTCTCGTTATTGGAAACCATAAATAAAAATGTGGGTATTGAATGGAATAGGATCACTCATCGCTGACAGAGAGTTAAGTAATATTAGTCGTTGGTTAGTATAAAAAGGGCAGTGCAGGAAAAAATGATCACGATCTTCGAAGGGGGAGCCACACATACAAGCAGGGCAATCATTTAGATGTGCATTAAATAAATCTGAATTTAAATTACTTGCAGAATGTTGCGGTAATTGTTACTATAATAAAACCAAAATCTCTACACGTACGATCAATACCTTCTGAGCCGATCAAACTGGAACGTCATACACTGTATCAGCACCAGAAATGCTTTCTTGGATTTTTTTTAAATGAAATGAATGTCGTGTTCACAGATATCGGAAATTTTGAATAGACAGAGTGTCGTACGTATCGTTCAGTGTTATCACAACTTCCTTTTAGCTATAAAAACAATTATCTATATGCAAATGAGTCATTGATAAGTAGTGTTTTTCTGCTCGTTTCTATTCAATTTTACTATATTTGCATAACAAACTATTATTTTCAATTGCCAAAGAATGATAGGGGTTTTTAATGTCAGTAGTATACAATGAGTTTCAATGGTTTAATATGGGTTGGGTCATCATATCAAAGAAATGCTACATAATCCTTGCTATTGATTGACAAAATGTGCAAGATTACTTTCAATATCTGCGCCAAAATTCCATACATCATTCTCTACCGCCATAATATTATAATAGCATTACAATAGAGAGATCAAATGGTAAGCATATACACAGCACATATAATCCTGTTTAGAAATGACACACGACATGGCAGGAAGATATATCTATACAAGTTCAGATAACATAACTAGGTTAAACATCGTTCGATAACGTTACTACGTTAAACATTGTCAGATAACATTACTAGGTTTAACATCGTCAGATAACATTACTAGGTTAAACATTGTCAGATAACATTACTAGGTTAAACATTGTTAGATAATATTACTAGGTTTAACATCGTTCGATAACGTTACTAGGTTAAACATTGTTAGATAATATTACTAGGTTTAACATCGTTCGATAACGTTACTAGGTTAAACATTGTCAGATAACATTACTAGGTTAAATTTTGTTAGATAATATTACTAGGTTTAACATCGTCAGATAACATTACTAGGTTAAACATTGTCATTTAACATTACAAGGTTAAACATTGTTAGATAACATTACTAGGTTTAACATCGTCAGATAACATTACTAGGTTAAACATTGTCAGATAACATTACTTGGTTAAATATTGTTAGATAATATTACTAGGTTTAGCATCGTCAGATAACATTACTAGGTTAAACATCGTCAGATAACATTACTAGGTTAAATATTGTTATATAACATGACTAGGTTTAACATCGTCAGATAACATTATTAGGTTAAACATCGTCTGATAACATTACTAGGTTAAACATTGTTATATAACATGACTAGGTTTAACATCGTCAGATAACATTATTAGGTTAAACATCGTCAGATAACATTACTAGGTTAAACATTGTCAGATAACATTACTAGGTTAAACATTGTCAGATAACATTGCTAGGTTTAACATCGTCAGATAACATTACTAGGTTAAACATTGTTAGATAACATTATTAGGTTAAACATCGTCAGATAACATTACTAGGTTAAACATTGTTAGATAACATTACTAGGTCAAACATTGTTAGATAACATTATTAGGTTAAACATTGTCAGTTAACATTACTAGGTTAAACATTGTTAGTTAACATTACTAGGTTAAACATCGTTAGATAATATTACTAGGTTAAACTTCGTTAGATAATATTATTAGGTTAAACATCGTCAGAAAACATTACTAGGTTAAACATTGTTAGTTAACATTACGACGTTACACATCGTCAGATAACATTACTAGGTTAAACATCATCAGATAATATTACTACGTGAATCATCGTCAGATATATCAAACTCTTTATTTTGTCCAAAGATAGAACATTTATCAACATTATTAGCAGCTGCATAGCTAACTATGGATTTTTTCCGGGGTTTTTACCATACATCTGTATCAATAGTGAAGGAAGAAAGTTAAGGAGACCCTCTTCCCTACTTTTATTTGATCTTAATTTTAGTTTTATCGATTTCGAGTCCAAAGTACAGTTTAGTCTATACTGCTGTATTTATTCACTCATTTGTTCATATAAAAGAAACTAGATAAGCAATATACACATACCCTTTTACTTCAATTTGGTAGAATATTATATTAACCAAAGTAAGTGTTTGAGCATGCTCAGATAGTTACCAATTGAAACTTATCGACATAATTGATGATTTCTTTATTATCAAAATACTCCAAGGAAACCTTTGTTTTTGTCAACACTCGACATTTATTGTCAAGAGTATCGAACTATATCATTATGAAGGACTTTATGACATGGCTAAAGCGAACAGCCTATCTCGTTGAATAACCTTTGTTCATGTGAGGGCGGTATCTTTTAGCTTTCTGATTGGTAGATAAAAATAATACCTCTTAATGACCTTACATATGAACACGACTGTCTTTAATGTAGAACGCAAATACAATTAAACTCATAACGACGTTATAGTTTAGTAACCTTCTCAGCAATGTCCTTGGTGTTTTATGGGTCATGGTATTTCCTGTGTTGATTGTCGTTGTTGTACACTGAGGCACACGCAGTAACGGTCGATATGATCCACTTTGAGTGCGAGTTTGAAAGGAATCCGGTCAGATTATGGTATTTGACACTATCTGACAGTTCCTTGTAAGTTTAGGTAACGCTCAGGTTATTAAAATTAAAAGGTATATACCTTGGATACAGGTCCCGTAAAAGTTGTTCTTTTGGGAATAAGTGTCAATCAAAGTCACCATATTGTCACATTTCGTATAAATATAGGTTCTGATCTGATTGTTTTTTATCCGTTGTTCGTAACACAAGACTATAAAACTATAACAAATATTCCATTTTCTACTCAAATTGGACTCAATGCAACTACCACATGTTACCTATTTCATTTGACCATGAAATTGATCAGAATAACATTGTCTGTGCGCATGAATACGCGTCAGAAATTTTTTACATTTAAACTTATGAATTCATCAACAAAAAATAAATATGACATTTAAAATATGTGTTTGTGTTTTGTTTCTTTCATGAGTTGGCTGTATAAAAATATCAGCGTACACCGTTATGTTGTAGATAGTCCTTCAATGACGGGCCATATTTGTTTAGATTGTACGTCAATATGAAGACTTGCACAAGCTCCAGAATACGGAAAAACTATCAGAAGGGACTTTCACAAGTTCCAATTAATGATAAAACACATATTGATTGGAATATAAGGATTGGAACTTGCTTTTGTAGATTTCATGGGGTGATGAATTAAGTTTATATTGAAACTTATTCTACATGAACTGCTTTGCAATTCACCAACCCAATGGAATCGACAAAAGCAATTCGGACACGGGACCCCAAGTATTTACATCATGCAAGTCTCAGTCCTACTTATGAAGGCCAATGTATAGTGGTCAAAATATTTAGATATGTGGTCTTGTGTAACGAACAAAGTGTTCCAGTAAAAAAAAATAAAAAAAATATCAATATCAACACAAATGAGTTTTTCTTTTTAATATCGGTTCTGTTCATTACACCTACCGAAATCAAAAATTTAGAAAATGCTCATATCAGTGGGCTGAGGTAGCGATGAATTTAGTTCATTCAATTCCTATGATATAGCTACGAACAAATGTTTATGTAGTTTAATATATAGAGGATCTAACAATCTGAAATTAATAAACGAGTTTAATAAATTCAATAGTTCACGGGTGTTAGATTCTATTTATCATATCATTCGAGAAACACCCCTGCATACATATATAAGTGTTGCCGTTTCGTCTCCTCCATATAGGCCTAGCGACGACTGACGAAAGGACGCATTACATGTATCATGTTTGGAGCTGGCTGCGCCACGAAAAACAATTACTTCCATAGAACCTTCTCCATGAAAACCTTTTAAATGAACAAACAATCTTTTACGTTTCTTTTTGTTAGTCAATGTTTTAATAATCATCAAAACAACATTAATAATGATTTCTTCATACTAGGCCTAGCGTTTACGACTACAGTAGTGACGTCACATATTTCGACACAACGGCACGTGCACTGTCATGGTAAAGGTCGACATCACATTACAAATCGAAGTCGGGATTTTTGTAAAGGTTTACTGGGACTGGGAGTCGCTGTCACTTTCGAGAACACGGGCGCGTTTATTTGGAGGGGTCCTTGGTGAATGTGCACCTCAATGTTTCCGTCTGTCACTGATCCAGAAAATATGCTGTGGAATCCACCATCAACTCGGAACACCGATGAAGTTGACCGGTGACACGTGGTCGCCAATGTTTGTGTGTGTGACAGAGAAGTTGAAGGGGAGTTTGAAGAGGCAGCTGTGGAATTTGTGTAAAGTATCCGCGAGATTTCCTTGTGTTGATTCGTGTTGATGTGAGAAAACTTGTTTATGGATGAAATATTTCGATGGCCAGAAATTTGCATAATTTGGCACAAGATATTTTCTGCCACTGTGATTCGATAAGTGTTTGTCCGTGTTGGCACACTGCATCATGGATTTTAGTTTGTTGATGCCGACCGGTTGGCGTTTGAACCACACATCACAACTTGCAGGTGAGCTCTTTGTTGTCCACGCGATGTAGTATGGGTCTGTTGGTTGACAGTATGACGAAGGTCTCCTTTCCACGAAGCATTTGTAAATATTCACGGGGCACCTGTCCGGATTTTCAGTGTTTGCCCAGAGTTTTGGCTTGACAGTACGGACGTCGCGGGCATTCTCACCAGTCCTTGTTGTTTGTCTCTCTGTAAACTCTAAGTATTCGAGTTCGTCGGTGTCTTTTTGAAGTGACAGGATGTTTAATTTCCATTGGAAGTAATTAATTTGGGTAAGCATTATCAGTATTGGATAGCAGTTTGATGGTATGCACATATCAGCTCTGACTGACCCCCAGGTACTGATGCATGGGTGGGACCAAAAAGGGTCGAATTGGCTGAAATTTCAAAAATCTTCTTCTCAAGACCCAGATATGGTAGAATAAAAAAACTCTTAATAGATGGAAGGGTTTTAATGTGCTTTACCAAAATTGTAAATTTTATGACCCTAGGATCTCACGTTTACCCCTGGGAAAGGGGGGTGGGTCAAAATATATTATGGTTTATATTGGCAAATGATACTTTGGATATTACATGTTGATAACTTAGTTGGAATTATCACCATGAGTTGACCGTTTGATAATTTGAAAATTTTGAGTCAGCCCTACCCATAAGGGTTTAGAATCAGAGGTGCTAGTTTCAAATACTTTTCAGTCTTAAATTTGTATGCTATATATTGAATTAGGTGGTTTTATTGTTTTTTTGTGACTTTGAATAATATTTCTGTTCATGATTTAAAAACAAAAATCAACGCTTTGTATAAATATATCAGAACTCAGGTGCCCGCTAAGGCCCATGGGCCTCTTGTTATCAGAGTGTTCTTATTTGACTGTTCTGCAATAAATGTGCCAATGTCCGTTTGCTGGACAGAAACAAACCGTTGTGTTTGATGTGTTTCATTTGATGTCGTCTGCTGCAGATGCTGAGGTGGAGGTTGTACCACTGGCTGGGGTCCCAACTCTAACCGATCACGCGGTAAATGAACCTCTACATTAGGTCCATATACTAATACAAACCCCATCGGAACAACTTCTTTCGCAGTGCCTTTGCCTCTGCAATCAATGCATACAGTATCTCCGGTATCTAGGTCAGCCATTTTGTTTACTAACGTAAAAGTTGTAGTGTTTAGGAATATGACCCGATTCCCACTCATTTGCATGTTTATTGTACGTGTGCTATATCGTTTTTATTGAACGACAATATTGCATGGAAATAGCCTGTAATGTATATTAAATCTTTATATTGCATTGTGGTTCTATAAAACGCTAAATGTATATAAATGAATATGATATTATTCTTTTAGTCGTTTAATGAATATTTGCATTGTATTTAACAATTCAAATGGAAAAATAAGAGATTTAAGGCGGATGGAAATGCTTATATATATTCGTAGGACCTTTAGCAGTAGATTTCGTTTTACTCAGTTGGTTTTCATAAAGGTTTAATTAAAAAAAACTTATAAAGGAATTATCCACTTAAATCTATATTCTGGTCTACCTCTGTCATATGACGTTTTGCCTTTTCTTCAATGCAATTTAAAATTAAGGACGACGGTCCAATTCTACTGTGGTGTTTTTTTAATACACAGTTAGCTCCGTTAAGTTTCGTTTTGGATATTACAGACATTTTTGGTAAAAATCTCGACACTGACGATGTCAAGGCCACAACCAGAATGGATTTATTTCTAGATGCCGTATAAGTTCGAGAAGCATATATTTTGAAAATGATTTGGACAATAAGAACGCATGTAAAGTATTTAATCAACATTGTTTAACATAGTGTTTTATTTACGTGAGAGCACCAGGATTGCCGATCATATTTTAGTTGCAGATATCCTTCTTTCTATCTAAATAAATACGTCAACATCTAGGCCAACGTGATTGCCTATGTGTGAATCGGGATAAAAAAAAACAACAACAAGCAAACAAATCATGAATGCTGATAACAATTCCCCGCATACACTCAAGGTAGGTTCTATTTTGCCTTCACCTAAATACGGATTGACAGCTCACACGCGCTATTATTCTGAAAACGTCACCATCGCATCACCACCTAATGGTGCGTAAGCAGTGTCGCGTTTTCAAATTTGTTTCACGTTTTATTGCATCATTGACGAACGCATGGTTCATTTTCACAGTAGAATCGAAATAATTTCTTTATATTGTAAACAAAGAAATCTCAACAATCGGCAAACCCTCCTGGTATAATTTAAAATTGCCCAGCCTCTTTTTGAGATTTCTCTGTCTACGTCACATAGGAATGATAGATTCTAACAATCTCATATGAGACTCACATGAGTGAAACGTTCATCTAGCATGTTTGGAGGTGGAAACAAATATGTGAGTGAATGGTAGGTAACATGAAGTAACAAAAGAGGAACGCACTATGCTATAATAGTATTAGATATCTCCCAGTAACAAAGGAACAGTCAAAAGCACGTTTTTTAAATTTTATTAAGTCAGAGCATTATACATCCACGAATTCCTTAATGCTGAGAGAACCTGTTGCTTTGCTGATCACAAACAAATATGAGTTGGACCCGCGGGTGATGAATCTGTGACGAAGTTTTATAAAAATAACATATTAAACATATAGACAGACAATCCAAATTAATAGGTTTTCTGCAAATAGTCTAGACCATTACAGTTAAAAGATATCTTAAAACTATATTCAACACTTATGAATTTTCACTGCCACTTCCAAACATTCTTAAAATATAGGCAGGAATAAAACAGCTTCTCTCCGGTCGTCGGCAATTATTGAACTCGATTTGATGACTCTCAATTACCATTACCGATTTCTGTGTCAATGGTCTACCTTACCGCATGTTAGAAATGATATTATCCATCGTAGTTACCGAATTCTGTGTCAATGACCTACCTTACCCCATATTAGAAATGGGATAGCAATTACCGATTTCTTTGTCAATGCCCTACCTTACCTTATGTTGGAAAAGAGGGCCTTCATAGCAGCAACCAAATTCCGTGACAATGACCTACCTTACGCCATGTTAGAAACGAGGGTCACTATAGCAATTATCGAATTTTGTGTCAATTAGCTACTTAACCGCATGAGTGAAAAGAGCGTCTCATTATGCATTATCAAAATCTGAGTCGATGATCTATCTAAACCCATGTTAGACATAACAGTATCCTTAGCCATTACCGAATATTGTGTCAATGACTTATATTACCCAAAGTTAGAAATGAGTTATCCATAGCAATAACGGCATTCTGTGTCGATGACTTACCTTGCCCCACGTCTTTCTAGTCTTTACCGAATTCTGTGTCAAGGAGTTAGTTTACCCCATGTTCGGGAAAGAGCGTCTCATTAGCCATTCCGTGACAATGACCCACCTTGCCCTATTATGTTTGCAATGAGAGTTACCATACGCATTACCGAAATCTGTGTGAAAGGCCTACCCAAAACTCAGAAATGTGCACGTCCCCAACCATAACGATAAGTAAAGGAGTAAAAATAAATCTATCAGCAACCACACTAAAAGAAACATATTGGACAATATATTTGACTCACCCCTTGCAAAAAATGTAGCTGACCGAGGTAATTTTCCAGCACTGTGTTAACGACTTACCCCATGTCAGAAATGAGCCCGTCCCCGGCCTCTGACATAGTCTGAGCTTGACCCCACGTCGCCGTGGTGTTTCCAATCCTGTGTACACTCTCAAAGGAGGGCGTATTTAAATTAAACGCATACACGTAGACAAGACCGTTCCTTGTAGCGGCTGTGACTAGGGTCCTGGAATTATACACACCACTGGCGAGGACATTTGGTTCCGGACCCTAAGCACGTAAAAATGAATTGAATTAATTTCTGTGATTATAAATTAAAAAACAAAAATGATATTTAGTTAAATGTTTTGTCTTTTAAAAATAAGAATCAGATTAATTGTACCCATACACTATTATCCGAAAATCTATTTTTGAACATTTGTGTTGTATCTTTAGAGCCCCGAACTCTCCGAAGCTCCAAATACTAACTTCCGAACATACGTTAAATATTGTATACCATACCATAAGCGTTGACCGGCTGTCCATCTCAGCTGACGGAGAGAGTGATGCATTGGAACAGTCGCCATTAAACACATTCATGTAAGAATCTCGGCCATGTCGCTCTAAGTCATCCCCCGTTGTGTATCTAAATGAGCTGTCGTTGATGTCCCAGAAGCCGATGTCACGACCCCCGAACAAATGAACATCGGAAATGAGGCCACTAATAACACTTCTGCCGTCACTGTTGCTCATTTGAACTCTTCCTGCAATAAAACACTCGTAAATTGGTATTATATACCCAACGATCTCATGGTTACTGTAGACCAAGAAATGTTCGCCGTAGTTTAATTTTCGCCTTTTTCGCTCTCCGTAATGAGGGAGAAGTTATCATTACAGCGAATAATCGTAAACAGCATAATGCATATAATAAGTCAATGTGAGGGGCGAAATCAAGATTGAGATAATTTTGATTTTATCGGAAAAGGGCGAAAGTTTGAATGGGCGAAATTGTCCCGGTACACAATACCTTTTATTATGAAACCCTTTAGTCAATGAGCAAATGAATGCTACAATATCGAAGAGAGAACTAAGTTGAAATATTCATACAGCTACGCTATAATGGTATTACAAGTATAACTAAATGTCTCGTCCCCTTTTCATTCTGAAATCAGGTGAACATAGTTGGTAATTCTAGAATGATTTAAAGACACTTTAGTAGAATACTGTATAGACAGCTATACAAAAATATTAATAAACAACTACGCTATAATGATAGTACAAATATCACTGGATGTCTCGTCCTCTTTTCGTTCCAAAATCAGGTGAATTATTTTGGAAATTCTAGAATAATTCAAAGACAATTTAAAAGAATTCTGTAGGATTGCTATATTTAAAATAAAATCTATTACCTGTAACTAAGCGCGATCGGGTTATCTCAGTCGAGGGCTTAGATTCTGTAATATAATCCAAACTGAGGCGTAAGCCGAGGTTTGGATGTTACAGAATCTTAGTCCGAGACGGAGATAACTCGATCATGCTCAGTTACAGGTTATTGATTTTTTCCCGTACCTCTTATTACTATTCAATTTCGCTAAAGAGTACAAGTATCCCGTCTTGGGCCTCAAACAAATATGATGGTTTCTACATTACTAAAGCTACATTTGAATGCTTCCGCGTAAAAATAGTCTGTCCTTTCAAAGAAGAAAACGTATTTCACAGTGTAGATTATATTTCATCTTTAACACCAGGAATCAAACAAATGCACATCAAAATAATACATATAACGACAAAAGATGATATTTAATTTCGAGTCGTTAACGCACGGATGATAACATCGCTGTGTAAAAATTCGCGTTAAAGTACCAGACAGTTCGGACAAGATTGACAAATCTACCAAGGGGTATGACGTAAAATATCTCTATCTGAGATGCGAAAATACTTTATCTACAACTATACCAGAATGTTTGATAGATAGCAATATATATACACTAGATATTCTACAGTCGATTATACCAAAACAATTCAAAAACTCGAATACTTTTTCAACACACTACAGTGAAATACTTTAAAGTCGGTTACAATAGAAAACGACTTTTAGTTGTAAAGGGGATCGTTATACAGTCCCCAAAACTGCCCACATTTTCGCAAATTAATTTAATGGTGCATCAAAAAGACCTTTCAGTACAGTTGTACAATTATATACTAGTATATCAAGTGGCGTACACCGATAATTGTGTCAGTCAATCAGAGGCCATGACGGCCATGTTTGATGGCCGATCAGAAATTTAAACGTGTTACGTTATCTGCCCACCAATGCTGATGGGAAGGTTACTACATGTAAGTGTCCGGCTAGTGGTCTCTGAGAAAAACGCCAGAAAACTATTTGTCAGTATTGATAATAAAAACAGTAACGGTGCGAAAACAAATAGTCACTCACTTGGTTTTGGAAACTTTATAACATTCTTGATTGCAATAACGTTATATATGGATACATACCAGAAATTGAACAACATGACCTGGCCCATTTTATTGAGAAAATCAACCTCCTAGTGCACTTACAGTTTAAATGTTATAACCTATAATCTTGAAAAGAGGTCGCAGGTAATTTTCCTTTCCAGTACAGAAATACAGGTTCACTTTCCGAATCCTTAACCATTTTCAAGGCAGTCGTATTTTCAAATTCATTTAGAAAGTTAGCAATAATTCCCAGACCGGGATTGAGATGCCCTACGTTCGTCCGACCTTCGACAGAGTATAGAATCTGCTAAACTGGTAGAAACACAATGGAAAATACTAGTAAACAAATATATATCTTATAACTGAAATAAAAATAAAAATAATTGTTAATAAAATTATATATATATGCATGTTGTTTGTTTTTAATTTGCTGATTACATTTCTCTAAGCAAATATGCCACTCACCTAAGTGATTACTGGTTGCGAGGTTGTACGCCAGATCAGGAGATATCGCCGCTTGGTCTATCTGGTTACCTATAAATAACATCAATCAAATTATGTATGATATTTGACAATTAATCAATTAGATGTTCCTTAATTAAAGAAGAAAATAAGGAACAATAGATACAGTATGCAAAAGAATAATTGCAATGCACAATACAACTGTTTCGTCCTACTAGGACTGATCGGTGATTTTAGGGGCCTAAAGTTTAAAAATCCAAATTAATCCAGTACATCTACTTTTGAAACAAACAAAAAAGTCGGTGTTTAAAATTGCTTAGTTATACTAATATCAAAAATTAGATGAATAGTAAATAGAAATACCGGATAATTTCATATTCCGTCTTTGCGTATTGCAGAGTTATCTTCTCTTGTGAGCAGGGAATGATTGTTACGTCAATGGTTTGTGTGAGAAAATTACGTCGTTTCTCAAAAATTGATGACGTTACTCTCGCAAACCAATGAGGTAACAATCAATACCTGCTCACAAGAGAAGATAACTCTGCAATACTCAAAGACAGAATTTATGATTGTAAAGTATTATTTTATGAACCGTGACACTGCTTAAAATGGATAAATTTGTGGGATTAAGAAATCCACAAGCTGAAAACAACCTTTTGAAAGATGAACATAATATGTTACAACAGATAACAAATATCCTTTTTATACAATGATTAGCGTGTATCTAGATATTGTTAAGTGAATCTTTTTCCTGCTACAATAAATAGCAAGAAGCTAGCTATCTTAAAGCAAATAATTTGTTAAGCAAAGTTTATAAAATTCTGTAGCTTTTTTAGCGTGATTGTTATTTGTGCTATAGAACATGGAACGGAGATATCTATTGTGACCTAATCATTCGGCTATCTGTTTTGAAGTGAATCATATGTCGTCGATTGTTAATAAAGCTTTTGTACAATGATTGCAAAGTATGCCACGTAGCTGTCTATTATGACTGAATGACTCGCATGTCTGCTTTAGGTAGCAACTAGAACACTGACAGGTCAGTAAGGGCCCCGTCTTGTGGCAAATATATCCCCCATAATCATCAAGAAGCAATCTGCCCATATAGCTGAGCTTGACGTTTGACATTTGGACTTCAAAAAGAATCGCAAGGAAGCAAAATATACATTTTACATGTACTATGATGTGAGTCTTGTTTCCTTCCACCTCCATATTTGCTGGGCTAACAGAAATGTAAATACCGATGCAATACTCATTTGTTAGCTTTGATTTGTTTTATTTCACCTTATATAACTCCTACATAGATCAAGATCAAGATCCAGGGTCAAAGTCAGAGATCCACTTTGTCTTTGACCTTTGGACCCAAATGACCTTGACCATTAACCTAGTGATCCTGAACTTTGGTCAGTTGACTTATTCTTTAATTCCGACCAACTTTGCTTCTTGATATCATAACAAAATGTTCATCAGTGAAAAATACAAAACTTGACCTTGACCCTTTGGACCCGTTACCTGGACCTAAGGTCATTTGACTCCGTGTAAAGTTCTGAACAACATTGCTTCATAATGTCATAACAAAATGTTCATCAGGGAAAAGGTACAAAATTTAACCTTGACCTTTGACCCAATGACCTTGACCTTTGGTCAGTTGACTCCTTGTTCAATTCTGATCAACTTTGCTTCATCATGTCATAACAAAATGTTTATCAGTGAAAAGATACAAATTTGACCTTGACCTTTGAATCTAATGACTTTGACCTTTGACCTCAACCTTTTACTCAGTGTGTTTCTTTGTTTGATTCCGAACAACTTTGCTTCATAATGTCATAGCGAAATGTTCACCAGTGAAAAGCTACAAAATTTGACCTTGACCCCTGACCTGATAACCTTGACCTTTGGTCAGTTGCCTCCTTGTTTAATTCTGATCAACTTTGCTTCATAATGTCATAACAAAATGTTCATCAGTAAAAAGATGCTAATTTGACCTTGACCTTTGAATCTGATGACCTTGACCTTTGACCTCGAATTTTTACCTCACCTGTGACTCCTTGTTTAATTTTGATCAACTTTGCTTCATCATGTCATAACAAAATGTTCATCAGTGAAAAGATGAAAAATTTGACCTTGACCTTTGAACCTAATGACCTTGACCTTGTCTTTGACCTTGATTTTTTACCTTAATCTGTATTTTTGTGAACTGAACATCTTGACCAAGTTTCATGTACATCGGTCGATAAATACAAAAGTTATCAGCCAGGAACAGAATTTGTGAACGGACGGTCGGACAGACAGACAGACAGACAGACAGACAGACAGACAGACAGACATGATTACTCATAGGGTACCCGTATCTCCGATACGGGGCCCTAATTAGCAAGTTATTGTAATATGATTGACTTGTCTACTGTAAAAGTAGATAATTGTTGTAATGTAAATGCCATGTCTATTACAATACATAGAAAGTTCATAGTGGTTATAATGTAAATGCCATGTCAATTACAATACATAGAAAGTACATAGTGGTTATAATGTGAATGTCATGTCAATTACAATACATAAAAAGTACATAGTGGTTATAATGTAAATGTCATGTCAATTACAATATACAGAAAGTAGATAGCTGTTGTAATGTAAATGTCATGTCTACTACAACATATAGAAATTATATGTAGCTGTAGTCATGTGAATATCATGTCTTTAACAAATATTTTAAATATTTAGCTATTGTACAATAAATGTACATCTGCTACAGTAAATAACAATTGTACCTAATTAGCGTTATAAGCAAGGACACTAAAGCTGTTACAAGTGTTTTGGTGACTTAATGAGCTGAGCTTACTGCGGACAGACAATGAAGCCGTTACAAGCGTCTCGTTGACGTACCGATTTGAGTGTGCCTTTTACAAACATTTGAGCCGTTACACTTGTCATGTTCACTTACCACTTAGGGCGGTCAGCGCCATGACACTATCGGTGAAATTTACCCCTTGTTCCTTTTCAGTATACGTCCTTGGAACACCAGTATTAGCTGTTACTACATACGTCGTTGAAGTAGTCCGAACGAAAATGGCTGCGGTTGGCTGGTACAAACCCTTGACGTCATAATTTGTTACCAATATGGCACCTACCACAGAGAAAAGCCTTGTAGTTAAATGTTCTCGTGGTGAGTATTAGCTGTCGTTAATAATTATAATTGTATACGATACGCTTAATTTATCAGTATTTCTTTTTATGATATTGTCATGGGAAGTAGTACTCTCATTTAAGATTGCAGTTGCTTTTTACTGTAGGAGTCAAAATTCTCGCTTATGGAAATGTGTTGTGACACTTTAACTGATATAGGTGTAACTAACCCCCCCCCCCCCCCCCCCCCCCCCCCCCCCCCCCCCCCCTCATCCGAGTCAGCGAGCGGTGATCACGACTCATCCGAGTCAATGGTGACTCACCGGTGTCGGCATCACTTGTATCAATGCCATGTGGCTGCCAATCCTTGGTTCCGAATGGTATGAGGTCATGCCATTCCACGTTCACCAAGTTGATAACTCCCATCGCATTGTTTTCCTTGAATCATCAAAATAGTTGTAATGAGCAGACAGGTTTTCATCGGACGTATATTACATTGCTGATATCTACGAAAATATTTTTATATATTTTTTTTATATTTTTTCTGTTGAGAAATACTCATAAAACATTAAGCTTCAAACTTAATTTGAAGATGAATTAAAGCTTTTAAAAAGATTCAGATCAGTTTCTACATTATCATGGTAAACCGTCTGCCTCACCAAGGAAAAGAGGTTGTCAATAGTATCGCAAGAAAACGACCCGGAAGTCTTCTCATGTTAACCCTAGTGTCTAGTTTCATGCTCAATACCGGCATTGTGACGTAAGCCCAGTTTCCGTCATCGCTGATGGCAATCTGCTCGGGCTCGAGGTCTTGGGAGAAGAGCGTTACAATACCATTGTTGTGGTCTCCACGGTATGTCCACCTCACTCCTTTCTGTAGGTAGTTTACATACCTGAACAAAACCATATGAAAAATGATAATATTGAGACAAAGCCGTCTCGTTTTCCATACCTCAAAAAAGCATTACGAAAATATGCCACCAATGTACATATGAATATAAATAATGGAAATTTAATGTTTTCATAATAAGTATCATGTACGTATATTTACATTTCCAATGCAAGTTTCTCTATAAGCATAACTATGAGAAACTGCGTGCATAGGGCTATGAGTTCCATTGTGCCCTGTCTTCAGTACCAAAACAATCACGCTGTTGAAATATATAAATTTGATCCAAAATATCAAGAAGCCCAAAAACCCTAGTAATTGTTGAAACATGTGTACCGGTGTTACCTGACTGCTACTAACAGGACAGCCTACTATCTAACACAACAACTTACTGATCATTGAAGAAGTGTGTTGAGAGTTCCGTGGTACAAGGGGTAGTGGTATCGACTAACGCCATGTCGATGACAGACACGGTTCCATCGGGGTCTGTGAATACGCCGTTCACCAACCCAGCCCGGCCTTCATTGGCTACTAGCAACTTTGAACAATCATTGGTGAAAGTCATACTCTTCGGAGACTCGCCCACTACAAACAAAAGAGATATATAGGACGCCATACAAAACAAGACAATAGCCTACATAATTATGCAGGTGACGTCAAACGTGTTTTAGAAGACGAAAATCACATTTTAGTTGACTGGTTCTTAGGAAATGGCATGGAAACTAATCTTGAACACATCCAGGCCATCAATAAAGTAGTAAAATCCTGTCAAGATGTTAAATCTTCTCAGGTAGAAAACAGAAATATAGCTTGTGAAGGCATCGCAAAGCTGTTAGGAGTATATATAGACAGTGACCTTTAATTCAAGCACACATATCTCAAATATTTGTAAGATGTCTTTCACGCAACTTTGTGTGTAAAAAATAATTTGTGCATATGTATCTAAGAAGGCCAATTTCACTTTATTTCATCAGATATTTGAATACTGACCGTTAGTTTACTACATTTTTTGATATTACAAACTACAGGGAAATGTTAAAGATACAAGAAAGGGCTATCATGTTTATTGATATATACTGTAATCAACTATAATATTGTCTTCTTCTTGACGTAGCTTGGGAGAGGCAGAAAGACCTGAGCATAAAACCAACTCAAATCGTTTGACATCTATTTCAATTTCTACTCAAGTTGGACTAAATGAAACTACCAAATCTTTTCTATTTCAGTTGCCCATACCATTGATCAGATTGACATTGACTGTGAGTATGAATACATATTTCTGTTGTTTGTTTAACCGTTTTCATGAAATACGAGCAGTAAACACGACGTTTATAATCTGTTTTAGTATTTATTTTTTCATAATATTTCTATTTTAGTAGCTTACACTACATCGATGTAGGATGGTCCTCAAACGATGGAATATTTTTGCTTTACGCCAATACTGCACAAGCTCCAGTATTAGTGACAAACACCACAGAATTTCACAAGTTCCAATTATCGAATAACACACGTTGAAACTGAAAAATAAGGATTGAACTTAACTAGCCTGAACCTTAACCTGTTAACTTATCCCTTTACTTATTTGTATTTATTAATATTCCCTGTCAGTACAGTATGTTAATATAAAGTTAGTTATTTTTTAAACAAGTCGGATAATTCGTTCTATTGTTTGTTTATTTGTAAAAATTAATTAAAGATTCCGTTCTCTTCAGGCGTTCTAAATATTCATTCTAAAATATATTCTGATGTATTGATACTGCTATCATAATGTATAGTTTCGGTAAACGTTGAGTTATTTGCAAATAAATTATTAATTTTTAATTAGGAAAACCTTAATTTATTCAAATTTAATAAATTTAATAAACTTCATTTAAATCAATTCAAAATTGAAAGAAATTTTTGTTTTCATTGGGTTTTTTTTTTCATTTTTTTTTTTTTATTCATTCATGTATTTATATCCTAATTTTTTGTTTAATACAATGTGATGAAGCGTTACAGATACGTGATACAGACCTGTAATTCGTTCGAAACCATCACACTTAAATTGGTCAGTAGCACTATTGTAACGCTCGCACAAGTAAACATGACCCTCTGTGAGTCCGAATGCACTCTCAAACAGCACAGCCACAGTGCTTCCGCAGACAGCAATATCGACGAGGTTTCCGTCATTTCCATCAGTAAAGGAATGTGTCTTTACGACTGTTGGACTTGCTGGAGTTTCAACACTGACGATACGAACGCATTTGGAACCTATACCACAAAGCAAGAATGGAAAGATGAATCAGTATTGTAAATTAAATCAACATTGTACAAAACAAACACACAAAATAAAAATATAACAAACAAAAAACGAATCACATATCTATAACATTGAGATACTGTGTTTTTAATATATGAAATATGTAAAAACAAAAAATATATATATGCCTCCAGTTTGGTATTTTCATCAACTCTTCAAGACAGGATTCTCTTTAGATGAAGAGAGTCACCAAATTGGTTTAAATTCACTTTTTATTTAAAATTTGTTATTTTTCATTTATTCTCCAAGAAAGGAGATTTTGGAAATAAAAAAAGTCACTGGATTGATTTGAAATACACTTCCAGTTTTTTTTTCATTTGTAATTAAGGATCCTTGTCTCACTGCGCTATGGTCTTTAGCATAAACGGTATTTTGTAATTAAGGATCCTTGTCTCACTGTGCTGTGGTCTTTAGTATATAAGGTATTTTGTAATTAAGGATCCTCGTCTCACTGCGGTATGGTCTTTCGTAAAAACGATATTTTGTAATTAAGGATCCTCGTCTCACTGCGCTGTGGTCTTCAGTATATACGGTATTTTGTAATTAAGGATCCTCGTCTCACTGCGCTATGGTCATTAGTATATAAGGTATTTTGTAATTAAGGATCCCTGTTTCACTGCGCTGTGGTTTTTAGTATATACGGTATTTTGTTGATTATTCTTGTTAAGTTCACCTTAATAAGTGGCTTGCAGAAATGTTGTATCAAAGTTGCAGTCATACAAGGAAAAACTGTTTCCAATGCGATGTTGGTTTTTGGCAGTGGAACAGAGATCCTTAAAAGTTTATTATGGTGAGGCTCGTTAAGGTATTGAACGTAGTAGTGTTCAATAAGGAATATTTACCTGCCACATATAGAAGACTAAAGAGTGGGTCGTAGGACGCTTTAAATGCAGAGTCCGAAAACATATCCGAGTTGCCTGTTTCACAACTTGCAAATTTCATGTAGCTGACATTGTTGAGCGTGACAGTAGCTGTGGCGGTTGACAAAGCAAACAAGAACAAAATAAACGTCCCCATGGTCACGTGATCTCGACAGGCTCTATAAGAAATATATCATAAAAAGTCAAAATATTTCTCATCTTAATCATGTTGATGAGCTTTCGTGTTACCCAGGTTACTTTGTCTGACTATTTTTTTTTATAGTAACATCCCTGTTTCCCCTATCTACAGTGTTAACGTTACGTAATTGATTCAGTGTATTGATGGATAAACAAAACAAAACAAAAACAAACGAAATAAAAAAACAAAAAGCAATAGAAATTTATATCCCTATATATGACTATAAAAAGTCATGAACAAGTTATAATTCTTATATCAAACTCAATGTTCCTTAATGGTAGAAACAAATACAATATCTTGCTTTCGTTTATAACAGATCACCTGTCAGGTACCTATGTGTACTACATCTTTCTATGTTTAACGGCCGGCAAAGACCGTGATGTGACGAACTATTGTTAATGGGAAAACATCGTCACAAATTATCAATATAAATACAAATGATGAAGAACTTAATTGAATGTTTCTATTGTAGCCTGACAAAATAAACGTTTTACAACACCAGGTTAACATCCAAACTACATCATCTGTCTTTCACAATCACTATTGAAATGATATGTTAATGGTGATGTCACAATGACCATTTAATTATATACAGCAGAGGCCTTCCTAGTTCTATAGTCAGAATAAAATCTGACTATCTGTGCATAAACTTGCTTTTAAGTCCGTTTAGGATTCATAAGCAATAAGTAAGGTCGGAAGATTGAAAAAAATCATCTCTAAAATGTTCCGAAACACGTTTGGGATACGTTTTAAAGGGCAATGGCCAATTAACTGTTCATAGCGTTACAAATTTTAATTAACCTGGTATTTCATGTGCAACAGCCCTTCAAAGGTCATTTCTGAAGTCAAATAAGACAAAATGTTTGAGAAAAGAGCCACCGAAAGTAAATGAGACGGAATGTATGCCATAGATGGAAAATATAAATAAATGTTGATTTGATAGCAATATACTAAATCTCACCTTACCTTCAGAGGGCGATGGAGGTAATCAACGGACAATCGTTTACGTCGCTGGCTTATCTACAGGTCTGTCATCTGGACATTCCCACATGACAATCCTAACGATATTGTATTGGTGCAGTATGTTAGTGCTGTCACATATCAAAGACATCAATGTCCCACATAAAACAATAGCTTACTCCCCTTAAACCGACACTAACCGTCCTCTCCAATATCATGTTCCTTACTCCACGAGAAGTTCGATGATTTGAAAGGCCGACAAATGCAAAGTAACAACAGAAAGACAATATGACACTAGCGCCAAATAAGAACAACATTAAACGACTGATTGGAAACCTCTAGAATGAAAGACACACCAAAACATAGTTCCCTTTTTTACCCTTAAATGGTTCTTGATTTTTATCTTCCGTGATATATAACGGCAACAGTGTCTACATAAAGCATTATTTTTTATATTCACGGATTGTGCCGAATAACACTACTTCAGTTCTAGATGTATAATACTGACAGACAAACTCACCATATACAGTTTCAGGACAGGCAGGTTGACGAAATTATTGGCAACTTCTGCAGTTTTGCAGTCGTCATTAGGGTATAGTTCGAATTATCAATATTTTATTTTGAAAAAACCAAATCGCTAAAGCTACGCATGAAAGAACCATTCCGAAAGTATTCCAAAATTATGTAAAACATAGCAAGAAAGGAATTGCGGTTATAAGTGTAAAGAAAACTTCTTTGATTATATGAAATATAAAAGTTTTTCCACGTCCGCAAAGAAACCTTCTTGATAAAAACTGCGCCTACTTTTCACTAAACAAGTTACAAAACAGGTCGCCACAAAGGACCAAACAGGTCACCACATAGGACCAAACAGGTCACCACAAAGGACAAAACACGTTTTAAACGGGACAAAACACGTTACCACACAGGGTCAAACAGGTCGCCACAAAGGACCAAACAGGTCACCACATAGGACCAAATAGGGCCCGTATTCATGAAACCGTGTTCATGGTCAAGCATCGATTTTGTTAAAATATTATTTTGTCAATGATTTGGCAAAAAAATGAGGAAACTTAAACCCGAATACTGTTTTCAATGTTTACATTTGACTTTTTGATCGTTTTAGATGATTTAAGCGAGTTACAAGAAAGTTGGTTTGAGCACAGAATCCATACTTGAGAACGGTTTCATTAATAGGGACCCAGGTCACCACAAAGGACCAAACGAATAACCACAAAGGACAAAACACTTCACAACACAGGACCAAACAGGTCACCACACAGGACCAAACAGGTCACCACACAGGACCAAACACGTTTTACACGGGACAAAACACGTTTCCACACAGGGTCAAACAGGTCACCACAACGACCAAACACGTTTTACACGGGACAAAACACTTTACCACACAGGGTCAAACAGGTCACCACAAAGGACAAACACGTTTTACACGGGACAAAACACGTTACCACACAGGACAAAACAGGTCATCACACGGGAAAAAACACGTTACCACAGAGGGTCAAATAAATAAAGATCAATAAAGTTTCCGCTCAAACACTGATTTGATTATATCACTGTTTTACTTAATGAACACGACTTAAACAATAAGTCTTATACTGGATATTGTGTAAGTACTTCACTAAGTGTTTTTGGATACCGAAGATACCATTTTAGAGTGTTGCTTCACCAGATTCACATAATATTCATAAAATAATCTAAATCTCAGTGTCATTGTTTTGTCATTTTAGTTCCCCTGTCCCACTGCACCGTGGTTTATCGGATATGAAGTAAGTTTCCAGTTTGGCCAGTTCCCTTACGATGACTAGATAGCTTAGTCGGTTACAGCGATAGTATAACAATCTGAAGTCCTAGGTTCAAATCGCGGTCTAGCCCCACTCAGAAGACTAACATTGGTGTGGAGTTTATTTTGTGCATTTCATCTTTATTAATATTTTTCATGTATATCCCGCAATGTTTGGTTTTCCTTTTAGAAATAATTCACCAAAGCTATAGTCATGCATAAAAGTAAACTTTAATAATTATATGTGAAAGAAATCTATCAAAGTGTCACCTTTTACTGGATAAAACTAAGTCATTGATTATAAAATAGCCCAGCATGTTAAACCTCACCTAGGATCAGTTAGTGTAATCAAATGGCAATCAGTTTCGTAACAGGTTTATCTCTAAACTTCACCTGGGTTTTCACACAGTAACGTGAGTTCACGTATGTGACCAGATGTGTTTATCTTCTGTCAAAGTCTGCACGATTCTGTTCTTGCTTATTAATTCCTTTCCTTATCATAACTTCAATTAACCTGTTTTCTAAACGGATTTATATGTTTAGTATGTAGGGCAAGGAAGTAATTCTAAAAAACACTGTTCTAACAAAACACTTCACCACACACGATCAAACACGTTTTACACGGGACAAAACACGTTACCACACAGGACCAAACAGGTCACCACAAAGGACTTAACACGTTTTACACGGGACAAAACACGTTACCACACAGGGTCAAGCAGGTCATCACAAAGGACCAAACATATTTTACACGGGACAAAACACGTTACCACACAGGGTCAAACAGGTCACCACAAAGGACCAAACACGTTTTACACGGGACAAAACACGTTACCACACACGGTCAAGCAGGTCACCACAAAGGACCAAACACAATATGAGGTTGTCCAATGTCGGTGCAATATGCTCCTTTATCGACAGACAGAAAACAGAAAACACTTTACATAAAAACGAAATATGAATATAATAGCATACAACTTACACTGAAAAACAATAAACATCTCGGCTAGCGTAGGCCGAAGGCAGAATTTACACTGACAACATCATTCACCTCTGCCTTCGCCTAACGTTTTCATTTAATTTCAATGATAAATCTGTACATTTGGAAAGTTTTTGCACAGAGCCTATCATCATACACTTAGTTTTACTTAGATTGAGACTTAATTTGTTATTTCTCATCCAACCAAATGTAAGTGCTGTGTTTTTCTGTGTCTCGATGAAGAGTATTACTTCGAAAATTTGACAACCTCATATTATAATATCTTTTTTTTATTTATTTTTTTATTTTTACAGGGTTACATGTTTAGACATAGTCTAGTTTAAAATACGGCCCTGTTATGCATATATGTACAGACTTAATAAGACAATTAAAATGGTACAATGATGATAAATACAATTTTAATAAATGATGCATATATACATTGATATATATCACAGATATTATTATGTATCACACTTATTACTTACTGTAAAACATTTCTGTGTATTTCTTTTTAAAAATATCTACACTGCACGACTGTTTAATAACATCACTAAGTGAATTTCATAAAACAGAGCAACTGTAGCTTAAAGAGCGTTTAAAATATTTGCTTTTGCTAAAGGGACATACAGTCTATCTGTTGTGGTAGCTCTTGTACTTCTGGAAGACACATCTCTTACATATAAAACATGGAATTTAAAACATTTGGAGCTTGGCATTTTAGAATTTTATAAGTAAGAACTGCTTTCCTAAACTCATAAAAATCAGGTAGGGGCATCCACTTGAGACTGTTAAAAAGAGTACAAGAAGGAATTAAAACATCTTTGATGTTCAATAAAATCCTGGCAGCTCTTTTTGTAACTTAAAATTCTCATATATGAAATGAGGTAAGACAATACTCTGATAAACCTTAAGTATAATACTGTCAGACATGTATGGTCCAAGTCTTCTCAGTACACCAACTTTTTTTGATATTTTTTTACAAACACTTTCGATATGATCTTTCCATGATAAAGTTTTATCTATGAGCACACCTAGAAGTTTGGCACAAAAAACTGTCTCAATAACGTTTTCATTAAATTTCAAAGTAAATCTGTACATTTGGAAAGTTTTTGCACAGAGCCTATCATCATACACTGAGTTTTACATAGATTGAGACTTAATTTGTTATTTCTCATCCAACCAAATGTACATTCCAAATCTCCACAGTTTTACCTTTCACATCTTGGGAAGTGTCATCTGCATACATGGTAACAGAAGAATTGTTAAAACACTTTGGGTAATCATTTATATATAATATAAATAGAAGTGGCCCAAGTATTGAGACCTGTGGAAAACCAATAGTAATTGGCTTGAACTCAGATAGTATCCCCTGATAGTTTACAGCTTGTGATCTGTCAGAAAGATATGAATGGAAAAACTGTACGACTGATTGGGATACCCCATATGACTTAAGTTTGTGTAAAAGTACTTTGTGATTTACGGTATCAAATGCTTTACGCAGATCAATAAACAGTACACCAGTAAGGTACCCTTGGTCAATATTTTTGAACCATCTCTCTAAAACACTTAAAAGTGCTGTTTCTGTTGAATGATGAGGTCGGAAACCAACCTGACTATCACTTATAAGACTGTCACAAGTTAAAACTATTGTGAACATGTCTTTTAAGTATTTTGCTGAGACCCGATAACATAGATATAGGCCTGTATTTATTAACGGAACCAGGGTCACCTGCTTTAAATATGGGTGTGACCTTTGCCCTTTTCCATTCTGTTGGAAACTTACCAGTTTTTAATATTGTGTTAAACAAAAATGTCAATGGTTGTACAATAGAGTCACCGGCACATTTGAATAGCTTTACAGATATACCGTCTACACCGGTTGCTTTGTCAACAGACATATTTTTTTATCTGTTTAGATACAAAATCTGAACTAATGGTTGGTATTTCATACGGTTTGTCAGTAATACAATTTTCTACAGGGGGTAAACTGTCGTCAAACTCATTGCCTATTTAAGCACCAATACTACAGAAAAAAATATTAAAGATATTTGCAACTTCCAATATATCGGAGACAGTTTTGCCATCAATATTAAGTTTGACATTCATATCAGGGTTTTTTTAGAGGGTAAACATTCTTTAATCTTTTCCCATACATCTTTGGGTTTGTTAGAATTATGTGAAATAGCTTCCTCTAAATAATCAGCTTTAGCTTGTCTAATTTTTGATAGTACACGATTTCTACATGCTCTATAATTAGCCCAATCCTTTTCTGATTTACACTTCCTGGCCTTGTTGTGTAAATAATCGCGATTGTACATTTCATTTAAAATACTGTCATTAATCCAGTGTTCGGCATGTGCCTTAATACGCTTCTCAGTCAAAGGTGCGTGTCTGTCTATAACACTAAAGAACAGTTCCTTAAATGTAGACCAGACATCATCAATGTCATCAAATACTTCAATACTACTTCATGGAGCTTGATCCATGTCAGATACAAGCCTCTCTTGGTCAACACCTTTAAACTTTCTGTATTTGATAGTTACATGAGAATTTTGAACATGTCCTTTCGACCGCCGAATGGTATATATCATGTGATGATCACTGCATCCTAGTGGAATTGTTCCAGACTGAACACACTGGAAATAGTCTGAAGTATAGATATGATCAATTAAAGTACTGGAGTCCTTGGTTTCACGGGTTGCTGTTGTAATTTGTTGATGTAGATTGTACAGCATCATGATATTACTGAGTCTTGGAGACTTAAACTCGTCAATGTTGAAATCTCCCATTACTATTACATTGTCATAGTCTGTGGTGATCCTCTCTACAACTGTGTCAAAACGGTCAAACCATTCAATATGTTCACTAGGTGGTCTGTATACCGTTACACACATTAGAGCAGATGTATTTGTCTGTTGGATCTTTATAGAAACTAGTTCCAAATCCATGTCTTGGGAAACGGTCACTTCACAAGCAGTAAGGTTTTCTCGGACGTAAGTGGACACCCCACCACCACGCCCGTTACGGTCTTTCCGGAAAACATTGTATCCGGGAACAGATATTTCAGCATCATCAATTGTATTGTCCAGATGACTTTCAGACACAGAAAACACATCAAATGCATGGTTCCTCAAAAGTATTTTGATCTGATCAAGCTTAAATAGTAGGCCTCTCACATTCAAACTCGGGCCTTTTGGAAGGTTTTAAATAAATCTGTCAGTAGATTGATAAAAGTCATAAAAAGTAGCAAAATGTTAAACGCATCCATCACAAATCCATTATAAATTGTCCGGAGTTGACTGACATGTACTCAGACATGCAGAGTGAAAGACTGCCGGACAGTTAAGTAAAGGTTATTGCATGGTTTTCGAGTAACAAGGGATTTATTACCCCCGGGCGAAGCGAGGGTGTAATAAGTCCCGAGTGACGAGAAATCATGCAATAACTGGCTTACTGCATGCTTCCCAACTCGAACAAAACAGAAAAATTGAGTAAAAAATATTCACCTGGACAATCTTTCTACCTACCCTACACTGCAGATAATTTACATGTACCTGTGTGAGTGAGTACTAATCAGAACCAGGTAAGTTTGTCTTTATTCTCTATAAGTGTGAGCGCATCCGTCATAATGGATATTGATTTCCTTATCACGTGAGAGGATAAGCATTTTCTGGAAAAGTTTATAATCTTATGTAGCTGTTCCTTTATACAAAATTGCACATTCAAATATACCATTCATCGAAAGAACTGGAATTCCTTAGGGATTGATAAACCCTTACATTGTATTATGAAAATGGTTTCAATATCATGTTCCTTTGCCACATCTTGAAAATTAAACTGAAAATGTAGTCAGAAATTCAACATTGTTTCCCGTATTTTGAACAGACACCCCTTACCTTCCCTGACACTGGACCTGGATAGTAATCCAGAAACACTTGTATCCATTATGAAGGATACACTCAGACTGGGTTTTGATAATCTTACCTGGTTATGATTAGTACTCACTCACACAGGTACATGTAAAGGTTATTTCATGGATTTCGAGTAACAAGGGATTTATTACACCCGAGCGAAGCGAGGGTGTAATAAGTCCCGAGCGAGAAATCATGCAATAACTGGCTTACTGCATGCTTCCCAACTCGAACAAAACAGAAAAATTTAGTAAAAATTGTTCACCTGGACAATCTCATTACCTACCCTTCACTGCAGATAATTTACATTTACCTGTTAGTGAGTACTAATCAGAACCGGGTAATTTTGTCGTTATTCTCAATAGCCCAGTCTGAGTGTATCCTTCATAATGGATACAAGTGTTTTTGGATTACCTACTATCCAGCTCCAGTGTCAGGGAAGGTAAAGAGTGTCTGTTCAACAATTAGAACAAAATACGGGTAACAATGATGAATTTCTGACTACATTTTCAGTTTAATTTTCAAGATGTGGCAAAGGTAAAGGATAGTGAAACCATTTTCATACATACAATGTAAGGGTTTATCAATCCCTAAGGAATTCTAGTTCTTTCAATGAATAGTATTTTTGAATGTGCAAATTTGTATAAAGAAACAGCTCCTAAAGATTATAAACTTTTCCAGGAAATGATATCCTCACACGTGATAAGGAAATCAATAACGCTTCCAACTCGGTAAAAAAATAATCTTTTTCAATCATGAAATTACCATTTTTTCCCCCTTTTTTTAAATGTGTCAACTAAGTTTATACTTTCCACTGTATTGACTTCATCATCACTTACTTATTTATTGTCTCCCCTTTCTGACAGCATTTGTGACCACATTCCACTGGACACACCCCCTTTCATGGTCATGTAATCATGATTGGCCACGAAAGGGGATTTTGTGTGCAGTGGACTGTGGTAGCAAATGATTTATTGCCCACAGTTTTCCATTGTGAGAGGTGGGAAGTATGCAGTAAGTAAATTATCTGCAGTGTAGGGTAGGTAAAAAGATTGTCCAGGTGAACATATTTTACTCAACTTTTCTGTTTTGTTCGAGTTGGGAAGCATGCAGTAAGCCAGTTATTGCATGATTTCTCGTCACTCGGGACTTATTACACCCTCGCTTCGCTCGGGTGTAATAAATCCCTTGTTACTCGAAAACCATGCAATAACCTTTACGTTCAAAATGAATAGAAACCGAACAGCGCTCACATTCCTCTGGTGTTGGTTCTTTTTAAAAGTTTTTATTCTATTCAGAAAAACAGATACAACTATATCTGCACCAAAACACTTAATTTCCTTGTTTAGAATAGGGAAGTTGTTTCCTGGTAACATCAGTATCTTCTCTTCCAATTTATAGTTAAAACGTCCACCTTTAAACATCATAAAAACCAATAAAACCAGGAGCACCAGTGAGGCACATCCTCTCCCTGCGACCATCTTGGATAATAGTCACATTTCTACACTGTTGGAATGACCTCCTTGCCCATATACGTTTAGGGAAAAAATGCATTAAAGTAATGACAAGGAATGGGATTATTATTCTGGTGTCACTCTTGTCCTCCTTTAAATCAATGTTGTCCTCCTTTAAATATATTAAGAGAGACAGACAGAGACAGACAGAGACAGACAGACAGACAGCGACAGACATAGACAGACAGAGACAGAGACAGACAGTCAGAGACAGAGACAGACAGAGACAGACAGACAGACAGACAGACAGACAGACATAGACAGACAGACAGAGACAGACAGAGAGAGGGAGACAGAGAAATTCTTTTTAAAACATCTTTAATTTACACTTGTCATTTTCGCACAATTTCACAGTTTTTATTTGAAATGATGCCGATGTCCTTTTTAAACTTCCTTAACTTCATAGATAGAAAATGACCCGGATGCCTCTGATACGACGTAGATAAAAGGGTTGGTTGTCAGGATATTTTTCTCGATAGTTCTGCAACAAAAAAATCAGACATTATAATGCTATTTTCATATCATTCTTAAATGAAGGAATGTGTTATGCATGTCTCAAAGAGTGTGAATCTTTAGAAGGATCATGTGTTTCGCGTGTAGTCACATGAACGAGAGGCCGTTAACACAAATTTGGCTATGTTTACAATTTGGGTTTGTAGTGACGTTTTGGCTGTGTGTGACGTATGCAATTTGTGACTTTGTAATATATGGATCGTGTGTTCGTTATATTAACTGACGTTTGTGCTGTGTGTGGTGGATGTGTTATTTGTTGTGTTGCGTTTCATTATGTGTAATGTGTGACGTTTGTGATACATTTCCCTTGAGTGTTCAATATCTTATACTCCACAGAGATCAGAATTTTCTTAGTGTTATGTGTGACGTATTTCATGTGTGGGACGTTTGTAGTTGTATGACGTATGTGTTATGTGTGATGTATGTTTTAAGTTTGAAGTATTTGTTTTTGCGGTGTTTGTGTTGTGTGTGACGTATTTGTTGTGTGTTACGCATGTTTTGTTTATGACATATGTGGTTTGTATGAAGTATGTGATGTGTATGACGTATGTGTTCTGTGTGACGTTTTTGATGTGTGTGACGTATGTGTTGTGCATTGCTTGTGACATATATGATTTGCTGTATGCGTGACTTGAGTCACTTTTTATATAGCTATGGTTACGATGACGTACCCCATGTCGTTGATTACGTTATCGCCCGTTTGGTCGTTAATGTACAGACTGTTCCAAGTGCCTTCCATATTCCCAGCTCGGTACAAACTCTCTAATGCAGGATTTCCGGTCCGCAAGGTGTATGTATATAAAATGCCATTCCGGGTGCCGGCGATTACGAACGGGAAATCGGAGTTGCCAAATAGGCCGCCAGCTAAGGCTCTCGGCTCAGGACCCTTGTAATGATACAGAATAACATCCACTGCAAGCATCAGGAGTGATGTCATGTGTGTTGGCTACTTAAATATGTATATTGCTATCATTATTCCGACTTAGCACTCCAGTTTAATTATTGATATAATTCCCCGTTCAACTGTCATATTCAATTTTAGACGAAAAGATGATAACCCAGAACAAATGCAGCAAGCAAGATATAGTAGAAAATTGGTAGCAAGGGAAAGAATGTGTGTGTCGGCAATGATTCAGAACTCATTTTGTTAATTGATTTGTTAATATTTATTTCATAATATAATGCAAACGTATTGTTAAGAAATTATACAGGGAGTGCGTATTTTATCATGGCAAGGCGTAGTAAAGCAAGCATATAGTGTTCGTCTCTCATTGCAGTAAAGATATGGGTGCAGGAACCTGTTTTTACAAGTAGTATAAACTGAAGTTGACATACAAATCAAAGTTATTATTAAATCAAATTAAAAAAAAATAAAAAATAATAATAATAATATAAACAAACAAACAAACAGGTGCGCTCTCTCTTTGTAAAAGGTTACAGAATTCATAATAGTACATGTACCAGATACAAATGAAAGAGATCATTGCTGTTAAGCGAAAGGGGCCGTAGAAGGGGCTGGAGAGTAGGTTGTATAGGGATCGGTTTGGATAGGAGGTGGAAGTGGTCTAAGGGTTTCCTGACTGTCTGACTCACGTTGATTGCATTCTAAAATAGTCAGCTATGTCGAATTATATATTGATTATACATATACAAGGACCGGGTCAATCTTTCTTTAAGTTACAAGATCCCAAATTCACACGTCCTTTTCTAGTAAGTTTACGTTATTTTTATTTCATTTCTTCCATGAGTTCTTTTTTAAATTTTCTTAATTCTATATAGTTATACCCGGATGCCACCGGTAAAATATAGATGAATTTGCTAGCTAAAAAGTAGACAAATGTTTGCGATTCGGGGTAGACGCAGGTGTTACATGTATGAGTGGATGAAGGGATTGTAATTCCGTACGGATGAGGGGGTTTGATGTATGGAATTAATGAAGGGGTACAACTGTAGGTGAAGTGTTTTTTGATAAAGGAGTTGATGCAGCGTTGGACAATGGGGTTGGATGTAGGGGTGGACAAAGGGGTTGAATGTAGGGGTGGACAAAGGGGTTGGATGTAGGGTTGGACAAAGGGGTTGGATGTAGGGGTGGACGTAGGGGTGGACAAATGGGTTGGATGTAGGGGTGGACAAAGGGGTTGGATGTAGGGGTGGACAAAGGGGTTGGAGGTAGGGGTGGACAAAGGGATTGGATGTAGGGGTGGATAAAGGGGTTGGATGCAGGGGTAGATGAATAAGTTGGATTAAGAGACTAATGAAGACGTTGGATTTACGGGTAGGGTAAAGGGTTGGATATATATGCAAGACCACACACTTGTGTTTTGCTAACGAATCAGAAAGCACAAGTTTATTGCGCGGACGAATATATACGTCCGCGCAATAAATGAGGGCTTTCTGGTTCGTTAGAAAAACACAAGTGTGTGGTCTTGCTTTTATTACATACCTTCCGTATTTGGTAGAGATCAATACAAAGATTTTATAAATAGGCAAAATCACCCATAAGTGTTGATCAGACTAGTCGAGATAGAAAAAGGGAATTCCCCTAAAAGTAGTTCCGGCTAGTATGGTGATACAACATCTTGTAGCACACCGACAGAAAACATCAACAGAAAATTGGTGTATTACTATTGTAAGATTACATAGGTATGTCATAAAAGGGTTGGATGAAGGGGTTAAATTTTAGAGTAGAATGAAGGTGTTGCTTATAAGGGTAGTATGAAGAGGTTGGATGTAGGGATTAGATGAAGAGGTTAGATTTAAGGATTAGATGAAGAGGTAGGATTTAAGGGTAGGATGAAGGGGTTGGATGAAGGGGTTGGATATAAGGATTATATGAAGGGGTAGGATTTAAGGGGTTGGATGAAGGGGTTGGATGAAGGGGTTGGATGAAGGGGTTGGATATAAGGATTATATGAAGGGGTAGGATTTAAGGGTAGGATGAAGGGGTTGGATATAAGGATTAGATGAAGAGGTAGGATGTAAGGGTAGGATGAAGGGGTTGGATATACGGGTCGGATGAAGGGGTTGGATATAAGGATAAGATGAAGAGGTAGGATATAAGGGTAGGATGAAGGGGTTGGATATACGGGTCGGATGAAGGGGTTGGATTTAAGTCTAGGATGAAGAGGTGGGATATAGGGGTTGGATGAAGAGGTTGCATATAAGGATTAGATAAAGGGGTTGGATATAAAGGTCGGATGAAGGGGTGGGATGAAGGGGTTAGATATAAGGATTAGATGACGGGGTAGGATATAAGGGTAGGATGAAGAGGTAGGATGAAGGGGTTGGATGTAAGGATTAGACGACGGGGTAGGATATAAGGGTCGGATGAAGGGGTTTGATATAAAGGTAGGATGAAGGGGTTTGATGTAGGGGTAAATGAAGGGGTTGGATGGAGGGGTTGGATTGAGGGGTGGATGAAATGTTGACTTTTGAGGTTGAAAAGAGATGTTATATATTTCAGATTTGGAAATGTGCTGAACACAACATTGATAATAAAAACAGTATTTTGTACAATAAATCAGAAAAATAAAAAGAGTAAAGTGATAGCAAAAGTATATCAAAGGGATACAAAACCAAGGCATGTAAAATTTAGGTGACATACCATGTCATCCGAACGGGTGTCCATCTCGGCGATGGGCTGTAGGTTGCCATTTGTGGTGTCACCGTTGAACACGGGGCCGTAATACTGGACTGCGCTTCTCTCCATCTCATCTCCAGTGGTGAACTGTCGTACTATCCCAGTAGAGTTCACGATGAACATACCCAGATCACGTGTGCCGTAGAAGTAGAGCTTCTCGATGAGGCCAGTATTACCCTTGCCGTCATTTTCACTAGCATACAGCCTCCCTAAAATGCACGTTATTTAAGTAATATTGCCTGTTGAAGTTTATGGGGGTATACACCTCAATGGGTATTGACAAAAATCAAATGAACTGCGAATATGAAAATGTTCACAAGACCATTGCGGTTTATACCCCATAAACCTAAACACAACAGGATCAAATCCTTATATCAACATTCAGTGCAATATTTACCAGTACATAACAAGCATAAACAACCATTCTTCATCACAAGTACTGTATGAGAAATGGTTACATGAAGTGAACTAATCTAACTGAAGGAACATTGCTCTGAATCGTTTTGGGAATAGTTAAATGGAGTGAATACTTCGGAATAATATCAGGAATGGTTAAGTAGACAAACAAATCTAACAACTGAAAATAGCTCTAAATAGTATGTGAAATGGTTACGTGGAGTGAACTAATTTAACTGGAAATAGTTTTAAATAGTATATGAAGTGGTAACGTGAAGCGAACTAATCTTACTGGAAAAAGCTCTAAATAGTATGTGAAATGGTTACGTGGAGTAAACTAATTTAACTGGAAATAGTTTTAAACAGTATATGAAGTGGTTACGTGGAGCGAACTAATCTTACTGAAAAAAACTCTAAATTGTATGTGAAATGGTTACGTGGGCCATGTTGCACCTTTGAGCGCCAACTGACAATTTTTATACCCAGGTCGCTAAACATCAACATTAGTCGTACATTACTCATAGACCATTAGTCACAACTCGTCCAAAACTCGTACACATGTTGCCGAACACGAAATTTAACACGCATAAACTCACACATTCTCATAGAAAAGTCTTCGGTTATTGAGGCAGAGTGATAGCATCTGGAATGATTACGTCTTGTGGGCTTACCTATCTTATTGTTGTCTTGGATAGCAGCAGCCATCTCATTAGAAAACATCAATCTGTTGATATCATTGTCTGGAAATAAACGAAATACTAAAAAACAAAATATAACAAAATAGAAAAAGAAACAAAGTGTTCAACGAAACTTTAATATATTAATCTATAAGGCCACCAGAACACGGATCATGCTGAACCCGATGTTTTCCCACCATCTAAATGGTGCATCCGAAAATCCCAAATATTAATCTGTTGTCACTTATATCGCATTTTCTTTGTAGTAGGATTTCTTATTGACTGTTGTCATTTCAGTAGGATACTGTAGCACACTTCCCTTCCACAGGTTAGTACCATACCATTCTCTTTGGGCGCATTAAAGGAAGGAAAATCGGTCTATCGGTCGGTTTGTTGGAAAGAACGCACGAACAAAGGAGCGAACAAACAAACGATTGTGCAAACAAACGAACATGCAAACGAACGAAAAAGTGAAGGAACGAAAGAATGGGTCGCAGTGGCCAAATAATCAAGGCGTCTGTCTTTCTGCTACCACTAGCCCTCCACCACTGGGTCACAGGTTCGAGGCATACGTGGGGCAGTCGCCAGGTACTGGCCGTAGGTCGGTGGTTTTTCTCCGGGAACTCCGGCTTTCTTCCTCCACCAAAACCTGGCACGTCCTTAAATGACCCTTGCTGTTAAGAGGACGTAAAAAACAAACAAACCAAAAGAAGGAACGAAAGAAGAAAAGAACAATCAGAGGAGAAAGAATCAGAATGCTATTTTTCCATATTGGAATAAGTTACTTGGAATGAACAACCAATACAAATATATAGACCTTAAAGATAAGTCTTAGCTCATATCCTTCAAAATGTCCATTTAAAACGACGGCAAATATTTCATTAGCCTTCTTTCATACGAACCTCTCCATAATGTGCTCAGCCTCGTGCCCTCGGTGAAACTGCCCGCTGTGCCGTGGTTGAATGATTTACGGGCTCCGGTGTTGGCGGTGATGACAAAATCTTGACCGTTCAGCTGGGTAGCCAACATGACCCGTGGCTGGGGGAAACTGTACAGGTCGTAGAATCCGTGATTGGCCGCTAGAATGTAAATGAACAGCTAAATGACACCAAAAGTCTCCCTGATTCCCAACTCCGAAAAACAAAATTGAAGCAAGCGGATTTTTTCCCAGAAAGTCAGCGAATTATGCAATACTTTTCATAGTTTAAACTTTCTGCTTAAACATCGTTTCGTTACGTTTTGAAATGTCTGAATATTTGCATTAAAAACAACGAAATACTGGCATAATTAACAGTAAAATAAATACACCATTAACAATGCTGTTTGCATTAATGTTGCTTACACTATATATCTGTGAGATTCAAAATTCAAACAACAGTTTTGCGTAATTTTTTGCGCCAGATGACGCAATTTAACAATATAAGTCAAATTTTGAAAAAATAGGTCAAAGTGACTTCATTTGTTCAAACAACAGCTTTGAATTGATTTTTGGAGCCGATGGCTATTTTCAATAAAGTACTCAACCTTTGAAAAGTAGGTCACATTGGCCTTATTTATGATGTCTTATTTATCATAAATAAGTTAGTTATTTTTCCCAGCTATCTTATATTTCCATATGTAGTACTTGAGCATAATAAACTTTTATCAGGAAGAAACTATGCCAATTCTGTCAATAATGACATGATAACACCAGCAATATTCGCTTAAAAGAACTGTTAAACAGTATCACAACACCAGCCAGTAAATCTCCAATCAAGGAGTCAAAACTTATTTGAATAGGTATGTTTACCCTTGTCCGTGTCCGATGCATCCAGTTGGAAATTTCGCCAATCTCTCTCTCCAAAGGAGTATATGTCCACCAACGCTCCATCGTTCGTTTCTAGGTCGATTACTGCCATGGCGTTGTTCTCCTGTGAAGTATAAAGAAATATCGATACCACATATAACAAACTGCTATTTTGTAAGATTCAAAGCAGGATTTAGAACTTAAGGTTCAGTCATGCAGAACTTAACGGATTCAAAGATAAGTATACGAAGATCCAATCAAACCATCAATCAAACTCACGATTGATGCAACATGGGCAAAATATGAAAACAGGAAGTATTTACATGTATATCCTTACACAAGTACCAGGAGAATAAGACCAGAGACGTTCCGAAAATGTTTACGTCTTTAATGTCCTTAGCTGTTGATTGGACGTTAAACCCAAACAACCAACCAATCCGAAAGTGTTAGCCTCTTGTAAACTAGGTTTAATGCAACTACCTCGAAGCGAGGACTGGGGTAGTCACGACAAGGCTTACTTATAAACACAATGATACAGAAAACATCATAGCACACAAAGAAATAGCATTGACGGTTTTGCGTTTTTCTGTCATTTCGTTTTTTGCTTGGCGTCTTTTCGCGGGAGACAAGGAGAAAAGCAGAAATGTCATAAATAAGCCACCATATATAACGAGCTCAAGTCCAGTGTTCGAGTCCCTGTTAAGCTCGGGTATTTTTTTCCACTCGGATCACGGTTGTTCCGCAAGGTGTGGTTTTCTTTCCAGAAAAAAAATCGTCAAAGATTTAGTCGTGCTTGATAAATAACTAGTTTTCAACTTAGTTACCGTTTTTGGCTGTAGTACGGGGATCCTTAAATTTTGTAGACGTCGACCTTGGCCGCTTTCATGTATCGCGTTCCAAACGGTTGGTACGGTTAGACAAGAGATGTTCGTTTGTGAAATTTGGTTGGACCTTGTAATCTGATGCTGCTTTTAGATGAGCCTTGACAAAGCCTTGCAAGGCATGCACAAACATTTGCAGGTCCGCCAGGATTTATAGCCAAAAATGTTACATTTGAAAACAGACAAACCGTTTGCTCCGCATAAACGAACAAGCCCATGCTCTTTTCTTACCTGGAGCACCACAAACGCTTTACTGTCGTCCGAACTTATGGCTACAAACTCTGGCTCCAAGTCGTTAGAGAAAGTATTTGGAAAGCCTTGTTCGCCTTGGTATACGTATCGCACGCCCCTGTTTATGTAAGTGTTGGTGTTGGCTCTAAGTTAAGAAAATATCAAAGGAGGCATTGTCAATTTCAAAATAAGAATAAAAAAAAACAATATTTCTTTGTAAACGTTAATATGTATAAGAATTCCATTGCATTGCATGACAGAACACACACATATATGTTAAAACATAGTATAACGAATTGTATTGTCATATATATAGATAACATTGTATGAACTATATCTTTTTCAAGTCACATCGCAAATAAAAACGTATCCCTTAAAGAAAAGCAATGCATATGAAACATACATACATATATATTGGTGTTGACAATATGAGGTTGCCATATGGCACCGAAATGTCGACAGCCTCATATCGTCTACACTGTTTGACCCCGTCCTTGCCCCATATACCAAATTTTAGTAATTCGTATTCCACAAACATATACATCTCCAGTACACACGCAGGCATACACACATAGGGAGATATTAGCCAGGTGGCATAGGACTAGTAGTTAGCGCCTAATAAGGCAGCTCCTGCGAATTCCTCAAATTGTTTGGATTAATATATATGCTAATTGTATTGACTGTATAAAATTGTATATCTATATGTACTGTAAAGCGCTTTAGAGTGGTTTAATCTAGCTAGATAGGGCGCTATATCAAATGTTGTGTATTATTATTATCATATGTTTCCGATGATTTGCTTTTAAATGAATTTGAAATGTTTATTTTGTCATTATAATCTTCATTGCATTCAAAACTGTTACATATTTTTTTTTGAAATCTGAAACTACTTTGCAATGCACAGAACGACAATCCTATGATCGGAGTACTTTGGTTTTGACATATACATAGTCAGCTGATAATACAAGGTGTTTTTTTGCAAATTATGAATGTTATGATGTTAATAGAATCTTACATTCGTGTCTTTAATCGATTCAATATGACATAGACACATTATGTAAGATCGTCTAAGTATATATATTGTTTTGTGCTAAATGACATCTTAATTGCTTTACCTTCCCGCTGTCAAACGTTGAAAATAAACAAGATAGATGCTCCGAGAACCTAAAGAAAACTGACCCGTTTACGATTGTGAATGGGATCTCCTTTGCGGTGGTTAATCCGCCTACGTCACGAGTAACGATGGAAACCTCACCATCCGGATCCACTAGAACGTCGTTAATTACACCCGGAATACCCTCGTTCGCCACCACTAGCTTTTCACAATCACTAGTGAAAGCCATGTGTTTGGGATAAGGGCCGACTGTTTGCAAACGAAACAAGAAATATCTTTAAAAAGATAATCGACAGAGTTCTAATGTTGGTGGCAATAATATTGAATACGGTTTTTTATAAGTGCATTCTATTATTATCGTATTCTAATAACTGTTTCTCTACACAGGAAAAGTTAAAGGGTAAGACATAGACTGTGATTGATATTGGTAGATTAAGTAATGTTGAGAAGTGTCGTTCAGACTAGAACATTTTAAGAATTGACATCTGCTTCACATATCTCACAATTTGATAATTACCAGGGATTCATCCGATTTATACGATGCACTTGACTGCAGCGTTGACCTATTTGTTTTTTTAAACCACGGGAATCTGCCAACCTCCACATTACAAAGTCTATATACTTTACTAGTGTTGCCATGCAGGATTTATATAAGTAATGCGTCAAACAAGTGTCCAATTTAAGGCGTCTAAGTTATGAAAAAAATTGTCATAGATAGAGACTTAAATCCAGAAAAAAAACTATTTGGCTGCTTAATCTTCCATATAGAAGGGAGAGTACTCTAAGTCAAAAATACTATGAGTGGATCTCTTATTCGCGGCTAAAACGTATGCAGTGGTACCCTTTACCTTAAAAAGTAGCAGAAAGTTTGAAGCGTGAGGTGTTTGTTTTTATTGTAACGTAAAAGAAATGTCCGGTATCAATAGACTGTGGGAAAAACTGACAATGTTAAGATATTTGGACGTTTCAAAAGTTCTTTCTCTCTTAGTCAAGTGCCATTTTCTTCATTTTCATTGGCTAAAAATGTCTTAAAAGAAATTATCTATAAGTTTTCCGTTGAGTATCATTGATATTTCACTCGTGTGGTAAAACGCTTCGATACTTACACTCATGCTAACGTAGTTGTGAAAACAAGAGGTCCATTGGACCTGTATCGCTCACCTGGTTTTATATTAAAGTCATTACAACTGAATGCATGAGTACATCTTTTTATGAAATTTCCTCAGATCCAGACAAGATCTTTCAACTAATCAGGGGCCTCCATTGAGTTGCCATGTTAACAGATTTTGAAATAAGTAATATGTCATGTTACAGGGTGTAATTGGCCTCAGAGGTCAAACCAACCTTATTTATTTAAGAAATGATCGCCCATCCCTACTTATGCTTCAGACTAAATTTGGTTAATCCTCTCTGGTGTTTAGGAGGAGATGCGTTTTAAAGCAAATATAGCTAAGTTCCCCTTCAGGGCCCCGCCCCCCTGGCCTCAGAGGTCAAACCAAACTCATTTATTTAGGAAATGATTGCCCTCCCCTAATAAAGTTTCAGAGCAAATTTGGTTGAAATCTTCTCTGGCATTTAGGAGGAGATGCGTTTTAAAGCAAATATAGCTAAGTTCCCCTTCAGGGCCCCGCGAGGTTAAACCAACCTTATTTATTTCAGAAATGATCGCCCATTCCTACTTATGCTTCACACTAAATTAGGTTGAAATCCTCTCTGGCGTTTAGGAGAAGATGCTTTTTAAAGCAAATGTAGCTAAGTTCCCCTTCAGGGCTCCGCCCTCCTGGCCTCAGAGGTCAAACCAACCTTATTTATTTCAGAAATGATCGCCCATCCCTACTTATGCTTCACACTAAATTAGGTTGAAATCCTCTCTGGTGTTTAGGAGGAGATGCGTTTTAAAGCAAATGTAGCTAAGTTCCCCTTCAGGGCTCCGCCCCCCTGGCCTCAGAGGTCAAACCAACCTTATTTATTTAAGAAATGATCGCCCATCCCTGCTGATGCTTCAGACTAAATTTGAGAGGAGGAGATAGGTTTTAAAGAAAAAGTTGACGACGGACGACGGACTACGACGACGATAAACGACGGACGCTGCGCCACGGCATAAGCTCACTAGCCATTCGAGCAGGTGAGCTAATAATGAATAGTTCTGCATCATTTGCAAAATATAGGTGATATTTAACTGGACAGTCTTAAATATTTTGAATCTTTTATAAATTTTCAGTAACATATCTTCATTGGGGCTATATTTCCTCAAACGTTTATAGAAATATTCAAATAATTATGACTTTATGATGAAAAATCGCCGTTTGACTTAAAACATTTGATGAATTGCAACAAATTTAGATCTAGATCACTGGAGAGAAAATATAAAATGTAAGACCGATTAAGATAAAAACATTCTTAACAGTTTCGTTTTACCGATACCATGGTTCGTATTCATGAAACCATTGCGATGTCCAACGATGGAATATGTGCTCAAACATACTTTCTTATAACTTGCCTAAATCATTTGACACGATCAAAGAGTCAACTCTAGACACTAAAAATGGTATTCGACTTTTAAGTCAATCCAAATCATTGACAGAATGATATCATTACATTGTTACTAATTTGTTACCGGGACAGGAAATTTGCTTTGAACAAAGATTCTGAATTCGAACATGGGATTGGTTTCATGAATACAGGCACAGAGCTCAGTAAGAACCTTCAAACCGGTAGTGACGTATGTTGTAACTCACCAGCCACGCGCCCGGTTGTCATTTCATTTAGCGTGGCGTCACCGAGACTGAATGGATGGTACAATTGCACGTGACCCTCGGATACAGTGTTGACCCCTGCGAAGGACAACGCTACTCTGGTGTCACAGACAGCAATGCTCAGTAGTTCTCCGTCTAGAGGGTTTTCGAATTGCATGCTTAGTTGGAGAGTAGGCGTATTGCTGCTCAAGCCATTGTAGATCCGAAGACATCCGTCCTTTCTGTTGTTGGCCACTGGACGCCCTTGAAACAAAACACGACTTAACACGATACACATTTATTAAGCTACTTAGTCAGCGATCATTGGATGATTTCTTTACATCGAACCCCACCACTAACCAATGCATGAGGAGGACCGTTCTGGTAATCTCAAACTAAAAGCCGAAACAGGCCGGAATTATCGCCCAGTTAGGCGTGCAAATTCTGTGAAAGATGAATCACATTTTTTTATTAACTGTGAATTTTACTCTCAACAAAACAGAACTTTCCAATGCAGCTCTTATTAAAAATCCTTATTTTATAGACCTTGATGATAATGGAAAATTACTTTTTTAATGAAAAACACCAGCATTCAGAACATTCTAATTGCAACTTTTTATCATATGTACGAATGATGCAAGTTTGTCAAGAATATGGAAAGTTTTATTGTCGCCATCATGCCCTCATTAATAGGCTATGACCTTCTCTGATTTGCATATCGACTATATTTTAAGTTGTGGTTTCGTTGTCACTCCCCCGGTTCGCTGTTTGAGATCTTGACATCATTAATTGTTCTCAAATCCGCCTATCTGGTGTCGCCGATGACGCAGAAAACGCTTATCCTTCATGAACACATTGTCATATTCCCCATGTACTTTTCTATGGTCGCCATAGCCATTCGCCATTGCCATTACGTCAGTGATATACGTGTACTCACCTATGACGTACAACATCCTGTTACTCGCGTGGAAAGCTGCTCTGGCCGCGCCGTACCGAAACATGCCCGTTTGTACATTGCCGTTGTTATCTTCACAACTCGATAGCTTGGTGAAGGAGATCTGAGTCAAATTCAGCAAGCCCAACGTCTGCCCGATTAGCAGAGAACCAATTATCAAAAACTTCATGGTCAGAGCTGAAAGTATCAATTTAAATTACTGATATCACATCTAGACACATCATGGTGAGGCTAAACACATGTGCGGTCAGCAAATTTATAGCACAAATCATATCATCTCCGGGGCAAAATAACTCCATAGATACGTCACCATTTTCAGAATTATTATCAGGAACATTAATAATTGTTCATAATTCTGAAAAAAGGTGACACATATTTTGAATTATATTTGTTTTTACATTCTTAATTGCCAATAAACACAGAAAAGCATGTAAAACTCATAATACATAATACGTTGGATTAAAGTGAGTCTGATTGAGAAATATCAAGATAGCGAGGTTTACTCTTGTTGTTTTACTCATGTTGTTTTGGAGCGCATTTTTATTAATCATATTGCATGTAATGTACTACGACATCTGTCAAAAGCTCGGTTTTTAAAATACACGAAATACTTGCTCAACATAGCAATATATGAATTATACGGATATGTGTTCCGTATCTTAAATCAAGTCCGGTTTTTTTATGAACTATTAAGCAATCAAAATATCTATACTGACAAATGGCGGTCACCAGCCCGTCTAATGACGCGAAAGGAATTCCGAAACGGTTTTAAACTTTTCCTCCTGAAAAGAGTGTGTGTGTTGATGTCATGTCATGGTTAAAATGAAGGATCCCCGCAACACTGCCAAAAACTTTAACTATGGTCTGGAAACTTATCTTTTAGTCATGACTATAACATTAATCAGTCATTTCTGAAAAGAAAACCACACTTTTCGAGATTGTTATGGGGAAAAAACAAAAGAGATGAGGTAAACAAGAAAAATACAACAAAAAACAACACCAGCGTTCTGAGTGAAATATGCGTGACTAAACTATCCTGGATACTTAGGCGGTTACGCTCACTTTCGCTCTCTACACCCCTGGAATATGTTGTAGCAAAATTGGCCGCGAGAAGATAGCTGTTTGATTGGTCTCAGGTAAAAAAAAAACTGACCAAACGCTAGGCTGGTACCTGTCCTTGGTAGATTACAAAGGAGAGACGCCCGATTTCAAAGCCTGTCATTTTTTACCGTTACGCGACCGCGAGATTCTTTTGATGTATATCAAAGTATCGAACTAGCCTTCTTGTTTCATCGACAAGGTGGCGCACACAGAGCTTTCGTTTTTGCCATGACATATTCCAGGGGCGCAGAGAGCAAAAGTGAGCGTAACTTCTGGAGTATCGAGGATGTTGTTTGCAGATGACACCCCCAACCCCACCCAATTAACAACTCCCTAAAACACATTATCCTCGAACAAAATCTCCATAAACTACCACGCTGGGTCGAAACAAAGCGCACGGCGTTTAATACAAAGAAGTGCTGCGTCAATCACTTCTACTGAAAATGTAATTCTCCAGAAAGTAACGCAGAACTCATTGCTTGGGGTCATTTTATCAAAACACCTAAAGAATGCCAACAACAAAATTATCTCTATCAGAAGCAAGCAAAAACGTTATCGCAGCGTCTACATGTACACATGCCTGTTTTTCAGGGTTTCGCATCCTTAAAATTACGATTTCATTGAATACAAGCGGTGGCTAATCAATTACAGACAATTGGTGCGGTTATCAATAAAAATACATAGCAAGGACACATCTTTTTTTTTAATTAATTTGTTGATGAAAAAAGAAATGAAGATTTGAAACATATATGGTCATATCGTCCATTTATGACCCATTAATGGTACCAAGGTCCAAAGAATGAAACTATTTGTCAAATGTGTTCCGAAACAAATAAAGAAGATATGCTTCAAAAGGGGAAACGTACCAATAAAGCAATTTATTACGTTATATTTACATTTCCATTGCAAGTTCCTCTATAAGCATAAATAGGAGAAGTTGCGTCCATACAGCTATGAACGCAGTTTGAGACAACAGATAGAATAAAACATGTTGATGACGTTACTCTGTTCCATGAATCTTGTTTGCGCTGACGACACAGACAATTCCATATCGAAAATATAAGGAAATATCTTTGTTTAGGTCAATAATAACTAAATATTCAGAATGTAAATTTAAGGCTTAAACGGTATTTTTTAATGTTCGTGCCGTTATGAACGCAAATCGGTTTCATATATATATTAAGCCTTAGCGAACTTTATGGAACATGTATATATATCCGATTTGCGTTTATACAAGCATGAACATTGAAAAAATGTCGTTCAGTCCTTATACGAATAACACCTCGTGGCAGATGATCTATTTTTAGACTAGCTTTTATGTACACCGTGCCAGAATATAATTATTCCAGCTACAAGGTTAAGCTAAAACCTCTGGGATAGAAAGTTCATCAGCAGAGCCAGCAACTTCGTTACTTAAAATAATCACTTGAAATGCAATTATGCAGAAACGGGCGCAGAGCCCATACCCAACGTTAGGGTTCACTTTATCGAAAGACCTTAAACCGGCTAACTCCATCATGGAATTTTTTCGACAGAATATCAAAAACTGGCATAAATTCCGTGAATGGGGCACCTACAGCATTCGATCGTTTGTTTAGGTTTCGCGGTCTTCAATTACAATTCCATTTAATGCTAATGGCGGCCAACTGTTGAAAGTGAAAAACGCTTTTAAGACATGAATATATAGTGCACGGTCTATCTGGATACATGTAACTTGGCCTGCTTAGATTTGCCAGCTTTTATTTCAAAATTAATGATGTGGAATTTCTTTAAACTTGAAATTGTTTAAGCCTTCACTAAACTGAACTTTCAATGAAGGATTGTTATTTCTAAACTGAACTTTTAATGGAGGATTGTTCCTTCTAAACTGAACTTTAAATGGAGGATTGTTACTTCTAAACTGATCTTTTAATGAAGGATAGTTACTTCTAAACTTAAATTTTTATGAAGGATTGTTCCTTCTAAACTGAACTTCTAATGAAGGATTGTTACTGCTAAACTTAACTTTTTATGAAGTATTGTTACTTCTAAACTGAACTTCTAATGAAGGATTGTTATTTCTAAACTGAACTTCTAATGAAGGATTGTTATTTCTAAACTGAACTTCTAATGAAGGATTGTTATTTCTAAACTGAACTTCTAATGAAGGATTGTTATTTCTAAACTGAACTTTAAATGGAGGATTGTTACTTCTAAACTGAACTTCTAATGAAGGATTGTTACTGCTAAACTTAACTTTTTATGAAGGATTGTTCCTTCTAAACTGAACTTTAAATGGAGGATTGTTACTTCTAAACTTAAATTTTTATGAAGGATTGTTACCTCTAAACTGAACTTTAAATGGAGGATTGTTACTTCTAAACTGATCTTTTAATGAAGGATTGTTACTTCTAAACTGAACTTTTAATGAAGGATTGTTAATTCTAGTGTATTTTTTGAACATATGGTGGACGAAATTTAAACAGTTACTTCATTACTTTGCTTTTCTAGTAATCGATTCCGAACGGTTATTCAATGCAAAAGAATATTTAAGGATTGAATATTGCTTTAGTCAATTTCATGGGGTGATGAATTGAGCTGAATTGAGTTGGTCTTGAAACAAATTTAATGAACTAAATAAACGAATTGTTGACATGTGGAAGCGTTTTATCATACAAAAAAAAAAAAAGCTCGAGAATTATTTCTGTAAAGGTAATTTGCACATTTTTTTTAAAAATGTTTCAAGATCGACAATTCGGTTAGTGATGTTCTTGCACTTACCTGTTGTATAGCGAGCGCAAGATGGCGACTGGACAACCGATAGTGCGGCAATGTCCAAAACGGTTCTTATCATAAAACCTTAGCTTGGCAGTCTACACATGCGGTGTTCACATACACCAATTTTATCTTTCGTGTCTTCACATATGTTGTTTTATAGTGCTCATGTCGTTTGAAACGATCGCAAATATACTATACAATGTTATGGAAAAGATATCGTTTAAATGTTGCTTGCAAGTCAGTTACTAGCAAATTTCTATTTCATGTGCAAGTTATTTAGTTAAGTAGAGGTGCAAAATTAAATTAGCAATTAGTTTTATTGTCTTTCAATTTACCAAGGATACCGTGTTGGGAAGGAATTAATATAGATTTACGTAATTGTCAACTTCATTTGAAAAAATCGAGGCCAAAGAACCTTAACGGTCACCTAAGTTATAATAATTACTTTTCAATGTTGACATTGATATAACCAGTAAAATATTATGACTCTGGGCCCTATGGATTTTCAGGAGGCAGACGAGCTTCTTGATTTTAAAAGGGATGCCACGACGTATGAATATTTTATAGTGCTTACAATTTTACTATTAAACTATTGTCCCCTGTTCAGTGTTTAAGATGCTATATATATATTCTTTTGTTTAGGTTGAGGGGGTAACAGTAATTACCCTCTGTTGTAGTTAAAGAGAGTTTATGTAGATAATTGTTCCCTGTCTGGATCAAATTAATCTATTTTTCAAATCTCTTTTTGAAACAGTAAATATCTTACCAATTCTAGACTACCTGAAAACAGCTGGTCTGTTCTAAAATATATAACTGACCATAGTCACTTTTAATATTCATATTGACATTTTTCTTTTACACTTTCGTTTGTTCCATATACAATGTACTTCCCTATAACATGTTTTGATGCCCATTTATCGCCCCTAATGAGATCTGTAGCATTAATTGGCAGTTAAGAATGTGAAATCAATCATCAGACAGGTACAGTGTGTGGACTGGTCACCAGAATGATACGGTTATATCTAAAAATAGCATTGTCACACTGTAGATGCATGTTTGATTGAAACTGGCTTTAAAATATGTTTATCCCACTACTGCGTTTAATAATCGATATGTGTAAGTTCTGATATAGGGGAAAAAAAAGTAAAAAATGATAAGAATCTTCACAGGGATGCCCACATCTTCACTCTGCTGAATCTGTTAAGTTGGCTATAAAAAGATCATAGTTGAGTGAGCTTGCTCGGTTTCTTAGGCCACAGGTGAAGAATATTTAATTTCCTAGATCGATAATTAACAAATTTCTTACTTGAATTAATGTTCACTAACAAGGACTTTTTAACATTTGACTTAAACGAATTCAATGAGGGTGAATTTCTGATATCGTTATTCAGGTTGTTCCAGAGATTCGTTGTAGCTCCTAGTAAATGATATGGGGCAGTCCCCAGGTACTCGCCGTAGGTCGGTGTTTTTTCTCCGGAAACTCCGGTTTTCCTCCACCACCACGTCCTTGAAGGACCATAGCTGTTAATAGGACGTAAAACACAAACAGACAAACCTCTGATAGATATAAATAGATTAGAATCATATTGTTTTACACAATTTATTTATTTATTCCTCATTCACTGAAAAGAATATTAAAAGAAATTATCAAGATTTACATTGAGACATATGACAACATCTAGGTAAATATTGACAGTGGCTTAACTACATCAGGCTGAAAGAATACAATTTAGTATGTTTTATATTTTAATTATACAAAAATAAATACTGGTCCCACCTGTCTTTGGCATTTAAAAGTGCCTTCACATAAACCATATTCAAGTTCCACACCTGAATAAACACATCCTGATATCCAAATCCACATTTATATAAATTTAGAAACCTGTTGATATCCAGAGCATTGATATTTTGGTACAAGTAGATAAACTTGATATCCAGATATACCCTGATATCTAGACAAGTGTATATATCCATATCGAAACCTACATCAAAGTAGAAATGGATATATAGACAGACACATATTGATGATGCCTAATAAATAAAAATAATAAACTGGGATATCGATAATCCTGAAAAAAATACCTTTATTTAATTATGTATCTAGATTTGTTATGGATATGTAGAAATGTACTGGTATATTAATGACTAGATATATACCATCAAGGTCAGAGATATATGAAATTACCATAAAATTGTGGAAAAATGTAATTTATAATGTTATTATTAGGTATTGACATGGCATCTTGGACTCCTCTTCATTTCTACCCCAAACAACTCCACCATCATCCTTGTCATCTGTCTCAGACAGCTTTCTCTTTGGGAGTAAACAATAAGGCTAGCCCCATAGCTTGAGACTAGTGCAATCTCCAGCTGGACTGGTGGTTCTAAAAGCTGCTTGCCTGAATTGACTAGTCAAATTTTGATATTGCTTATCTTGTTGAGTATTGGGTTAGTGGAACTTACACATGGATTAGTAAAAAATGGAAACTACTACCCCACTAGACCAGTGGTATTCACAATTAATTTCTAACCTGGTCTCTAGTACGTGACAAGAAACACAAATTGCTCATTTTAGCCATATAAGCTTGAGATGACTTTAACAAGAGTCTAAAGTAAGAGATTTTTGTAGAAATGTTTTCGATAAGTCCGAGACAAGAATTAAAATTTTTAGTTGAGTTTGCTTCAGTTTAAAGTGACGTTATGGAGGATAATTTTAAAATAAACTGTGTCCTAGTCAATAAGATAGGAATTTGGAACTTAATACATACTCTGCTTTGCATAAATCTATGAATGGTAACATTCTCTATATGTCAATATAATGTGTAGTTCACATTGCAATATAATGCTTCACATAGTAATATGATGTTTCACATTGCAGCCTGATGTTTCACATTTTAATATGATGTTTCACATTGCAACCTGATGTTTCACAAAACAAACTTACATATATTTCACAAAAGTAACCTGATGTTTCACATCAAATCTAATATTTCTCATAGCAAACTGATGCTTCATATATTTGTTGTTAATGTATCACATTCAAATTCACAAATAAATCTAATAACAGCAATCTGATATTTCACATAGCATTCTATCTTTCACAAAATGAAAATACTATTTCAAACACAAACCTGACATTTCTCATATAAAAACCTACCAGTAATGTGTCACAGACACAGAGCAACCAAGTTTCTGATGTTTTTCGTATTTGACATCAATTATGAAACCTGATCTTTCACTTTCACATTATGTTATAAAATTTCACATTTAATAACTTTTCACATATTAAGCTATTTCACATGTTTCACATTGCAGCCTGATGTAAGCATAACATCCAGTATTTTTTCTAATAGCACTTCTGCTTCACATAGTAGATGTTTCACATAACAGCTTAATGATGTTTCACATGACTGGCACTGCATATTATGGAAACTTACAACAACAAATAAATTAAAGATGTTTGAGTTAGAAATGTTATCACTAGATAAACGAGTGATTTAACAACTAACAAAAGTACCCACCAAAACAAAATTTAACAACAATCCCCACCGATACTGTCTATTAATCAGAGCCAGACGAGTAGTTATACAAATGAGTTTTATCATAAATTACTGTTTGTTTTAACAAACGTTCTGTAATAAAACTATAATCCATATATAATATGTCAAAAATCTTTTTCATCCATTATCTTCTGCCGAATCATTTTCATCCTTTTCATCCTTTGAATTTTCACTGTTCTGTCCTTCAAACTCCTCTTCCTCATCTTCTAGTACATTATACACATCACTGCAGGCTGAAAATGGGAGAGAAAAAAATAAGTACAAAATGCACTTTAATATACAAGTTTATAATTCTGTCAACCAATTAAAACTTTTCTTAAGGATCCCCGTACCACTGCCAAAAACTGTAACTACTGGTAAACTGTTTAAACAAAATGTAATCAACAAAAGTGTTTCGATTGTAAAGAAAATTTAGCGGGGCCTAAACCACGTTTCGAAACCTGGGCCCGTATTCATGAAACCGTTCTCATGATTAAGCATGGGTTTTGTGCTCAAACCTGATTTCTTGTTACGGTTATAAATTAATAATAAAACTTTATTTTTTCAATGATTTGGAAAAACTTTGAAGAGACTTGAAGCCAAATACTGTTTTCAATGTTTATATTTGACTTTTTGATCATTTGACATGATTTAAGTGAGTTACAAGAAAGTTGGTTTGAGCACATAATGATAATCCATGCATGAGCATGAGAATGTTTTCATGAATACGGGCCCAGGACTTCAGATTGATATTCTATCGCTCTAACCGACTGAGCTACCTGGTCAACAGAAGTATCCTGGCCAACTGTGCAGAAGCTAAGGGGAGGTAATTACTGTATAACAGAAAACAACACAATGCTGTGGGACAGGGATCCTAAAAGGCCTTCAAGTTTACAAGATGAAATAAGTATTCATAATGATTCTGTTTTTAATTTCCAGGTACATAAAGTTTCACAAATACAATTTATGCAATCCAGTTATTTATAACTCAGAACTTTATAGTAACAATTGTGATATATGTGTTAAGTGCTAAGTTACCTGAAAAAGCATCTGGATACAATTTACCAAGTCTCTGTTTTAAAATTCTGAAAAAGATAATAAGAAATAAAGTAAATATCAAAAATGCATAAAAACATATATAGTTTATATACACTTGTACCAATAAATAATGTCAGAAAAACATGTTTTCTGTTTATCTCACATTCTGGTTAATATCATGTTTTCAGCTGCCATGTTCATGTGGATTGATATTAAGTGAAATCTACAGTATTATCATCACTTTCAAAATGTAAATATGAATATAAGTATCATACAATTTCAAGTTAACTTGTGAATAAATAAAACTTTCACTCTCTGCACCCCTGGAATATGTCGTAGCAAAATTGAAGGCTCGGTGTGCACCACCTTGTTGATGAGACAAGAATACTAGTTCGATCCTTTGATGTACATCAAAAGAAGTCGGACATCTCTCCTTTGTAATCTTCAAAGGGCAGGTATCAGCCTAGCGATTGGTCAGGTTTTTTTCACCTGACACCAATCAAACAGCTATCTTCGTGCCTTCAATTTTGCTATGACATATTCCAGGAGTGTAGAGAGTGGAAGTAAGCGTAACTCCTAGATATCGAGGATGCTTCTTGACCTGGCTGTGAGCATGCAGGGATTTTATGTGCAATGAAATCGGTGAGCTTAGAGAATATCCACATGTTTGGGCAGGTGAGCCAATATCTTTACAGGTCTCCTCAGGGAATCAAACCCTGTGCCAGTCATCATAGTGAAAGGCTAGTGCACTATATCCACTGTATTGCCAAATGCTTTGATATCAAATCTCATTTCATTGTCCAGCAATAAGCCCACCCCCTACTTTGAGTCAGAGTTAATGGGTTGGCCCCCTGGGCTTATTACAGGATAATGTGGTTAAGCAACAATCAGCCTACAAATGTCTGATCCATGCATAAGATAGAATTTTGAACATAAACAATGTTTCACTTGTGTGCCAAGGGAAGCAACTCCATGAAATTACCTGATTCGTCTGAAGACGACATCAAGGTCTTTCTTCATGTCATATAGCAACAGAGTGTGATTCCTGAAGGACTGGCTGGTGGCGTCAAACCGTGTTGAGGAAAGCATGTTAAAGTTGATAAGCATTTCATTTGTTTTCTCATATCTGGATAGCCTGAAACATTAAAATTGAGGTTTAACAAGATTAGTGAATCAGGATGTTGTCTGTGATTTTAAAGGTTACCATGATTTTATTAGAGCTGGTAATACACCCATATCTTGTAGGTCAGACAAGAAAAAGGAATTTATAACACAGTCACTCTTGACCAATTTACATAAATAGTCTCCCAAATTTTTAACAGTTTAACATGCACGACCTGGAAATGCCACATCCCTAAATGCATGTTTTACATTACACATATAGTATTTTTTCATCAGGAAGCATCAGTCCTTTCATTACGTTAAATTAACTGTATATGGCGGCTAGAAAACTAAACAGACAAACAGAGCTTTCAAGAATATCCTCGCTGAATGATGTTGCAGGGAATGGGGGCATTTAGCTGCTAAGTTAGAAGCAATATACAAGGTTGTTTATTCCAACTATCTGGACCTGACAGTTTAATACATTGGATATATATATTTGGACTTATCCTCAAGTGCAGAGAGTTGAATTAGAAGTTTTTGGGGTTTTAGATCAAGTCTTGGTAAAAATGTTAGAAGTTACCCCTGTAGTAGGACGGGGAATAGTGATAAAGATAGTGCTGTCGTTGGGGCTCTGACCCCCCTACCCTTGGCCATCCAGCCCAATGCTCTACCGCTGAGCTAAAGGGAAATTCCCTACAGCTGACGTGTGTAAGCAACCTTATCAATGGACATCTTTTACACTATTCCCCCCTTTTTTCAAACACCAACCCTGGTTATTGGACTCCCCCCGCCAAGTGCTCTCCTACCTTGGACGGTGAGGCCTAGGGTCAACAACACCAGTTTGTAGTAGGACGAGGAATAGTGATATATACTAAAGTGCCGTCGCAGGGACTCGAACCGGCGACCCTTGTCTCTCCAATCTGATGCTCTACCACTGAGTTAAAGGGAATCCCCTACTGACGCTTGATCAACGACAACTGATCATGATGCACATCTTTTACAGTTTTTTTTCTACCTAATTACTGCAGTCTTTTCTTACACGATTTGAGAAAATAAAGAACGATTGTTTTTGAAATTTGAAACATATCCCTCATTTTTCTTCATTTGGGAAAATAAAGTATTTTTTGAGAAAGAAGCCTGTATCTGTGTATTGCAGTATCTAGGTGGAACTGAGTTGCGCTGCCCTAACTAAGATTGATAGATAGCAAATCGGACGGCATATATATCGTACATGTCTCGTTGTAGTTCCACCATCGCTCCGACATCAGCTCCCTTGATTTGTCCCATTAAGGCTTCCGTGAATGCTACAGAGGACGGACATCCTTCATCGTCAGAGATGCGCGACCCTCCTTCACTTTCAGTTTCCATTTTTTTTTACGTCAAGAGTTACAACGACCATGACGTTAGGTTGCATTATTTGTCGTAAAAGTTGTGAAAATTATAAGGAAAGTTTGATAATAATTAATTATGACGAATACGCATGTTTTATTCACAGTATATATGAGGAATTCAAAATAATCTCAGAAAAACAAGGATTACATTTTAATTGTGTATTTTACGACATCTGTCACCCCACATGACTCTTCGCCATTTCCAAAAACAAAACAAAAACACCGCTGACTTCTGGGTTTTGATGGGGATATCAACTTTCACTTCGGTATGACAGCAAAGTAGCATATATATCCGTTGTTTACTTCTACAGTGGACATTACAAAAATGTTTGGATTTACAACCCAGTGCTTAAATGATGTATATCGGGCAAGTTTATAAATGACGTAATTTTGATAATAATGGCCTTTGTACAGTTACCTAGTTGTACGCATTAGGTAAACACGTTAGACTGAGGGCCAAACAAGTCATTCACAGAACTGAGTTTATCTATATATGGTGTATGTATATAACCATGAACACATATTTCAAACAAGCACACTTTGCCAATGTGTACAACTTATATATAATTATATATAGACAATGTTCACTTGTGCCTGTGGACTCTAAATGTGGGTACATAGGGTGTCAGGCGTTTCGCCCCAAAACCGTTACGCCACAAACCAGTTCGCCCCAAATATGATTCATATCGCCCCAACCAGTTCGCCCCAAAAAAAACATAAATGCCCCAAAAAATCATAAACGCCCAAAAAAACATAAACGCCCCAAATAAATATAACGCTCCCTTCCAAAAAAAAGGAGCTTGCTTATTTTCCCAATTTCTTAGCAAATTCGTAGTTAAATGATTATATGTGATTATGTTTACCGGGCTTAGGCAAATAACTCTTGTTTCATGTATACTATGGAAAGGTCGGCGTATCTGCAAAGCTGGAATAGTAAAAGTGATATGTTTTCTTTAACGTTTGTTTTCAGTTTATGTTTCCAAAAGATGTGACTTACGGAAATGTAGCATTGTGTACATTCTTTCATCATACACCGACGCATGTGGCTTTAAAATAAACAACAAATCCATGTTTCCATGTGTTGTATGTTAAGTGCTATTATAAAGAACATATTTCTTTAAGGTATGTGTACAACTTGTCATCAAACTTTGATGCCTGTAGCTATTAAACAAACAACAAAGCCATATATCGACAATCTATAGTAAATTACTTTGATCAGAGAGGCAATTATTTTCCTGGTTCCTTTACATTTTGTGTCGCCGCATTGGCAGGTGTTATTAAAATTCCAACGTTAGGAAAATGTATCCACAAAAATATTAAGTGATGTATTCTGTATTGTGCATGATATATATCTTTGTGTTATATTATGGTCTATCATTTGTTAATATAAGTTGTTGTTGTAAGTAATTAATAATTACCTCTTTCTATATATATGTATATGTAAAAGATAATAAGATTATTTCCACGTGTGCAGAAGGTAGCTAACGTATCATATCTATAATATCTATGTAAATCATGTATTTGAATATTTTTGATGATATATATGTTGAAGATAATTAGATTAATTCTAATTCCACACAAAATTATTCGAAACAAGAAATGAATAATTGATATTGACAAGGAAATAGTCACAGCTCTAAAATTGAAAGAGGTACCTCCCATTAACTGCCTTTTATAGTTCAATATAGGTTCGTAGCGGTTGGGGCGATATCGAAATTTTGGGGCGATATAGCTTTTGGGGCGAAAAGAAATTTTGGGGCGATACATATATGGTTGTCATACTTGGGGCGAACTGAACTGAAAATTGGGGCGATGTGAAAAAAAATTGGGGCGTAACGGTTGTGGGGCGAAACGTCTGTAATTCGGGTACATGCATGTACCTGTTGTGCAAGATTTACTTTCGGATAATTGAATTCAATAACTCTATGCACAAATACCAAACAGCACACATCAATTAACAACATCGAACAATGTGATCATATGACATAACATTTACTTACAACTATAGTCTACACGTTTAAATAAGACTTCGAAATAGAGCTTCTATGCAATTTTGATAACGAAATACAATATATATTAAGATGTGAACAAAATACTATTACATGTAGGTGAACAGCCTATAGCTAGGTTTAAGAAAGTTATGGAATACAACCCCCAACACATGTCATCAAATATAACCACAGAGACACATGAACTATTGTAGTAAGAGCGGAAAAATGCATGGCCAGTCTGGTGTTCATTATGAAATTTGAAATTATATCCTAAAACTTAGAATTTCACTTTTACTATTCAGTTGACACCCTACATACTGAATTAGTATATATATACAAATTATATATCCATTTTTCATCAAGCAGTCACTACATAAGGACCTATAAGCTATATCCCGGGTACATTTTACGAGCCAAACTGTGTTGGCTCCCCCGACCCCCACACTTTATTATAACTTGTTATGATTTACTAATCATTTCTGACGTTTTTTGTTGATTTATTTCAGAATTGAAAGATGATTTTAAGAGGAAATTGATCTGGTGGTGCAGATATGATTCTGTAAAGAATGAAAACACGACCTGACTGTAGCCCCATGAGTTAATGCTGAAACATGGCAAGACTTGATATGGATGAAATAGATAGCCTCGAGGGATGGGTAGCTGTCAAAGACAGTCCCTTTACAGACGCAATGATCCCTCCCCGGATGACTTTCCTCGTGTGCTGGAATGATGTATGTAACAAAGTGGCAGTGACGTGTCGTCTACACAACAGAGTGGTCAGTGACGACAACAACCTCGATAGCCGCACTGGCATATTTAGCATGCAGGAAGTGCGGGCCATTCATGAACTTCTGTGTCTTATTCATCCGTCCCTTCGTACATATCTTCCTTACCTCCCAGAGGAGTCGCGCAGTGTGTGGGCGTATCTTGGCTACCAGGAGCCGCCGATAGACTACCAACTTGTATGTTCACAGCTAGAAGAATACTTCACTATGGTCTTAGAAGTGTGTAAGGAGAAACTACTCATGTCGACTTTGTTTGAGGAGCATACTTCCATTGAGTATTTTGAAAACATAAGTGAACTTCGTCGTCAAGGTTACCTGGATGAAATCGCAAGAGCCGAAGATGAATTGGAAACCGTGATTTTCATGAGAAAGAATGCCACCAACATGCATGAAATGGGGGATGTTTATCAACAGGAAGATGATGCCATGTTCAGATTGAATGTAGCATTATCTGCATATTACAACTATATACTGCAACCTTTTCTAGACCTCCGCGAGATCGCTTACACAAACGTGACCGAGGCTAAAAGCTACCTGCAGAATCCCGATGTTGGTGATCGGATCAAGCGAGAATATGGTGCCATGTTTACAGAGTGGCAAGGACATTATGAAGATGCTTTAGACAACATACAGAAAACATATGTGGAATATTACTCAAAAACCTGTGGATTTTATCAAGGTAATTTATCTAAGTACATGTAATGCATAGATAAAAACCAGGTACTTAATGCACATGTATATAGTCCAAAGATTGATGCATTGAATTGGTTCACTATCAAATTCAAGTATTTTAAAGTCATGATTCAAGATTGCTAAAATTTCTGAAACTTAATCATAGCATATATATAGTGAACATTTGTCTGTGTTGCAGCCATTGTCAACAGGATGCTACACGATGAAAAGCAGTTTGGTAAAACATCTTTTGAATTGATTGGTCGGGAGAGGTTATTTAGGTAAGTATATGTATAGTAATTGAAGTACAATGTACAAAACTTCATTAAGTGATAAATTGATAAAATGGCACTGACATTTTATAAACTTTCAAAACCAGTGATAAGATATCTTGATGAACTCTGGAGTATACCTGCATCACACACTAAAGTGATGAGCTATGTACTGCAATCATGTCACATGGATCTTCATCTCTAGGTCAAAGGTCAAATTAGTATAAAATTTTCAGTGAATCTTGTATGGGGTGTAAATTTCACACTGTTGAAGATATTTCAATAAAATGTTATGTACATAATGTTACCTGTATCAGCCATAGACGGTGTTGGTGCACATTATTTAAGTCACAGTGGGTTTTCACCTTTTGGTCAAAGGTCAAATAACCATTGTTGTTAAACTAATTATAACTTAATTATAGGTGTAAAGCAATTATAGGTGTAAAGCAGTGGCAGGTGTAAAGCAATTATAGGTGTAAAGCAGTTAAACATATTGGCTAGTTAGGGGAAAGATATGATTTTGTTGACACTGTTGTAATAATGCTGTAACAGGATACAGGAAGACCTGAGTTTGGAGAGGTTACAGATGCTGCAGAATGAGAAAAAGATGTTTGTACAGGAACGAGACAAGGTGAAAGAGGAGATTGCGAGCATTGACGAACACCCTGGTTCAGCCAGCCAGTTAAAGCGTTTAGAGGAGCAGGTGTATTCCTGGCAGGCCTCTATCTACACCCAGCAGCTACACATCCTGGATGAAGAGGAGAGGCTCGCCAAGAATCAGTTGGCTGCCATCACACGCCAGATAAAAGGTAGTTATACCTTCTGCATGTTAGTAACAGTTCCACTACTGTGACTAAGGGTTGTGTTAAAGGAGCAGTAAATGAGAGTTACATAATTATGTTTACAAGAGGTGTTTTGCCATTAATGAAAGATGTGTTGTCCGTGAGAGCTATGTTGATGTTCATAAAGAAATATGTTGCTGTACCAGAGAATTGTTTTGGTATAAAGTTAACCTGTGTTGCTATAAATGAGAGTGATGCTGCTGTACAGGTAATTGTGTTTCTGTTGTCAGAGATGTGTTGCTGTTGTCGGAGGTGTGTTACTGTAAAAAAAATGATTCCAAATTAAATAAAGGATACTGTCCTAAAGGTGCTTTGAGTGTTACTTGACTTTGTTTGCAGACAAGGAGGAAGAGGTGGTGTTCTATGATGCTGTGGAGGATGTGAAGGAGCTGAGTCCTGATGAGAGTGGAAATCAGAGGAAGCAGCTTGACCCCAGGGTCATCACGATCAACACAAAAAGGATGTCCATCCAGAAACGACGTGCAAAGATTAGAAACATGAAGGTAAGAAAACTGACCTCATAAGTCGACTTGTATAGAATATTTCTGAAAATGTATGGGTTCACCTGCCCGACCACGTTGCTTTTCTCCAGGTGCTCCGGTTTCCACCCACAGTAGGACCCCTGCGGGCTAACATCCGGGCCAACAAGAATGATTAATTTAAGTTGAAATATCTTGAATCATAATTGTTGTAAAATAAATAAAGTTTATATCGTAAGTTATTTTCTCAAGTATAAAACATCACAAATGTGTATCTGGAACACATGACCAATAATGATGGGCTTATGATCAATTATAATTAGAATTCAATCAGTTTATCCTTTCCAATTCTGATTATCGATTGACCCATTCAATAATCACTATATTGGTTCAAAGTTGAAATCAAAATGTCAAATGTGTACAATGTAGAGTATGCATTGAAAGTTATTTATTCTTGTGAATTTTACTATGATTTACAAAACTGCAGAAAAATTGCTTGAAATCCATTCATTATAAAAGAACGAAACCTACATTGTATTGTATAGTGAACAACTCTGTCTATTGATGTTATGGTAGTGTTCTCACTTTATTTGGGTATTCAGTCCCATATAATAAAATGATAAACCGATTAAATGCATTCGATCATCATCAGTTTTATACTTCTTCCGATTACGAACCGATTATCAGTTATGATTTTAAACTGATTGTCCATCACTAGTGAACATTAGGTAGGTTTATTTTGTAATGACACTTTTTAAGTACAGCAATTTATATAGATAATTTTTTCTTAACCTATATTTCTTCTTTTGAAAAAATGATTTCCCCCATACCTAGATATATCTATGCTTTGCATGTACCCTCCTCCCCTAACTTATACTGCCCTTTCCAGTGCCTCTATTTGAGGGCCACAGTGGCCAAGTGGTTAAGGTGTCTGACATTCTGCTACCACGAGCCCTCCACCACTGGGTCGCAGGTTCGAAAGTTGAGACCTATGTGGGGTAGTCGCCAGGTACTGGCTGTAGATCGGTGGTTTTTCTCCGAGAACTCCGGCTTTCCTCCACCACCAAAACCTGGCACGTCCTTAAATGACCATAGCTGTTAATAGAGCCTATATTTGACAAACATATAAACCCTTGTCTACACTACTACATCTGAGATGTCTTCTCTACAGACAAACTTAGAATCAAAGAAGAAAGACAAAGAGCAGAAAAAGATGGAAGAGATAGACACCTTTCAACAACATCATGCTGTTCATTTAGTGAGTTCTGTTCCATTTTTGATTTGACAAAGTCTATGAGCCAGTGGTATTACTAGAAGGCAAAAATCTGGCATCTGGTATATTTTCAAAAATTATGAAAATAAAATCCTAATACTTTATGTATATACATTCACAATGAGCATCCGAGCCAAGAAATACAAGAATATTTGTAAGTTTTCATATTTCTCATCAATTGTTTTTTTGGAAATTCCTTAAAAATGACTTGTTAAGCTAACCAAACTTTAAACAAGAAGGTACTGCTTTCCAGACTTACTAGTTTAACAAGCAGAAGCATTTTCTTCATCAGAAAGGTTTCATAATGATAAGTGTATACTATTGAAAGAAATTCACTCGCTTGTCCATATTTCAATCGGTTCATATTCAGGAAACATAAATGTATGTGTTGTTAACAATTATAAATATTGTAATCATACGGATTTGTAGCGATAAATTACTGTAATAGTTGGTTTTTCGTCCTTTTACAAACAAAAAAAGAATTATGGACCTGATTAGTACGCTAATAAAACAAACATGGACCAATTGAGACTGATGCTCATTTTATACTTTTAGAAAAGGGAAAAAAAGAAGGAGGAACAGAATATAAAACAGGAGTTCGTACAGGAGCAGAGGAGGAAAGCAATTGACAGGATTAAAAATCACAAGTTTGTAAGTATCTGTCAACAAGATGAAAAATTAACAGTTGGTATGCATCTGTCGAAAGATTAAAAAAAATATTAATTTGTAGCTGGTAGTTCAAACATCTGTCAACAGTTAAAAACCATTGCTATTTTGTATATATCTACCAACATGTTAGAACAGAAAATCCCACATCAGAGATACACTAATTGTCACTCTCATGCCCACAGTAATCCTCACATGAGATAAATTGTCAATCTTATACTCACTGAAAATTACTGCACCAGAAATTCTCTAATTGTATCTCCCATATACAAAGCATTCCCACACCATAGCTACATGACTAATGTGGCTCCTACATACACAGATATACAGAAAATATCACTGTTATATGCACGAAGTTTGCAGACCAGAGATACGATAGCGTCTCAAGCACATACACAGATATACCCACACCAGAGATATATAAATTGTAGCTTATACAGAAATCCCCCTGCAAAGATATGTTAATTGCCTTTCTTTTACTTACAGAAGTACCCCACCCCTGAGACCATCAAGCCTCCACGTTACCAGCCTCCTAGTAAGCGTGAGCCGGCTTGTAGCCTAAAGCCAGTAGAGGACAACAACTCGCCAAATCTCAATGCTAATATAACATTGGTCAAAGTGAAAGGGAAGCCTCTTACAAACTCACAAAAAACTATCAAACCTCCCGCTGGTGTCCAGCCTGGGAAGAAGACCGGGGTAGATCGCCCTAAACCAAAGCCACGTCATTCACGAAACAGAAATGATACTGTGGACGGAGAAATCCCTGTACATATTCACGTTTCAGGCCAGTCAGATGATGAGAATTATCCATCTGTGATTCCAAGCCATCCACCACCACCGGCACCACCGAAGACCTCTGCTCCACCAGCGCCACCACCTCCTTCACGGCCAGGTGGTGCACCACCTCCTCCTCCACCGCCAAGTGGTGCACCACCTCCACCACCTCCTCCTCCTCCACCTCCGCCCCCACCCCCTCCAACAGCTTTACCTCTTTCTTTCAAAAAAACAACATCAAATAAACCAAAAGAACAGAAATCTGGAGATTCCGGAGCGCCTTTGGACTTGAAGGATATCATCGGGGGACTTGGACGACTGAAACCATCATCTGAGAGGAAACATACACCAAAAGTCAAGTCAGGTATGGCTCTCATTTGTTTTAGCAGTCAGGTATGGCTCTCATTTGTTTTAGTAGTCAGGTTTGGTCTATAGTTATAAAAACAGTAACTTGAGGTCCTAAGGCACTGTAAACGTTATGTAGCATCCTCGAGCTTTACAGAAGAAAATCTATAAGAATTGTGTGGAAATAATCTTCTGTCATAATGTGACATCACTTTGACATTACCTAGAGCAATTTGACAAATGTCCTCATAATATACAAACTTTTACTTGAAATTTTTGAATTCATAAATAAAGGTTTTTACGAACCTGCCCCACTGTTCAACAGATGTTTTGACAATTTTCTGGCCCTTAGCATCCATCACCATTGAGTCCTACAAGGACGAAACAGCTGTATGATGTAGTGTTATTCATTTTTGGCAAACTGTATCTATTACCAAATGTTATAAGTGCAATCACCTTTGTGTGTGTTACATTCCAAATCATTCTCCAAATTTTTGTTTATTAGAAAATAAACATAATTTTTAAAAATTGAATGGGGCCAATATGAAGATATTCTTGTCACAATATAATCTTATTAATTGGCTTGAAATCGACTTGAAAATTATTTCATGGTATGAAGATGTTCTTGTCAAAATATAATCTTATTAATGGGCTTGAAATCGACTTGAAAATTAAAATTGACTATACATGTTTATGTCATAATGATATCTCTTTTTGAATTTTTTTTTTGCAATGACAATTTTGACATGAAGGGTAGTATTATACTATGCTGCATCAAAAAACTTAGCCTTACGGACGCAGCTATATATTAATGTATGAATTCCATTAACTCATTCACCCCTGAAATTTCGTAATGAACTATTCCAAGCTGTGAATTGGAAGAGTGCATATGTGTTTTCAGGGGTGAATGAGGTAAGCAGAGTAAGAAATAGTATAACTCAGATTAGTATGTATGCTAACAAATGTTACAGGTGAAGGGAATAACATGTCACAGATCTTTGGAATGATCAAACTTGGCGTGAAGTTACGGCCCGTGTCGGACGACAAACGTCCACCGAAGACGGACAGAGTGGACACACCCAGTGACAGCCATCTACGACTCTTGCAGGAAAGTCTGAGCCGCATCAACCATCTCACTCGCGAGCGCTCACCAGAATCTGACTCCAGTGACGATGATTTTGACTAGAAATAACCGTCTGATTTTGCTTTTCTTTGTATACATGTAATGCATGTAACGTCAGCCTTCATGTCTTTAGGTAAATAGTTCTCTTGACACCCTGTATGTCCGTGGCTTTTCTTAAAAAACCACAAAGAGGAACCATTTCATTGGCTGCACACTAAACAGGAATTATTCCACACACAAAAGAAATAAAATTGCACTTGTGTATTTGTCAATTATTGTGACAGATTACCGTATAGCAGGTTGTTCATACGGGCCTAAATTTTTGCGATTTTGAACCAAAATTAGAACATTTTCCCTGTGTTTTAGCACAGAGATGGGACACTCGGCATATAACGTGTCAAATAGTCAAAAGAATAAGCTTGATGACAGCATACTGAGCAAGTGTATTTTGTTTAATAAATCAGCATCAAAACTACTAGATGCGTTATATAACCTATTTTCACACATCATTCCTTTTATGTATATATGAACCATCATAATCACGTGCGCGCTATTTCATGACGACATTACAGTTACGAAGTTTGTTATTGCAGATCAGGTTTACGCTTGTCTTATTATTCTATGGATCATATTTTCGTGATCACGTTATTGATCCGCAAAATCGCAAAAATATCGTCCCCTTTGAAATATCCTGCTATATAGTATGTTTATAACTTTGTAATAAGAAATTGGTTGTTCTGATCCCTAAACTTGACAAGTCACTTACTAGTCTCCATGACATTTGTTAATATGTGTGCTCTATCAAACCATTCATTTTATAAGAACAAGCCATTTCTCCATCCTAAATACATAAGTATAAGTCATATAAGAATGTATTGGACATGTGGCAACTCGAGGAACTGACAAAATTTTACATTATCTCTTATACTGACCATTATGGAGAATTTAAGGACTAGCAAGGTTCTACAGTATCAAAGATTTCTCTAATACAGGTTACATGGTAATCAGGTATATTTAGTTAATTATGATATGAAATTTTGTAGTACTATTTTGTTTTAAAATTAAGCTTAATTTCACCTCCAACCATTTTGTTTTGTTGTCATATGATTCTTGATTTTATTAAGTCATTATATTCTGCAGAATTTTCATTATTTTCCAACAGTGTCCAGAGAATTCTGTTTTAATGTGTTAGGACCCTCCCTCCATTGTATGGCTTTCCTGTTTCTGTTATGTATCATACTTCACATACTGGTAATTCCAATATGCTAGTAGGACATTGGACAATACTGGCCGATAAACTATCATCCAAGAAAAAATGATTTCTGCCTTTTCTTGTTTTCCTTGCAATACATTTTCATTTTCTTCCAACGTTTACTGACATGATCTCCCCACTTCCTATTTCAGTCCCTCCAATCTACTTGTCCTTCCCCTAGTCTCTGTACTTCATGCTTTGATTCTCCCCATTGAAGACTTCCCCTCCCCAACATAAAGGTTCCTGTTCAATCTACCTATCTGTTATCTCCTAGTGTCTCCAATCTCATGATTCTTCGACTTCAAATTATTCCCATACAATCCTCTCCCTTTCCTTCCGACAAATACCTCACATTTGGCCAAAGTGTTGAAGTTCGCCCAAGTGTAGAAGGTAATGGTCTTTGCCAAAGGCCAGGACATATCAAAATCCTAAAAATTGACAGTTGTTATTCCCTGCTAAACATTTTGCATTTCATGTAACTGCAACAACTGGTTTACTCATTGTTGGTATAATATGACAATGCAGAAACCTAAATTGATCTGCTGCCCCTATTGCAACCCATGGGACCACTGTGTGACTTTCCCAGGCCAGGACATATCAAAATCCTTTAAATTGACAGTTGTTATTCCCTGCTAAACATTTTGCATTTCAGGTAACTGTAACAAATGGTTTACTCATTGTTGGTATAATATGACAATGCAGAAACCTAAATTGATCTGCTGCCCCTATTGCAACCCATGGGATTACTGTGTTTTTTCCCCAGGCAAGGACATATCAAAATCCTTTAAATTGACAGTTGCTGTTCCCTGCTAAACATTTTCCATTTCAGGTAACTAACAACTGGTTAACCAATTGATCTGCTGCCCGTATTGCAACACATTGGACCACTGTGTTTTCTTCAATTGGCACGGTTGTCTAATGGTAGGACAATGGGCTCGTGACCGAAGGGTTGTGGGTTTGAGTCACGTCATGGCTCTTTAGTAGACTCTCCCATGCGTTGATCTGGATAAGTCCATTATGATGTACAGTGGTGAAAGGGCTAATGTGACTAGACCAGTCACCTATAGGTACTGATGTATGTTCAGCTGTAGTGCTGCTCAGTGATCTATATATAGCTACCTAGTAATACTGACTATACTGGGAAATATTCGCCGCAGTCTAACGTTGTCACCCTTGGTAATGCAGGCAAGTTTACCATGATAGTGCATTTTAGTACATAACATACCATTTACGATGACTACATATGAAGAGCCGAATTAACCCATTCACCCCTGAAGACACATTTGAACTCTTCCAATCCAAAGCTTGGAATAGTTAATTATGAAATTTCAGGGGTGAATGAGTTAACACTAGGGTGACACAGATTTTACGGATGATGGGCAAAAGTTTGACTGGGCGAACATTTTCTGTTGTACAGTATTAAAGATGTAAGTGGCTATATTTATGCTCGTGTCTTTCATTAGATAATACAGTTTTGTCGGTGTGTTCAAATCTTGCAATATTGTAGACGATTTTTGTGTGATATTTACGGTTTCTGTAAATAGAGGGTGTTAATTATTCTTTTGTTTGACATGTTTGTTTTTACTGATCATTAATTTTGTCTAGATGTTTAATTTATTGATAAATATGCCCCCAATTGGTTACACCCAGAATGTTAGTAGTAAATCATACGTAAACAAATGTACAATGTATACCTAGATCGTCAATAAGATATGAACGTATTTGGTTTACCCAGAAGTTATAATTTATATAGCCAATGCTTGATTTTACCCAGAATCATACTTTGTTTTATTTAGAATACAAATCATTCATGGCCATTTTTGGTTATACTCAGAATACAAATCACCATGGTTGGATGTACTCAGAATACAAATCACCATGGTTGGATGAATTCAGAATACAAATCACCATGGTTGAATGAATTCAGAATACAAATCACCATGGTTGGATGAATTCAGAATACAAATCGCCATGGTTGGATGTATTCAGAATACAAATCACCATGGTTGGATGAATTCAGAATACAAATCACCATGGTTGGATGAATTCAGAATGCAAATCATACATGACCATGGTTGGATGTATTCAGATTGCAAATCATCCGTAGACATTGTTTTGCTGTGCCTATTTTCATAATCCAAAGTTTCCAGTCTCGATAAACATATGATCTCTGCACCATAGAAGATGTCACGACATATACGACACTCGTTGAATGATACAAGTAGCATAGTGTGATGTCTTCCAGAAAGATCAAAGGAATCACAGAGGGCAGCATACACTGTAACAGTAAAATTGACTGGCTTCGAAGTTTGTTGTATCTCCTCTCTAATATTCAATGGACCAGCATCAGCCAAGTGATTGGTCAGTTTATTTTTGCCTGAAACCAATCAAATAGCTTACCGAGAGCTTTCAATTTTGTCAGGACTGATTTCAAGGGTGTAAAGAAGATATGTGTATTCAAGAGCAGAACTGTTGCATTTCAAAGATGGTTTGTCTGTAAAAGCTTGGATATCCACAATTATAATTTGCTATTACAATGAAAATTCTCTTTTTTGTTAAAAAATATAACTATTAAATACAAAATACTTAAATTCAGTACATGCAATTTAAAAGTGTACCAAGTTTAGTAATGTGCCACTTCGGACATGTACAAAAACATCACCAGAATACAAAGACAGGAAGTGCATAATACAGACAGATGTTTCCTTTCTGTGTCTAGTCTTGTTTGTACATGCAGAAAGTCAAAGTAAACATTTTACTGCGCTACGTAGCCAATTTCGTCCATTATATAAGGATGAATTAGTGATAATAAAGGTAAAAAAAATAAATTAAGACCAACTTCGAGGACTGAATAGTCCATCAGCAGTCAACAACCTTGTTGGGTAAAACAATCACGACAAATAGTAAGAAATAGAAATCTGAAAATCTTGTCTGTAGATGCAGAAAGCCAAACACAATAAATATGTTACTGCACTACAAAGAAACAGTTTGTACAAACTCATTCTATTCTAAATGAGATTTCGTCTGTCCATCGTCTTCATATTTACTAACATTTCATTCAGGCAAAAAAATGTGTCGGGTAACCTGATCGACCCTTAAGGTTTATCGCTGACCCTTACAATTGTATCTCGCTAGAACGCAATCCGTCTTGATCCGAACAAATTGACAGACAAACAAACAAGGCATCCATATATATACATAGCCTCTCTACTTTATAGCCATCAAAACCAAATTTTAAATTCCATATCATCATTTAAACACCAGTAGTTATGTTTGGTGATATTTGTAATTTCCGCTTTATTATTTAATATGTTTTGTGATGTTTGTAATTTTCTCAACCCTTCAAAAGAGAAAAAAATAATAATTAAAAAATATCCAGACCGACTGAAACATAACCTTTTCTGTGGCCTTAAAACAAAAGAAAAAGATTGTTTTGACCTACTTGAAAAGAATCATCCTTTTCATAAGCATCTATACCAAGCATTTCATTTGAAGACAAAGACCTATGTTGGAACTCTTATCTTGTATTCAGCAATGAATATATTAGTTCAGTGAACTTACCACTGTTACATTTGTGAGAGATTTATATTAATTTATTTTGTAAATAGCAATTATACAAAAAATGGATTGTGAAATTAAATATATAAATGTTGATTTGGTATGTTTTACTCATTTCTTATACGTCTGCCATGACGAGACAAATTTTGATATGGCGTTGTCTGACTAACCTACCATATGTTGAGCGCTGGGTACAAACTCTACTACCGACCTTGCAAAAATGGGTCGTTTTAAACATTACGCCGCTAAGCTCATTCTCAGAGTGGTTCGTCGTGCCAGGTTTGGTAATGTTGGGCCTATGCTTGGATTGTTTATAAATCCCTGCGAAAGTTGACAAGAGGAAGTTAATTTTTCTGGAAAAGTTTGTTTCATCGAATCAGTCCTTAGAAAGGAGGTCTTCACCAGCAGATTATAACCCTTCCTTCACCCGAAAACTGAAAATGATACGGGTAATCGTGAAAGAGGTAGACGTCCAGATACTGTTCTGTTATTCCAAAGATATAATATATTATCTTACCAGGATTCATACCTTCATAAGTACACGGTTTCCCTCAAAACGTCAATGGAAGGTAAAAGTAAAAGCTGTTATAATGTCTACTGAAAACTTAACACTTAAAATCTCGACTGCAACGTAACATGGTCATGATTTCGAAATATTTAGGAATTGTCATTCCTCCTAACAGCCATACATAATGTGACATGCAGCAAAAGCCACCCCCGACATTAACAATTCTATCTCTGCGGATTATCGGTAAAATTAGTGGCATCTGACAAGGGATAAAGCTTCATAATTTCCAGGTATTCTTCACTGAACTTGTTTTGAGTCTTTTCTATTTTGCTATATTTACTTACAAGAATGCATACGCAGAATTACAACGTTCTTTTACGATGAATCTACCTTGAAATTTGTACAAGGCATATGAGGACATGCGTTGTTCTGCAGCCTGAGGCACTCTTATTATGTATACTGATACTGATGTTGGAATAGAGCAATTCAGACAGAGAAAACTCAAAATCATGCACAAACTTACATGGATTGAAGTGTTCAGGAACTTAAATTGATAATTGGGATTATCAAAGCCAGACATCATCGGTGCTGTTCATAAACGAATTTAGCTACTGAACTCATCCAGATAGACTGACAACAATGAAATCTGATGTAGACACCGGCGCGACTGTCAAAATAGTATGATGGAGTAGTCAAACGGTCCCGCTCTAAGATATGCATAATTATCTTCTCAACACTCCAAAGGAATCGCACGGCAGCATGGCTTTAAAATGTACTTGCTTTGAGGTTGGATGTATAGTTCATGTGCAATCTTCAATGTTGAGGTACCAGCCTAACGCTTGGTAACGTTTTAATGCCTTAAACCAGTTTAAGTGCGTTGAGCCTTCGACTTTGTCATGACATAGTCCTACGGTGCAGGGAAAATACGTGTATCAAGAGCAAAACCTTTGGGTTTCGAAAATGTCTGTACTGTTGAGTCACTTTATGTGCGAAGTCGATTGGTATCTTTACATACCCCACTGTAGGTCCTCTCAAGATGCACTACATGTAATTTTTGACTCGAGGACAGAGTTGCTACGATATCGGTCTGGTAGGTATATATTGAATTATCAAACGGTTACATAATAAACAAGAGGATTCAGAAGTGTGAACAACACCACAATTCGAACTCAAAATCGCTAAAACTAACACAAAACATGACAAGGACATATTTACAAGGAGGCCGCTGAAAACATACAAGGATAATAAGACCAGGTGTTCCGGAAGGGTGAGCGTCTTCTGCTTCATCGATGCGCGCGTCATGTAAACCTTAGTCGAATCCAAGTAATGTCACGTCCTCACTTCGATAACGCAAGATTCATTTTGTAGAAGAAATTAGACACGGGAAACGTTAAGCTGGGACAAGGTATAATGTATGGCGAACACAGATAAAATCAAGAGCTTCCATCATGCTAGAAACTTCAAATTCAAAATTTGCGAAAAAAATATTATGAATTTTTATGGTCGCCATCATTATATCACAGGAACATATTTTCTTTCTTTGTGCGATATGAAAGACGATACTTTCGATTATGATCATTTGTGTGTCTTGTGGTTTCGTTGTTACTATCCATGTCCTCATTTTGAGAAAGTGATATATCTAGGATTTGACATCGATGAGACAGAAGACGCTTACTGTTCCGTGCATCTGGTCTTATTCTCTTTGTACTTTCTCGTGTTAGTCTTTCCTTTGTTCATATTTGCATTCAGTTTATATAGTCAGGTTTTATTATGATTTTTATACAAAGTTACAAATGCATCTTCAAGTGATGAACGTTTTTAAGTGAACAAACTACATAAATAGTTGGCGCTCAATATAAAGGGCCAGCCATGGCACAAGTCAGACGTAACTGTCATCATGCTCTCATCGATTATCAGGGGTAGATGGGGTTAAATTGATGCGTAGGGGTCTGCTTAGACATCCAGGGTGTCCCGGGCCGAGACATGGTAGGGGCTTAGGTGGCAATTCCCCGCTCCATACAGAAGACAATGATTTTAAGGAATTTTAAATAATGATGGGCATCAGAATGACCAGGATGATAACGTCAACATCAATCGAAAACTGTCAGCACTTTCCGTTAACGAGAAAAAGAAAAAAGAAAAAAAAGGAATTTACGGAAAGTGTCAACGTTACGGTTCCCATATCCTCGATTCTCCAGGAGTTACACTCACTTTCGCTCTCTGTAACCCTGGAAAATAGCAAAATTGAAGACTCGGTGTGCGCCACCCTGTTGATGAGACAAGAAGACTAGTTCAATCCTTCGCTCAAACATCAAACGAACCTCGCGGTCGCGTAACCGTACAAAGTTTCGTGTTGCTCCTCGTTATTCTGTAAAGGACAGGTAACAACCTTTAACGATTGGTCAGGTTTTTTTTGCCCAAGACCAATCAAATAGCTAGATGCGTGCCTTTAATTTTGCTATGACATAATCCATAGGTGCAGAGAGCGACAGTGAGCGTAACCCCTATGAATTGAGGGTGCGGTTACCGATTAGATCTAACAAAATCTTGGATTACTAAAAGGAACCCAGTCGGCTCTGGAACGGATCATAAATGATGGTCCTAGAAATGGAAAATAATAATTTAGCGACACACATATATATGAAACATATGTGTAAACAATGAATAAAAAACAGCGAAAATGAAATTGTATTATGAAGACATTTATGTGTAGGCAAAAGGAAAAAGGCATACACTGTCTATTGCCATGCCATGTAATTATATAATTTTATCACTGCCATTAGGTCATGGGAGGACTGCCGACGACTTGAAAAAGTTCTCCATCGTGTCTCACTATAAAGTATGAGAAAAATTACAAGCATTATGTGCGGATCACTACCGGAAGCATCGCTACAGGCAAACAACACGGACTCCAACGTTGATGAAACCCAACACATCACTACCAATAGGAACATCGGTGATGTCCGTTCAGTTAATGAACAAGTTGGAAGTTGTCGTTATTATGTCTTCCTTTTGAATGAAGTTAGACATAACTGTATAAGTACTGGTTCTTGTTCTTGTTCTTCTAATATGATCTTGTCCGGGCCGTAACTTTTAACCGTTGAAGACGTATTCGTGAAACTTGCAGTATAACTGCATCACCTACAGATGATGTGCAATGCAGTGTCATAAGATAGCTGTGGCCTTTACCTCAAGGTCAAAGGTCAAACAAGTATTATTGTTTCAAACATTTAAAGATGTACGCCAAGGTAATGCAAACGGTGCCTCACTGTGGCTAATTTTGCTTAAACTTTGTATTCAATGATGGCTTTGTAAACTCTATCAAAGCATCATTTGTGACTATGGGGTCAGTTATGAAGACTTTTGTAATGGTCCCCATTACAATTACAACTTGTTCATATAAAGATTTTATTCTTTGACCTCGAGCTCAAAGGTCAAATAACTGCAAAAATGTTACGAATATCTTGTTCAGGTCGTAACTTTTAAACCGTTGAAGGGGAGGCAAATTTCTATTTTTTCTTATTTTCATTAGTTTTTTCATCGGTAGATTATCTAGAGCTCTATGGAATATTTAGGAAAAACGCACGAAAGGATAGAAGTCTGTTAAGGTTCAACGAGCCCCCTGAAAGAGGCTATAGGCATCCTAAATGTCAACCCTCTGATAGGTTATATTCAAAATCCAAATTAACTGGGGTAATTTTGATGTATTGAACTTTTACATTAGCTTTTAAAACGTGCCATAGCGAGGGACACGTCGTCATCCATAATGCATTAAGGCTGATGTCTTCATCAAAATAGTTCACCGGATATATATCATGTCAGTCTCTTTAGCGATCAAACTGAGTGTTGTGTCAGGACGTATTATCTGAAGTTTATTTATATACCTAGGTCATGTGGAGCTTAGTTTCGCTTTTACCAGCTATAGAGAGGCATACTAGCCTCAAATCAAGATAGATGTTGTCATGCGATAGTACTAAATTCATAGTAATAACTCCCTGGTAATATCTCCAAGCCGAACATAAATAAGAAAACAAAGGCTAAGCTACCTAAATCGATCAACCTTCTGTGATGTTACGAATGCGCTAGACATGTTATAAACATTACACCCCAAAAAATGTTTATAACATGTCTAGGATTTTTTTATATAGCAACAAATAAACAATATCAATAAATGTTTCGAAAGAACACTTTATATCAAGTTAGTGTCAATCTAATTAAAATTGTATCTTCACATCGCTCCCGTTTTCTGATATGTCGCGTTGAAGATCTCTTCAACGCGAAATATCAGAAAACGGGAGCGATGTGATCTAATTTAATTAGATTGAGTTAGTGTATTCATTAAGGTCACAAGACACTTGTAGTTTTACATATATATACGCCGGTAAAATATGTTATTCGGGCATTTTACTATGATCTTTATACATCCCCATAGCTACAATTATCTTGTGTTGTTAAGAATAGCTTATTAAAGAGAAATTAAGCCCGCAAGACCTGGGTATATAAACAAACTTTGGATAATATGCCATTTCGTAGCATTTAGTTGGATGTAATAGGTCACAATGTTAACCTCGCTATGGAACATTTTG